AGGCAGAATCTCACCCCTCAGACTTTTTCTTGATAAAGCACTATTGTAAGATGCACACAACAGGGTCAATCGGCATCATCTCAAGAAATAAAACTTTATAAACTCTGTTTACTTATGTATAACTTTGCTTTATAGATCTTACATTTTCGTGACTCTAGGTGGTGAGGTTGAGCTACAGCTTACCCACGACCAAAGAACTGGGAAACAAGGGTCTCCTCCTTCATTGGCCCAGTCGCTATCAGGGGACATCAAACGAATCCCATCAAGAACAGACACTGCAGAGTAAGAAAACTTCCGTAAGCTTCATAGATGGGAAAAAAAAAGATATAGAGAAGAATTTACAAGCACTCACCATCATTCCTATCAGTTGTCACAGATATCTGTAGATACTTGCTGATCTCAATAGCATTTAGGAGTGGTCCTCTTGTAGAATCCTTTGTCTTCCCAAACGAGAATGACAATACAAAGTCGAAAGTCACATTCATGTAGCTAGGTTCATAGAGCGTATAACTCCCATTGGCATTCTCAGCAATATTCACCACTGCGTTACTATAACCAGGAAAGTATGGCTGCACCAACTTAAACTTCCGGGTTTCGTTAGCACCAAGGTCTTCAATCTCAGCAAAGTAAGCATACGCCAGAGCATTGGCAGGGAAGTCTTCCAGGTTTAACCTATAGCTGATAAGCCCTTGTGTGCCAACTACTGCTGTCTGCATGACTCTCACAGGAGGATACTCTCTATGAGTCATCGTATTAACATTCTTTGATGTATTGATTCTTATCGTTCCTGGAGCCACACCAACAAGATAGTTTGGCCTTCTATTAACATCTGACTCCCAGATTCTGTCATATGGATCATCCGGGTACCTAAAAGAGAAAGCCTTTCAGCATTTTTTCGATGCTTTGTAAAACATTCTTGTGAGTGATGTAATGGAAAGAAGAGGTTTACCTCAAGGCATCCATGCTTAGAGCACCAAAGTTCACTCTTGCAGCAACCTTCAAGAAGAAGTTATCCTCGAACTCAGTGGCATACATGGAAAGGTTCAACGGGCGTAGCTCGAGAGTGGAGATGAAAGGAGAGCCGGTGATAGCACAGCATACACACACATCTACATAGCTTGAACTTGCTCTCACAATCAGTTCCTCAACATAAACCCTAGAGACCTCCTGAATCGTCACTGTAGCCCATTTCGTTGCATCTAAGTAGAGTTGAAACTTTGGGTAGGCTTCTTCACTCCCTGAGCTACCGTAGAGAAACGTTGTTCTGACAATGTATCTCCTCCTCTCTTTGGTGCTGAGTCTGTAACAATACTTCTTGTTATCCGTTGGAAACTCTCTTCTACTACGGTACTGCATCGAGTTCGAATCTGTACTGGTTAAAGTTACTGGCTTGCCGTATTTGATGATCTCTGAATCTGAAACCCATCCTAGTCCAGTTCTTGGGTCCGTGTAGTTACTTGAGCCACCACAATCTATACTTATAAACTCTGCAAAAATATAGTCTTTCATCAAAATCACAATCATTTTCCACTAGTTACAGCAAAATCCTTTCAAGTTGACATTTTTAGCCCCAAAAAGGTCTAAAATTGAAGAATTGGAGGCAACCCTTGTTTAGTAAACCTAAAGACAAAAGCTTTTTTGTGATTGCACATCAAATACATGTTCGTGAATACTTCAAGAAGAAGAGTTTCCACACAAACCAAAGAAAAACACACTCTTTGAAGCATTTAAACAAACAGTTTATGGGCAAGAATTTACCTGCAACTTGGGAGAGAACATGAGGTACTACTATGAACAAGCATGTTACAGTAGCCAGTTGAGCTGAGCATAGACCCATTGAAGATCACACAAACATCGATGCTCTTAACTTCTTCAGAATCTGTACAATAAAGAACAAATTCTTTTTCGCTTTGGGGGTCACAAGAGAAAGAAGGAATGAGAATGCACTGAGGGCAAAGACTTCAATTTGTTTTTGCTTTTGCTCAAAAAAAAAGTAGAGCCTGTGCAATGGTTACAGAGAATTTGTCTTTCTTTATTTGATATTCGAATTAGCTTTTTCTTTTTCTTCTTCTTCATTCCGTAAATTAAAGACATCGGTTTCACCTTTTCTCCTTTCGCTACTTGCTTTTGTTGTAAAAGTAGTGTCGCACACCATTTTTACGAAACTTTAATTCAAGTTATCTATAATTAAAAATCTCAAGAAAAAAAAAATAGAAAACAACTTTAGTTTCCAAATAATTACATCTCATGCCATTGATATACTTGGTTGATGGAGCCCATTAAAATATACATTATACCATTACATTGAAATACACATTAATATATATATATATATATATATATATATACCATTACATTGCCGTCTCTTACCTCTGTTTGAGGTAGCGTTTCGAAATCTCCGGCCAATTTCACTTCCATCCATTGCTCTTATGGTATGGTTAGCTAGAGTTGTGTTGGGCATAGATTTTGTTAGAAGCATTTGGTGTTGTGAGCCTCTGAAGTGTTTCCCTTTTGTGGAGACTTCAAGCTCTATTGGTGATACTAACTTGTATGCAGGTTGGTTTCATTTTCAAGACTCTTCAGGCTCTTGTGTTAGCCGCTTATCTCCTAACGGGCGTTTATTAGCTCCAGACTAGTTGCTGGAAAGCTTGCCCTATCAACTGCTCTTCTTGAAGCAGCATTTGCTGGACTCATAGTATTGGATGTGCTATTTGACTCCCAAAGCCTCAACCTTCCTTTGATCTCTAAAGATGTTGTTAAGTATCTTTATGAAATTAGGTGTTTAAGTGTTGAGTTTAATTGTATCTGCTTTACATTTGTTTCTTGTCCAGCCATGGTTATGGTTTGGTTTGTTGTGAACAATTCCTCCTCTAATGGAGTTTAAGATTAATCTATGAAGTATTTGTTGACCAAAAAAAAAACATTGAAAATTTAAGGTTGATGGAGCCCATGAAAATATACATTATACCATTATTGCATTAGATGATATGTTGATATGCACTTTTGAAGGAGTTTTCTTTATGCAGAAAACCATAAATTTTAATCTTCATCTTGCTTGAAAGAAATGTTGGAATGGGCTTAGAGATCTGTGTCAGGTTGTTGAAGAGCTGTATTGCTTCACAAGAGTAAGTAAGTACCTGAAACAAAACCATATCAACAAGAACATCGTCACCACTTACTTGCAATCATTAAGTCAAATTCTTAAGCAGTGTCAAAAAAAAGTTACATATTGTTTTGTTATGTTTTTACCATCTAAGTAGCACAAGTTAAAAAAGGCATAATCTCAAGATTCTCGACAGACAGATAAAAGTATCTTTTTTTTTTTTTTTTTTTTTGGACAACTGTATCTTCAAATTGCTTATTCCTATTATGAAATTTGTTGTGTTACCAACCATTTCGTTTTCTCATGATCTTCAGAATAATGTATCTATAAATTTGAAAAAACTAGCCTCCTATAAAAGTGTCAGTCATGTTTGCTCTTTTGACATATGAAGATTGATATTGGCTTCAATAAGCCAACCAAAATTAACTTTCGGATACTTGTAGGCGAGGTTAGAGTATCAAAGGACACACTCTTTGGATCTCATCGCGCTCTTCCCAAAAGAAACTTTACTTTCGTGAGAGACGAGAGTTGAGACAGGACACATAGGCAAAATATATATAGTTGTTGATTTTGAGTTGGTGAGAGATGCTTGTGATTGTACTTAAGATGCACTTTTACCTTGTTGTGGTTTTTATGGAATGTAATGTATGATGGCTCAAGATTTTTAATTAATGGATCTTGGGATGGTTTCTCAGTTTCTAAAACAAATACAGTAATTGTTATCAAAATTTTATCACAAAGTGTGACTATGCCCATAACATACCATTCATTTATGAGAGAGATTATAACTATCTGGTTTAGATAAGTTATTTGTATTGGTTTAGTACCACTAATACAGAAGCTTCATCTCTATATTATACGAGAGCGAGAGCGAGAAAAAAAAATTAATAACAAACATATTTATCTCCACTAATATGATATACAGCTTTAAACTGAAGCTCAACCGATCCTTATTATTACCGAAGGTATCCAAAATTACGATAACCTGAACATACAAAGAAATGTTCATGTTTAGATAAATACTTAGGTTCTTTCGGATATGTTCATAATATTTTATTCAGGTTTCTGGTATTACATGAACCGAACCAAAACTCGAAATAATATTCATATGAGATTCGTTCGGGTATTTTTGAAGAACCGATTAGACATTTCGTTTGGATTTGGGGTTCAGGTATGGTTTTTATACCGATCAGTTTTTGCTTAGGCTTAGAAGTTACTTTAGAACTTAGAACTAGACCAGCACAGCCCACACTTTCTCTTCAATTAACTATTAGTTCTCCAGTTAGTCACGTTGTCCTTTTTTAACTTGAGCATCAATGAATCTTTGGAAACAAAAAAAAAAAAACCTTAGTGTCCTATCGGATGCAATCCAAACCTTGTCATTGTTTCAAATAGAAACATCTCCAACGCTTTTCCAATCGAACGAGATGATCCCAAATTAAACTCAACCGTCCAAATGGTTCCAAAAAATTCATCACAAAACATTTTCCCAACTTCCGCATGCTTGCTCATTCTTCTTTCACCATTTGAAGTTTTGAACCCTTAATTTTTATCGCAAGTCACACCATGTGAGCTTGAATTTTGTCATCTTTGATACATGCAAGATACGTCAACATCTAATGTGCCAAGTTTCATATTTTACACAATCACATGAACGTAATTTAAGGAAGACGACACCCAAATAAACAATTTTTTTTTTTTTTTTAATTGAAACATTGGTGACGACAGAGTAGTTAATTCCGGTGGTTTTCTGCTCATCTACTCCACCCACCTCCGTCCCTTCTTCCGTATTCAATTCTCTCACTCTCTCTCTTCTTAAAAACCCTAAAAATTCTCTTTTCAATCTCAAACCCAGAAAAAAGTGAGCAAAACCCATTTTCCTCAGATCTTCATCTCAATGGAGATCTGCACTTACTTCAAATCCCAGCCCACATGGCTCCTCTTCCTCTTCGCACTCGGCTCAATCTCCATCTTCAAATTCATCTTCTCCCTCCTCAGATCTCTCTACATCTACTTCCTCAGACCCGCCAAAAACCTCCGCCGTTACGGATCCTGGGCAATCGTCACCGGACCCACCGACGGAATCGGCAAAGCCTTCGCCTTTCAGCTGGCCCAGAAAGGTCTCAACCTCGTCCTCGTCGCTCGCAACCCGGAGAAGCTCAGCGCCGTCTGCGATTCGATCAGATCCAAGTACAGCAGCGTCGAGATCAAGACCGTGGTGATGGATTTCGCCGGAGATATCGATGAAGGCGTGAAGCGGATCAAGGAGACGATCGAAGGTTTGGAGATTGGGCTTCTGTTTAACAACGCCGGGATGTCGTACCCTTACGCGAAGTACTTCCACGAGGTTGATGAAGAGTTGCTCAATAGTCTGATCAAGATCAATGTCGAAGGAACAACGAAAGTTACTCAGGCCGTGCTTCCGATTATGCTGAAGAGGAAGAAGGGAGCGATTGTCAATATGGGTTCTGGTGCTGCTGCTCTTATCCCTTCGTATCCTTTCTACTCTGTTTATGCCGGAGCCAAAACGTAAGTAATCTAGATCAATCAAGATCAAAGATCGTTTTTTTTGTTTGATCTGATGATGCTTAAGCTGTGAGATTGACATTGTTTGCTTTGCATGTTTGCTTTTTGTTTCTAATCTCAGGTATGTTGATCAATTGTCAAGGTGTCTCCATGTTGAGTACAAGAAGAGTGGGATTGATGTTCAATGCCAGGTGAATTTTCTTCTTGAATCATTTGCTACTTAGTTTTCTGTTCTTGGAGCATGATTTTTGCTTGTTATTGGCTTTTTGTTAGTGTATATTTGTAAGAACAGAGGTAGGATTTAGCAATGAGTAAACCCAAACTTATCTTTCTAAGAACAAAGAATGGTAATGCAGAGTGAATCATAGGTTAAAGTAGGATACTAGTTCTTGGTTTTGATCAAAAGTTGACATTTTGTTCCATTTGAAAGAAGAAGTAAAAAGATGAAGTAGTTGATAAAGTTGTGTATGACCCTGTTTCTGTTCATTTAGTGGACCTAGAAGGTTGATAGTTTTTGTTCAAAGCTTATTTTTAGTGTTACACTAACTGGTTTTTGGGAATGAGGAACTGTTGCATCACAACTTTGCTGAATACTTCTCTGATGTGAGATCTTGTCTCTGATTATTTCTTGAGGCTGTTATATGTAGTTGTATTGTATTACCAAAACAACTTAATGGACCACACTGCTCAGTAACGCTTTGGTTTCTTGATTAAATATGGCTAATTTGGGTGAGTGTTTGTTTTTCATAGGTTCCTTTGTATGTGGCGACAAAGATGACATCAATAAGAAGAGCATCTTTCTTAGTGGCATCACCGGAAGGTTACGCAAAGGCAGCACTGGGTTTTGTAGGATACGAGCCACGGTGCACACCGTACTGGCCTCACGCACTCATGGGTTATGTTGTCTCTGCATTGCCCGAGAGCGTTTTCGAAACGTTTAACATTAAGAGGTGCCTTCAGATCCGGAAGAAAGGGCTGCTTAAAGACTCCAGGAAAAAAGATTGAAACTTTTTGAAGGGGTTTTTAAGTTGTTGCAAGATTTTCTTGCTTTTGGAAGTTGGTTTCTTGGAAGTTCCTCTGTTCTGAATCTCTTGTAAGACTTTTGTAAGCTTTAGTTTCCGATGTTCCCAAGGTAGTTTCCTTATTTTAAAAATTGAAAACCCTAACGTGCACGAATCGTTGAAATCCTCTGTTTTATTTATTTATTCAAATAAAATTTGTATGTTCACAATGCATCCCCTATAATTTGTTGTATGTCACAATGTCAACGTTTACATTGCTGATCTGGTACAGATCTAGTTCATATTATAAGTAAACCAACCCACCTGGCCATTGATAATGCTTGCATAACTTAATTTGTTAGACACGCTGGAATATAAGCAGGTGCAGTTTATCTTTTTATGTTCCACCGTTTTCACAGGAAGACTTATTAGCCTAAAAAATCAAATCGTAATCTCATGGTTTCTCAGTGGTGTTCTGTTTTTTCTTAATGTGGTGTGGCAGGATGTCACAAATGTTTGCATGCTACACTTTATGTACAAAGCACAAAACTGCCTGAAATTCTGAAATGGTAGAATTAATTTGATCCCCTAATTTTCTTTTTGTATGGTTGTTTTATCTATCTCACCTAACTCCAATCTCTTCTTACAGGAGCAGCTTCAACTTCCTGTAAACCAGAAAGGTCGTAATTTGCTTGCAGATGTTCAAACCAAGGTGTCTTTTCTTATTTTTGAGACTTGGAATTTTTGTGCTTAGATTCTTCTTTTGCTAATTTTGGTCAAATTTGTTTGTTGCAGGGGCTGAAAAAAATTTGGTATAACTAAGGGAAGTGACCACTGTGAAGAGAATTGGTATAACTAAGGGCAGTGGCTAGTCGAGGCCATTGTTAACAAGGTTTGATGTATTTATTTTGCAAAAGCAATTTTGTTCTATACCTCTCTTGTTGAGTTTGTTTTGTGATTTAAAAAAAAAAAAAAAAAAAAAAAAAAAAAAAAAAAAAAAATTGTGAAGGCAAGGGCTACTTCAGCTAGGTATTGATGTGGAAGTTCCTGATGGCGGAATGTAAATAACATAACAACAAACTCTTTACTTAAACATCATAATTTATTCGTCATATTGAGAATATCGATCGATGCCATAATTTTGATACACAGAAGCAACATAGACAAAATAAACGAGAATTTCAAATAAAACATATTGAATTATAGAGATAGCAACTCAAAAACTTGTATAATTGTCTTGAATAACTTCTAGTCTGAATTTCCTTTTTCTCCTCAATCTTCTTCCATCTCCAAGAACTAACTCTCACAATATAACAGCTAGAAATTTCAAAATATGAACACTCTCAGCAATCACAACCTTATCACACCACTCAACTTTACCCCAAATCTCCCTTTGTTGATTTCTTTCCAAGGAAATCTCCGCAAAATAAGTCACTCCAACGTGTTTTACTTCAGAATGGAACAAAACAAGTTTCCCACCGTAACTCACAGTCTCCCACCACCCATCAACTCTCTTCTTAGCCAAAAATTCTTCCACACCATGCACCACTCCCCAACACTTCTTCTCTGAGTCATACGCTCTTAACTTGTTCTTCACGTTATCGTAATAGTACAAAACATCATCAACCACACAAGCATTCTCCCACTTTTTAGCATTCACCATCTCTTCCTTTTCCCATTTACTTCCCTTTGGCTCGTAAAAAAAGCTCTTCTTACGATCCCTAAAGTACATCTTATTAGCCATCACCACACATTCCCAATTACTATCACTGTCAATCTTTATCGTCTCAGGCTCCCATGTTTGTGTTTCTGTATTGAACACAAACCATCACCTCCTTGTACGACTGCAAATCCCTAATATACGCAAACCCAATCACGTAGATTCTCCCGTCGATCATGTCAGCGTTCGTAACATCCATGAGCACAGGCATGCTCGGGAGGGGTTGCGCTGTGTGAGATATACAGTCGATGCTTAATGATGTCATATTGTTGAACATATATATCTTCGAGCCCATCGTGACGTAGCTACCATAACCAAAGGGATTCATAGAGGGCAGTGAGGGATAAGGAACAAGCCTTGATCTCCGTTGGCTTTCCGGCGGAGGATATACAGTTGGGGATAACAGCTATCCTTGTTAGAGAGGACAGCGTAGAGACAGTGTTCGGTGCAGCCCAATAAGGATCGTCTCGCGTATATCTCACGGGACGCAACGAGAGACCGGAAGTGTTTTGAAACGAGGGAGAGTTTTGGATAGTTGCATCTTGGTACACGCGCTAAGATGTCAACGATGACGTCTTCGGGAAGTGACGGCGACGATTGCTCTTTCTCTGCCCTAAGTTTTTTGGAAGACATGTTAATTGTATTGTATGACAGACTTTTGGGCGCAAATCCTTTATATTTATATTGTAAGCACAAGTTAATTGTGCAAGCAAATAGCGACATGTGGCAAGTCATATATCCAAAAACCACTTTATTCTCCAATCAAGATTTTTAATAAGTAGATTTCCTAAAATTTAGGAAAACTAGTTTTTCAAAGTAACTTCCAATTTGTAAACAAAAACCAAAATCCACTTTTTGGGTTTTTCTCTTGTACGAGAGATTTGTTTGTTTGTTTTTTTTTTTTTGCTTATATTTTAGTTTTTTACTATTTTCAAAATCTATAGCAAAACCAAAACCCAAAATCTAAAATCAGAAACTAAAATCCAAAATCTAAAAACTAGACAAAAACATTCATGGCACTTATACAAATAGTCTCGTGAAAGCTCTCTTATAATTTGGTTTTCTTTCTTAATTATATTTTGGTTTGTACGTTGAGTAGACATTATGAGTTTGACAAGTATAGCATTTCTTCAAGCATTATGAGAATGTCGATCGATTCCATAATTTTTTTGAATCTGATACACAGAAGCAACATAAACAAAGGGGATCCAAAACCCTCACAAGTAAACACAATTTAACATCAATAGTTTAACATAATGATTGTAGAGATAGTTTGAATATTAGAAGTTAAGTAATATCTGATTATTCCTTAGAATCAGTTATTTCTGTTGGCAATGAAGTTTGTAAGAACTATCAAAGGTTTCACTTTCTCCGAATCAAACCCTTTAAGATGTTCTTTCGCATCGTTCTTCAATCTCACAACAAACTCTTTCGATTTTTCAAGACCCAACACTTTCGGATACGTCAGCTTTCCGGCGATCTGATCTTTCCCGGCGGTTTTCCCCAATTCCGCCGACGACTTGGTCACATCCAAAATATCATCAACCACCTGAAACAACAATCCAATACACCTCGCAAAGTTTCTAACTTTCTCGATCTCTTCCTCCGACCCACCTCCGATAACCGCCGATGCTTCGAGCAACGAACCGGTTTTATGAACGTGAATAAACTCGAGCTTCTCTAATAAGCCGACGTCGTTTTGGCCCGACCCTTCACTGCTTAGATCCATCGCTTGTCCTGCGACGAGCCCTTTGGTTCCAATAGCCTTAGCCAGTTCCTTAACCGTTCGAACAATTCTCTCCGACGACACGTCAGCTTCCGTAAGACGCTCGAAAGCTAGAGTCAAGAGCGCGTAGCCGGAGTGAATGGCGACGTTTTCTCCGAAGACTTTGTGTGTTGTGGGTTTGCCTCGTCGGAGATCGTCGTTGTCCATGCAAGGAAGATCGTCTTTGATGAGTGACATCGTGTGAATCATCTCGACCGAACAAGCCGCCGGAATCGCCAGACGCTCTTCTCCGCCGACTAGCTCGCAGACGGCGAGGCAGAGTATCGGTCTCACCCGTTTCCCGCCGGCGAGGATGGCGTAGCGCATCGCGTTGTGGAGGCTGAGAGGCTCGACGAGTGGAATCGCTTGTCTAGTGCTCTGTTTATCGACTCTGCTTTGCCTTTCATGTACGTTTTGAAATCGAAATCTGAATCGTCTTCGTCGTTTTCTACTGGGATTGACGAATCAATGACGTCTTTTCTGGCGAAAACCGTCGGAGTTTTGATCGGGAGATGGAGGAGAGAGATTAGCCACAGTGTATTGGCCAGACTCAGCCGTTGTTTCAGAGTTGTGAACACAAAGTGTAAGGAGAGGAAGAAGAGTAAGAGATAGACAAAAATGGTTTGAGGTTCCATCTTTGAATCAACAGATTATAATTGAACAAAACTAATGGTGGAATGTTTCTGATGATGTTCATAAGCTTTGAAAGACTATGTTATATACACACAAAGTCTTTGAAATAATATACACTAGTAACTCCTTCATCTTGGAGTATAGAAACATGTAATGTCTGATAATTTATACTATAGAGTAGTAGCTACAGTTGCTTAGAATTCTCATTGATCCAACAAATGCCTTAGTGAAGACATCAACTAATTGAGAAAATTTGCATGCCTACTGATTTTCTTTTGTGGCCATATTAAGGGCATCTCCAGTAATGATGCCTCTTATTTTGAAGGGAAGATTGTTATTCCAAGATTGAATCCTCACAAAAATCTTTTAAAAAAAAAATTATTTGCTTTAGTTTGTGTTAAGTTTGTTAATGTACTTTTATTTTGTGTGAACTTTGTTTAATGAATTTTTCTTTTGAACTTTGTTTTTTAAAAGTTTGAATACTTGTCTGTTTTTATTTTTATTGTCTTTCACAGCCATACATAAAAGGGTTTGAAGAAAACATGTAATAGAAAATTCGGAATCAAAACATTATAAAAACCAGAGTGGATCGATTGCTTGAGAGTGATGGAATCTTTGTTGTAAATCTTACTGAATCGTTGCAAAGACAGAAGAAGAGGAACATGGCACTCGCCCTTGTTTTCATCAACCTTGCGCGTTTTTGTTTTCATGATGGATTTTATCGTTTTTTCAAGTTTTGAATGGAGAATTTTATGATTTATCAACGCATTTGGCGCAAGTTAATATTATTTTTTTTTTATTATTCATCTTTTTCCACTTCAACAAGGGGCATCATTTCGAAATACAGCTTCAAGTACAAAGGTGAAAGTGATTACATAAAATAAAACCAGAAACAAGACTTATGAGTTATGATCACTCGTGTGAAGCAAGGAGAAAATCCAATCGTCAAGCTAATTTTGTACGAAGCAGAACCAAGTATATATGAAGGACTCATGATTTGATTGGATGGTGATAAGTTATTCTCAAAGACAAACCTTCTCTATCCAAACCTGAAAGCTTTGCACGAATCAAGAGTTGAATTTCTGAGTTAATATTTATTTTTAATATATTAAAATCAAGAGTTGCTTCATGGTTTGTGCTACTACGTGTTGTCGTTGTATTAGCTCAGCAATAAATCCCTTCACGAATTCCTTCAAATCATATTGTTTCGGTTTACGTTAGTACTTAGTAGGATCGTTCCTCATCGAAACACAGTTAAGCAACCAGAGAATAACTGAACATGCTAGACCTAGTTAATCCACTACGATGGTAACGTGTCATATTGGAAATCAAAGTTCTTCTTCGCTGTTGTACCCTCACTTTCTAAACCCTCAGTAAACAGTATACAAGATAGTCTTGAATGATTTATCAGTGGACATACAACACAAACTGTTAGAGGAGAAATTAGCACATTTCCCTGAGCCCGTCATCATTAGTAAAGCCACAAAGTCCAATCCAACTTTAGGCCTAACTTCCTCAATAAAAAGGCAAGACTTGAGAAGAAAGGCACAATCCATGGAAAAATGTAAATAAATCTTCATGTCGACTTAAAGAATGGAAGAAGATAAAGAACAGGAGGAAGTTTTCCATATCGCAAAAGAGGAAGTTTTCCATCTCGTCTGAAGGAGAATATTCATCGTTCGGCCAAGTTATCAACACTATATATTGAAGACCCCCCATAGGGAAAAGATGATCCAAAATCACCTAGAATCATTAGGCCTTCACACCAGCTTTTACTCTCTCCTCTTGTTCATCATTGTGATCTCACTAGGCTTGTTAGCGAGATTGCTCCATTGTAACTTTCTTGATAATCTAAGAGTCGAATTAAGCATTCCAGTTTCCTAAACTCGCATCTTTGATAGCCGGTCTTGACGAGTGCTATCTCGGATCTAACACAAACCTCCAAGAAAACCAATTGAAACGCTTTAGAGAGATCACCTTTTAGCAATCCTCTAGAGGAGCTGAAGAGGAACTTTTTCATGGTGGTAGTCACTTGCCATCTAAGTGACGAGTAAACATTTTCAGCGAGCAACTTCCTTTTAGTGAAGGCTAACTAATTCGAGAATCGACTATAATCTTCCTTTTAGTGTTCATCATTTGATGGAGAATCGACTATAATCTATCAACCAATATCATTTTGTTTCATAATTTGAATATATCATATGCTTAAAGTGCTTCTTAGGTGATTTGTTTAATGACTTTCAAGTTTCAATATTAAGTGAAAATATTTTCCTTATAGAAAGCTCTATCAAATTTAACGTAACAATCTCTTACATTTTCCACACAAAAATTGAGTGTTATCCAACTATAGACAAGAAATGTCTTTGAACTTCATCGAAGCATAAATGACTCTGCCTTGATATATTTCTATGTACTATATGTTGAGTATAAAAAAAAAAGAAAATGCCACCACTTTGCAGTTCGAAGTATTGTGTGATTCCCCAAAATGCAAACACAATAATACTTGCAGTCTTGCATTGTAAATTTTTCAGAAGCAACTCATTCTTATTCCAGATAGTTTGTCTCATTCCAACAAATGCATTCCAACTTCTAATAAGTAGTTCAAGATTTTTTTCTCACAAATAACTTACTGTTCCTAGCATCTCATATGCAACACAAATGGAAATGCACATTAAACCATAAGAAGAAACCATAAGATGTTGGAAGTCAAATGATAAGCAGCACACAGTTGTTATAAAGTTATATGAAACATTGGACATACTTAAATTTTAAATTTTGATATAGATTTAGTTATAAAGATTTGCATTTACCAGTTAAAAAAACTTAAAACTGAGTATATAGTAGGTGGAGATCAAACAAGGATAATTGTCCAAAATTTAAGCATTAAAACTGTCCATAGAACAAAGGATTAAAGTCTGAATTATACATTTGAATCCCAGAAATGATTAATATTATAAGATTCCAATAATCATTTAGACCTCATTTTGTTGAGTTGGTTCAAAGCCGGCTGCAATATATTGTAAAGAACCCAAAGCAACGCCGGCGCGACCACAAACAACAACAACTGTCCCCTGTTGTCTCCAACTTTCGCCGCCGCTTCAGCCACCGCCGCCATCTCGTTAACCACACTAGCAGAAGCCTCCGGCGGAGAAGTCAGAAGCCCTGACGCGGCGAGACCACCACCGATGCCCAAACCCACGACGACTCCTTTGCTGGCACGCATCTTGTTGACCTGGTTAAGAGCTGGCTGGAGGATGTTGAAGAGCACCCAAGCGATCGCCGGGACGATCGGGAGGAGAAGAGCCAGGCCACGGTTGTCGCTACCTTCCACCGCGGCCGTCGCGAGCTGAGAGATCTGGTGTGCCGCGAAAGCGGGTTCGGAGTAGCTGAGGGCGGAGAAGACGGCGCCGGCGAGGGCGGTGGATGTGACGGCTAGTGAGACGGCTGGTTTTGGTGGGGATGGGAGGGAGATGAAGGGTTTGGAGGTGGAGGAGATGGGTTTGGTTTGGTTTAGGAGTTTGGGAGGAGATGAGTTTAGGGACATGCATTTGGCTGATGTTGCCATAGTCGCAGCCATTGATCGGAGAGCTTGAAGATGAGAAGAGAGAGAGAGAGGTTTGAGGAGTGTGTGTGAGATGGTGTTTTGGGAATATAGAAGGAGGATCAATGGAAATGAAAGGTTACTGGATGCTTCTCTTATCCAAGGAGAAGAGAGTTGGAGATTTTGGTTAAGTTTGAGCCACAGATTCTATGTCCCACTCTGCTTTTTCTTATCACTTCGCTTATTTCCTTTTCTTTTTCTACTTTAATTTTTGAGACAGTAATTACATATTTAATTATTAAGTTCGAAAAATAAAAGTAATATAATTAAAACATTTTTTAATTTTAGTATGCTCTCTCTTTTTCTTCTACGCGCTAGTCGGACTTCCAGCTTGAGTGGGATGAGGATTGTTAATTTGGTTAAAGATTATGGTTTTGGTGTGAGATCATATAATGTGGTTAAAGATTATGGTTTTGGTGTGAGAAGATGGTGTAGATAGGAACAAAAGTCTTTGATTTTGTGTGATGTAAGGATCATATATAATGGCTGATTCTAGACTTATTAAGGATTAGGTGTTTCAAATTTCGTTTTTTTTTTTTTCAATAAGACTTGTGTGCAATAGTATAACACAGTATGTATCTTCTTGATTTCTCTTAATACTCTCCGCTTTACGATTTTCATCATTTTTATTTTTGTTTAATTTGTTTTGCAGGGTAAAGTATGGCCGCATAAGAGTTCTCTTGCCTAGGCCTCGGCAAATTATCCATTATATTTGCTTCGATTCGTTATCCGTTTTGATTCGATCCGAAAAATCTGGATAACCGTAATTTTACGAAGCAAAGCAAATACTAAAAACTAATATCCATTAAAATCGGAGCAAATCACAAATACTGAAAATTTGAAAGCCGAATATCTATGTATATAAAATTACATATATAAATTGGATAATTGTTGTAACATCCATAAACCAAAAATAAAAATTGGGAATTTTGTCGGTTCAATTTAAGTGAATTGGTTTGGGTCGGTTTAGTGGAGAAAGCCCTAAAATCAAGTTTAAAGAGTGCAGCCGTCTTCTCTTTGGAGAATTTTCGAGTTCAGATGCTGTAGAGGAGAAAAGTTGAGTTTTTGGAGAGATTTTCGATTTTACTGTTCATACTGTTCATCGGTACTGTTCACGGGTTACTGTTCATCGGTACTGTTCACGGGTTACTGTTCATCGGTACTGTTCACGGGTTACTGTTCATCCGCGATTCGGCACTGTTCATCGTCCTTCCTTTTTCCTTCAGTTTCAGTCATTGTCAAGGTGAGTGCATGACTGTGGGTCCGCGATTTGCTAGATTAGATTTGGTTTGTGATTGTTCTTGATGAGTTTATGTGTTTAATTGTTATTTCATGATATTTTGGTTGTTTATGTGATGAATTGTGTGTTTGTGTGGTTAATCAGGTTAATTGAATTTTGGTTTAATTGGTTTAATTTTTAATTGATTTGATTCTGGTTTTCTTGGTTAATTGAATTTAATTGTTTAATTAATTTAATTGATTTGATTCTGGTTTATCTTGGTTCAATTGAATTTAATTGGTTTATATTGGTTTAATTGAATTTAATTGGTTTAATGGAATTAAATAGATTTAATTCGGATTTAATTAATTAAATAATATTTATTTAATTAATTGGTATTATTTTAATTATTTTAAAATATGGAAAATTATTATTTAATTATGAGAATTATTTAATAATTGAGAAATTGAGTTTTAATTATTAAAATTATTTAATAATTGGAAAATGGTATTTAATAATTATTGGAGTTTATAAATATTATTAAATATCTAGTAAATTGCGTAAATGGCTCGTAGGCAGAGTGATTGCCTCACTAAGTATTTATTAAATACTTACGCAACTCCATTCCAATGTGTTGCAGGTAAAAGATTTGTGTGATCGCGGAATCAAGGCTGAAGAGGGGGATGATAGGATGTTTACTGTTTTATTGTTTTGCATTATTTTGCTAGACTTGTTTAATTATTATTTGCTTCCGCTGAGCTGATTTATTTGTTATTGATATTTTATTTATTTAATTTATTTTTAAGACCTTCGCTAGAATTGATTAATATTTATTAAAAAAAAAAAAATGTTGGTTGTTTCATTTTGGTATCAGAGCCTAGACGGTTTTAGGACTGTTAGAATTGCTAGGCTTTAGTATCATCCCCTTCAGCTACAAGAGATTCCGCGGTGAGTTTATGTTTGTTTTGAGTTTTGGTTGCGTGTTCTAGTGTGCTCTTTTCGGTTCCATGAGTGAGATGGACTGAGTAGCTAGAGGTTGTGGCGCGAGAGGGCGCGGTGCTCGAGGCCGTGGTGGCAGAGCGAGAGGCCGGGGCCGAGATTGTGGACTTCGGCGGATTCGGGAGAGAGTGTGGTGCCTAGTGTGGCGACTGCGTCGGTGACCCAGTCGGTATCCGTGGCGAGTGAGGCCAGTGTGGATGCGAGTGTTGGTTTGGGAGCGGGGGCTGCTCCGGGTTGGGGTGGTGCTCCGGCTCAGGGTCTTGATGACTTAGTGGTGGGTTTGCTGACGCAGTTATTGGCTCGTTTTCCGCCAGTGGTTCCACAGGGGGCTCCGGGAGTACCTCCAGTGGCAGAGGTGCAGCAGAGGGCTGCGGGATTTGTTCAGCCGCAGGCTGTGGGTTTGATGGTGCCGCCTATTTGGATATGATGGGGCACATGCAGAGGATTGGTACGCCGTACTTTAGGGCGGAGTTAGCCCAGAGGCGGCAGATTAGTGGCGTAGAGATTGGAGCGGAATTTCCAGTCTATCAGATGTTTGTTTAGTACCAGGTTGAGTTGGCAGTCCACTATCTGAGTGGAGATGCACATTTGTGGTGGCGGGTCATCGAGGGCATAATGGTTGTTGTTGTTGTGTGTTGTTCATTTATCTGTGATAAAATTGTTGAGGTTCTCAAGCAATGTGTTTCGTAATGACCTTGTTAGTGGGCGGTTTTGAGTCCCACGTTTTATTCGACTCTGGAGCATCGAATTGCTTCATTACACCGGAGCGTGCCGAGAAGAGTGGCATCCGGAGTAGCGCGGGCGAGAGCGCGGGCATGGTCAAGGTGGCGGGAGGTGGATTCTTGTCTACTTTGGGCCGTGCTAGAGGAGTCGAGATCGAGATTGCGGGGCAGTCAATGCCAGCAGACTTAGTCATCAGTCCGGTGGAGCTGTATGACGTTATTCTCGGGATGGACTGGTTGTCACACTACAGAGTTCATCTGGATTGCTACAGAGGTAGAGTGGTCTTCGAGCGAGATGCAGGGAGGTTGGTTTATCAGGGAGTGAGACCGACTTCCGGGAGTATTGTGATATCTGCTATTCAGGCCGAGCAGTTGTTAGAGCGGGGCTGTGAGGCGTATCTGGCGACGATTTCTATGTCTGAGTCAGGAGCTGGAGTTGTTATGGGAGATATTGAGGTTGTCCAGGATTTTGAGGATGTCTTTCAGTCACTGAAGGGATTACCACCATCTCGGTCTGATCCTTTCACGATTGAGTTAGAGCCGGGGACAGCACCGATATCGAAGACGCCTTACAGGATGGCGCCAGCTGAGTTGGCAGAGCTGAAGAAGCAGATAGAGGACCTTTTGTCTAAGGGGTTCATTCGACCGAGTGTTTCACCGTGGGGAGCACCGGTGTTGTTTGTGAAGAAGAAGGATGGCAGTTTCAGACTTTGTATCGATTACAGAGGTCTTAACCGAGTCACTGTGAAGAACAGGTACCCACTCCCGAGGATTGATGAGTTGTTGGATCAGTTGAGGGGTGCTACTTGGTTCTCCAAGATTGACTTGGCATCGGGGTATCATCAGATCCCGATAGATGAGGCAGATGTCAGGAAGACTGCTTTCAGGACGCGTTATGGGCATTTTGAGTTTGTGGTTATGCCTTTCGGTTTGACTAACGCGCCGGCAGCCTTCATGAGATTGATGAACGACGTGTTCAGGGAGTATTTGGACGTGTTCGTCATCATTTTCATTGATGATATTCTGGTATACTCGAGGAGTCAGGAGGAGCATGCGACTCACTTGAGGTTGGTTCTGGAGAAGCTTCGGGAGCAGAAGCTTTTTGCTAAGTTGAGCAAGTGCAGTTTCTGGCAGCGAGAGATGGGATTTCTTGGCCACATTGTTTCTGCAGAGGGAGTTTCTGTGGATCCGGCTAAGATTGAGGCTATCAGAGATTGGCCTAGACCTAGTAGTGCCACCGAGATCAGGAGTTTTCTGGGTTTGGCAGGATACTACAGGAGGTTCGTCAAGGGGTTTGCTACCATGGCGCAGCCGATGACGAAGTTGACCGGGAAGGATGTCCCTTTTATTTGGTCAGCTGAGTGTGAGGAGAGCTTTAGTCAGCTCAAGGAGATGTTGACTACTACACCAGTGTTGGCGTTACCCGAGCCAGGGAAGCCTTACATGGTGTATACAGATGCTTCAGGCATTGGTCTTGGTTGTGTGCTGATGCAGGAGGGCAGAGTGATAGCATATGCTTCGAGACAGTGGCAGGGCAGTGAGCGTAACCGTCCTACACATGACTTAGAGTTGGGAGCAGTGATCTTCGCGTTGAAGATTTGGAGGTCTTACTTGCTAGGTGAGACAGTACAGGTCTTCACGGATCACAAGAGTTTGCAGCATATCTTCACTCAGCCGATGATGAACGCGAGACAGACGCGCTGGGTTGAGTTCTTGGCGGATTATCAGGTGAGCATTAACTACCATCCGGGCAAGGCTAACCTAGTGGCGGACGCGTTGAGTAGACGGAGGTATGATTCCGCAGTTGAGCGAGATGTGGAGTCTCTAGTTGGCGAGATCAGTACCTTGCGTTTGTGTGCCATTTCGCATGAGCCTTTGGGTTTAGAGGCGGTGGATCAGGCGGATCTACTTAGCAGGATCAGAGTTGCTCAGCAGAGTGATCAGAGTTTGCTAGATGCGACGAGAGTGACTGGTTCTGAGTATGAGGTCTCTGCGAATGGGACTATCTTGGTTCGTGGGCGAGTTTGTGTGCCTAAGGATGTGGAGTTGAGACATCAGATTTTGGGAGAGGCTCACGCGAGCAAGTTTTCCATTCATCCGGGAGCGACCAAGATGTACCATGACCTCAAGAGGTACTATCATTGGGTCGGGATGAAGAGGGATGTAGCAGATTGGGTTGCGAAGTGCAACACTTGTGCCTTGGTGAAGGCAGAGCATCAGGTTCCGGGTGGTCTTTTGCAGAGTTTACCCATTCCGAGTGGAAGTGGGATAGGATTACGATGGATTTCGTGGTTGGACTACCTGTTTCAAGGACTTTCGATGCTATCTGGGTGATTGTGGATCGGTTGACTAAGTCTGCACATTTCTTGGCCATCAAGAAGACAGATGGAGCTGCTGTCTTGGCTAGGAAGTTTGTGCGAGAGATTGTGAGGCTGCATGGAGTGCCAGCTAGTATTGTGTCAGACCGTGATCCCAGATTCACTTCAGAGTTTTGGAGGGCGTTTCAGGCAGAGATGGGCACTAAGGTGCATCTGAGTACAGCTTATCATCCGCAGACAGATGGTCAGTCAGAGAGGACTATTCAGACTTTGGAGGATTTGCTGAGGATGTGTGTGTTGGATTGGGGTGGCCATTGGGCAGATCACCTAAGCTTAGTTGAGTTTGCATACAACAACAGCTTTCAGGCGAGTATTGGCATGGCTCCATTCGAGGCTTTGTATGGGAGGCCATGTAGGACACCCCTATGCTGGACCCAAGTGGGGGAGCGCAGCATGTATGGAGCTACTTATGTTCAGGAGACGACAGAGAAGGTTCGTGTTGTGAGGCTGAACATGAAGGAGGCTCAGGATAGGCAGAAGAGTTATGCAGATAGACGCAGACGAGAGCTTGAGTTTCAGGTTGGAGATAGAGTTTATCTCAAGATGGCTATGTTGAGGGGTCCTAACAGATCCATAGCAGAGAACAAGCTGAGTCCGCGATTTATGGGTCCGTTTCCAGTAGTGGAGCGAGTTGGGCCATTAGCTTACAGGCTGGAGTTGCCTGAGATTATGAAAGCCTTTCACAAGGTTTTTCATGTGTCGATGCTGAGGAAGTGTCTTCATCCTACAGAGGAGTTAGTGGCTAGGATTCCAGAGGATCTTCAGCCAGATTTGACCGTGCCGGCAGTGCCTATGAGGATTTTAGAGAGGAGGGAAAAGGTTCTGAGGAACAAGAGGATTCCCTTACTTAGGATTTTGTGGGATTGCAGTGGTTCTACAGAGGAGACTTGGGAGCCAGAGGCAAAGATGAAGTTGAAGTTCAGGAAGTGGTTCGACAAGCAGGTCGAGGAGTGAGCTTATTTCATCTTTGTAGCCTCAGTTGTTATTTTTGGCTTTGGTGTTATTGTATTTTCGTTTTCGTTGTAACGATTTACATTTTGGAGTTTTAATGAGATGCAGTTTTTCCTCATTTTGCCTTGTGTTGTGAAAAGGTATTCGGATGTTACACATGTTTGACCAGTTTTTGGTTGTGAGACGGTCTAATCTTATGGTTATAGACATTTTCCGGAATTTTTACTCTAAGGATTGCGATCCTGAATAACTCATCATGTTTTTGGAGACTTCGTTCTCTGGCAGACTCTCTGGGTGCAAGTAGGCCTCAGTTGAGTGTAGCTTATATGGGTGCAAGTAGGCCTCAGTATAAGCAGTTTAGTTCATCTGGGTGCAAGTGGGCCTCAGTATGGACGTTTTCGGGTTCGTCTGGGTGCAAGTGGGCCTCAGTGCGGACCGGTGTGGACTTGTCTGGGTGCAAGTGGGCCTCAGTACAAGTTGTTTGGTGTGTTTGGATGATGAGTTAGGAGTGAAATTTTCTTGGAACGTGTTTATGACATAAGATATGACGTTTGTCTCGGGGATCAAGTGAGGATCTCCGGTGTTGCGGCCTTGCGAGGTTGGGTTTTGTGGTCTTTGTGACGTTTGCGTTGGGATTCGAGGACGAATCCAGTTTAGTGGGGAAGAGTTGTAACATCCATAAACCAAAAATAAAAATTGGGAATTTTGTCGGTTCAATTTAAGTGAATTGGTTTGGGTCGGTTTAGTGGAGAAAGCCCTAAAATCAAGTTTAAAGAGTGCAGCCGTCTTCTCTTTGGAGAATTTTCGAGTTCAGATGCTGTAGAGGAGAAAAGTTGAGTTTTTGGAGAGATTTTCGAATTTTACTGTTCATCGGCACTGTTCATCGGTACTGTTCACGGGTTACTGTTCATCGGTACTGTTCACGGGTTACTGTTCATCGGTACGGTTACTGTTCACTGTTCATCCGCGATTCGGCACTGTTCATCGTCCTTCCTTTTTCCTTCAGTTTCAGTCAATTGTCAAGGTGAGTGCATGACTGTGGGTCCGATTTGCTAGATTAGATTTGGTTTGTGGTTGTTCTTGATGAGTTTATGTGTTTAATTGTTATTTCATGATATTTTGGTTGTTTATGTGATGAATTGTGTGTTTGTGTGGTTAATCTGGTTTTGAATTGGTTTAATTGGTTTAATTTTTAATTGATTTGATTCTGGTTTATCTTGGTTCAATTGAATTTAATTGGTTTAATTGAATTTAATTGATTTGTTTAATTAATTTAATTGGTTTAATAATTGAATTTAATTGGTTTAATTTAAATAGATTTAATTCGGATTTAATTAATTAAATAATATTTATTTAATTAATTGGTATTATTTTAATTATTTTAAAATATGGAAAATTATTATTTAATTATGAGAATTATTTAATAATTGAGAAATTGAGTTTTAATTATTAAAAATTATTTAATAATTGGAAAATGGTATTTAATAATTATTGAAGTTTATAAATATTATTAAATATCTAGTAAATTGCGTAAATGGCTCGTAGGCAGAGTGATTGCCTCACTAAGTATTTATTAAATACTTACGCAACTCCATTCCAATGTGTTGCAGGTAAAAGATTTGTGTGATCGCGGAATCAAGGCTGAAGAGGGGGATGATAGGATGTTTACTGTTTTATTGTTTTGCATTATTTTGCTAGACTTGTTTAATTATTATTTGCTTCCGCTGAGCTGATTTATTTGTTATTGATATTTTATTTATTTAATTTATTTTTAAGACCTTCGCTAGAACTGATTAATATTTATTAAAAAAAAAAAAATGTTGGTTGTTTCAATTGTTATATCTATATCCAAATTTTATAAATCTATATTCATCAAATTGATTATTTAAACACTATAAGAAATAAAAAATAAAAATTACTAATAGTTTTTTGAATAAATTTTTTTTTGTGTTAAAAATTGATTTTCTGATTTTTTTTTAAATATGAATATTTTTTTTAATATTTACGGAGCGGATAATTCGGGGATACTAAACAAAGTTACGGATATCCGGATCAAACGGATCGGAGTGGATATCCGCGGATATTAAACTAAGTTACGAATATCCGGATTTTCGGATATCCGAATATTTTCGGATCGGGTCGGATCAGAAAATCAAATATCCTAACGGAACGAATCGGATCACGGATACCTGTTTTTCCCCTGATATTTGCTCCGTGCCCAGGGCTACTCTTGCCATCTAAAGATATCCAATAAAAAGAACAATAAGATGATGTAGTCTTGAACCTAATGTATGTTTTATTAAATGTATGACTATGAGTTTAGTCTTCTATTTTCAGTTTCTGTTTTAGGCTTTTAGCTGATAAGAAAATGCATAGTTTCTCTTTGGAACGATCAACAAGCCTCCGCAGAATCTTATCAATATATAATTTTTTTCCATGAGACAAGTGACATTCATAAGCTAATTGCCATTAAAAATATTAAACAACTAGTCACTGGAATTCCATCGGTAATGAGTACATACAGTGATCATTTTCACATAAGGGACTCTGAGAAGGCGACCAAATCAACAATCTAGACAGGTGCGACAGGAAGACTGATATGAATATCCTGACTCTGACAGGTCTACTGTGGCTGCGGAACGACCATGTTGTCGTTTTCCAGCAGCGACAGTACATTCGGCATTGGTGGTCTGATTTGATGGTCTTGGACGCATACAAGTCCTATTTGTATGCATCTCACGACTCGTTCATCTGTTGGCGGCGGTGGTGGCGATGATGATGACGGCAATGTAAGTCACGAATGACCGGATCTATCATATCTCTTCTACTGTCCCTTCTTCCCATTTCTTCAAAACCTGTTCATTCAGATCATGAAACCTTTATTAATTTTTGTTATAATCTGACATGCAAAAGAAGATATAATCAATTAAATCCAAGAAGCAAGTAGCTTACGTCGCCGGTTAGGTTAAAATCGACGGCCATACCGTTCCTCTTGCCAGTAACAATCTCTAGAATCAAAACTCCGAAATGTAAACATCCAATTTAGCCGGTGACTGTCCCGTTATTGGTATACGCTGGTGGCATGTATCCGCTGCGTACGTAGTGAAGAACATTAAAACATGTCAACTGTATTTAATTTATTTAGTCAACGACACAAAATTATTATTTTCCAGACAAAAGAGATTAGATTGGTTTTTTTGTTGCTTACAGTGTTCCGCCTATTTTCAGCGTGTTAGCTTCCGCCTCGTCCATCCTAGCCAACCCAAATCCGAGATATTTGGAGTCATGTCCTTATCAAGCAGCACTTTGCTCCATTTCATATCCCTGTGGATAATTCTGAGCCTCGAGTCGTGGTGAAGATACAACCCTCGAGCTGTCCCAATCAGAATCTCGAATCTCCTCTGCCAGTTTGAGACAATCACAATCACAGTGGTTTATTCTCAGTAAAAGCTATCTAATCAATCTGAAAATATAAAAATATAAGACTTATTGAGTACTAACTGAAGATATGAGAGTCTAGGCTTCCGTTCTGCAAATACTCGTACACGAGCATCTTCTCTCTCGTGTCCACGCAGCAGCCTAAAAGCCGTACGAGGTTTCTGTGTTGAAGCCTAGAGATTAGCTTCACCTCGTTGAGGAACTCCCTCGTACCTTGGCTCGACTTCTTTGCCAATCTCTTCACAGCAATTTCTTGCCCGTCCACCAACTTCCCCTGTTTAACCACATAAATACGATTTCTTGTTACACACTCAATCGCAAAATTATCATAATTCCACTATTCTTGCCTTATAAACTGAAACGAAGCCACCAGTTCCGATTTTGTTGGAGTCGCTGAAGTGGTTTGTAGCCACAGAGATAGTTTCCACAGCCATCAACGGAAGCTCTGTATTGTCTTCTACTGATAAACGTCTCTTTCTGGATATAACGACATTCTCCATTCCTTCTTGGTTCACTGTGATTTTACAAGAAATCTGAATTGAAACTGAAAACATGAAATTGTAAATTGTAAACATTTGGTTTGAAAAATGTTGTACCGATATGTCTTGCAACTCCATTCCTCTTCCGCAAACGCAAGATGATATAAGGGATCAAGATAAGCAAACCTATGCCGCTAACAATCAAAAATATTATAGCAATTATCTTTCTCTTCACCCATGGAAAATATCAAAAGAGCCAAAAGTTTATAAGTCATTGTGAAACTCCTTCTCCACATTTTCTGATTATAATTCAATCATACATTAAAACTATTAGAAAAATTGAATTAACAAGAATCAAAATAATTAACATAATATAAGCAAAATATAAGTAAAATATAAGCAAAATATAAGCAAAATATAAGCAAAATATTTGTAAATTATAAGAAAAACATAATAAAAGTGACAAAATCATGCTAAACATAATGGTGAGAACAACTGTAGTGCGAGAAGAATAATGCACCGTAAAACTATGGCGAGAATTTTATTGAGTAAACAAAAGGATTACTCTACTTTCAGTGGATAATTGGAAATGTAATGTTTATTGAAAGGATACGTTTACAAATGCCGTAATTGTTTCAATAAGCAAAGTTACACATTCATCTACTCATTATAAACAAAGTATTTTTACAACACAAAGTTCAAAGCGTATGTAACAAGATGGGAATAATAAATATGGTAAACAAGAAATCAAATAAACTAGTACCCAATACCGAAGGAACGGCTCCTGGCCTAAACCCTGGCCCTCCGTAATAGAAATGAGTCTTCCACTCATCTGTATACGCAATCTTAATGTTGTAGTAATTACAGTTGGTTTCTATTTTCTTGTAATCTCGAACCGTCTGGAGATTGTTGTTCTTATCTACGATCTCAATGTTTCGGAAATAACTACTGTTTATGAATCCTTCATCGGGGAAGTGGTCGGACCCCATCTGAGTCTTCGTGTGTCGCCCGTGACTTCCCGAGTTACTACGAGGGTTGCGTGATCAGCTAAACTCGTGAAAAGCTCTCTCGGCCAGTATCCTATCACTAAGTTCTTAGACCCTAAGCTCAACGACCAGTTCCCACATAAAGGTATCCACACAATGAGAAAGAGAAACTAACCTTCCATACGATCGAGGACGGTAAACTCATATTGGCTACCTCCAAAAGAAGAAATAGGAGTAATCGAACCTCCAATACTGCTACAGGTTTGTATAAAATTAGAGCACCGAAGGTTATAGTAAGTAGTAACCATGTATGCACGTGTCAATAGTAACCATGCATGTAAGTGATTCTTCTGCACCTCTACAAAAGCTGCAAATATTTTGTTTCAACATCTCTACAAAAGCTAAAACTATTTTGTTTCAAAGCCAAGTAGAAGACATGTATTCAAGATATGATAATTCAAATACTGTGTTTCTACCGATGAATATATGTTGATTCCATTTTTTTTCTTTTTTTTTATCAAGAAAACAAAACTTTAGTTACGAAAAGGCATAATTCATTGAAAATTTCGGAAAACACTATGAAGGGATCTTAAAACATTTAGTGCTGTTTGAAAACTCTATGAAGAACCCTCACTAAAAATTGTAGTATTTTTGAAACTAGGTGTTTTACCCGCGCACCGTTTTAATTTGTTTTTAAACAATTATTTTTATGATTTTTATTTTTTTTCCTTTTAATATTAAATTTTTGTTAATTATTTTAAGTTTCTGTTTTATAATCTAACACTCTTGTTCAGTTTCTTTTAGTGATTCCAATTCCTGATGTTTTGAAGCATTGAAAATATGTTTTTAACTTATGTATTTGCATTTGTTTTTGTGATTGTTTTTAAATGTATTCTTGTTCTTAATTTACAATGAACCGCAGTATAACCAAATCATATTTAATAACTTATAAACTTTGAGGCCTCTTTTTTGGCCCAAATTCTGTAATTGCACATATCTACATTACCCAATTTTTTCAAACCCTAATTAATCGTCACACATACACAAATACACAAAGAAATATCAATTATGGGAACCTATAAAAAATGGGTTTTGTGCAAAACAACCTTCAAACTAAATTTTTTTTGCAAATCAAACCCTCAATTTAAAGTGGAGCAAATCAAACCTCTGAAGTCAAAATAACCCCGCAATATAAGACATCTCTATATTTGTGACAAAATTTAAATTGATTTTATGCAAAAAAATCCACGAACTATTTTGTATGTGCAAATCTAACCCTCAACTTAAAAAATATGCAAGTCAAAACCTGCAAAATTGAAAGTCAATGCTAAAATGGACTTATATGTATTTGTCCTTAACTACAAACGTTGACTCAAAACGTCTTGGCATTTATAATATTTTAACCATTTTTATTAAAAGTAAATTAAAAAAAAAAAACTTTAATCTTTAATTTCTTTTCTCTTTCTCCTCTTATCAATGAATTTATCTCAAGTAATCTTATCGCGTATAAGTTGATTCTTTACTTCACGAAGAGACAAAGATAAGAACTAATTTACTCGCAATAGAATTATTCGAGAGAGGCTCATAAAGACATAGGATTTCAGATCTTCCAAGTAATTATATTGTAAGTAAGTTGGTTCGGTTTTGATTTTCTGGATTGGTTACGGTTTAGTTTTTTTGGATTTGGTTAAAAATCCTAATCCTCTCCTTATTGATGGAGAAAAAAGAGAAGAAATATTGAATTATTGTTTTAAGTATTTTTAATAAAAATGGTTAAAATATTATAAATGTCATGATGTTTTGAGTCAACGTTTGTAGTTAAGAACAAATACATATAAGTCCATTTTAGCAGTGACTTTTCTATTTTGCAGGTTTTGACTTGCGTATTTTTTAAGTTGAGGGTTAGATTTGCACACAAAAAATAGTTCGCGGGTTCTTTTACATAAAATCATTTTAAATTTTGTCATAAATATAGAGATGTCTTATATTGCGGGGTTATTTTGACTTCAGAGGTTTGATTTGCACAACTTTAAACTGAAGGTTTGATTTGCAAAAAGAATTTAGTTTGAGAAACCCATAAAAAATCTATAGTCATTTGTCTCCTCTTTAAAATTCTAAATATTTTGTATTTTATCAATCGTCATCAGTTTGTCACGCATAACTCCATATCAAATATACATACATACACATGTCAATCACCCAGAATTTTGTCCTCCCCGAACATTTTCACTGTTTAGTCTTTTCTCAGCCACGTTTTCAGTCACTTTTTCAAATTTAATTAAATGCTCTCGCTTAACACAATTACTTTTGGATCTATCGCTTCCTTCTCTGTCGACAATTCAGCTACCCAATGCACTTAACTCAGCAGCTCAAAGCCGTAACTCTAACACACGTCTGGTACTGTCGCGGTGATCAGCTCGGACATTTCCTCACCTTGTTCTTTCATCATCCTGTTCAATCTTGGAACCAAAGCTTGCTGAACCTCTGTAATCTGTCAAGACCAAGATCCAAGAGTAGCTTGAAAGCTTCTTCTAATAGCTTTGCAGGCGACGATCCATTGCATGCATCTGGTCAGAGAGAAACTCATGTCTTCATCGGAACAACTTCAAAACTACGGATCTTCTTCTCAGAAAAATTGATCAACTGGTGAGAAACAGAGTCTCAACCTTCAGAGAATCAACCCCGGAACTTGCCTCATCGCTGCTGCAGAAATGGTTTGCAGGTTCTTCATCTATCTGAAGAAAACCTTTATCGGTGATTCATTCATCATCCATATATGATGTAGCGGAAGCTACGATAAACACAGCTCAACCTATGATTCAAAAAAATTAGTCGGGACCTGCTAGCTTAACCAAGAGATTTGATAATCCTCGGACCTGCTTCTTGAACTCGTTGAGATCTCTCTAGATCTACCGAAAACAAGGATAGAGAATACTCTTCTCTCAAAGCCTAAGCTCTTTTATTAATAATCAACAACCGAATACAAAAAGAGGCCTAGACGGCTTATTTATAATAAATCTCAAAACTAGAAAACCCTAAAATAATAATAGGAAATTACCAAAATAATAATATAAATAATTAGAATATTTCTAAATATCTCTTTGCATCAATATCACCTTGGAGCGATAACTCTCAATCTCGTCAACCTTATTTCAGTTGGCCCAACCAACTTTTCGGTTCAATTTTAATTATTATGGTTCAATTATAGTCATATTCAGTAAAATGTTGGCTGAATGAGCCATTGACGTTATTAATTGATTGGATCTTGATGTGTAAGGCAAGTGTGATAACCACTATACCACAGCACATTGTTGCCAAGAAAAGAAATTTATTTCTCTAATTACTTAATGCATTTGCAATGAAAAATGTTTAAGTCTGAGATTTCAGTAAAATGTTGGCTGAATGGATCATTATTAATTGTTGGATCTTGTACAATAATAGTATAGGCTTCTTAATCAATTTTTCACTACTACAAAAGAGACCTTCTAATGTCATTGCTTATTAGATAATCTATATGAAAATTACAATTATTAAAATCTAATTAATAAAATATTTGTAAAATAGTAAATTTACTAAAATTAATATGTTAAAGTAATACTCATTCCTTTCCTTAATACTTGATGTTTTAGAGTTTTCAAATAGATTAAGAAATAATTAATACTTAACTTTTATTGTATTACTTTTCATTTTAAATAACTATTAACCAATAAAACCTATAGCATTCTCTCGAAGTTTGCATTTTTTTAGATTTATTAACAAAAAGTAACTTTAAAAACTAAAAGATCAAACAATATGGAACAAAGAAGAAAAACTTAAACATCAAATATTAAGGAAGGGAGGGAGTAATACTGATGTGGAATGAAAGAAAATATATGGATATTAAAAAAATGTAAAATTTGCTAATAAGAATAAAAAGGAAATTAGAAAAATAATTATTCAATGAAAAAAAAGTAATGACATGGACCAATCAAATTCAGTTTTAAAATCCTAGGTGGACACCTTTAGAAGCATATATGGTCAACTTTTATTAGTAATATATAGAATGATGGTAATTCAATTTTTTTGGCTCGAATCAAAATATTTAACACTTTGAATAGAATATACTAGAGGCCTGATTGGTTGTGTCTGTAGCTTTAGATTTTTTGCTGTAGAATTTATGCTGTAGATTTTTTTGTTGTGGTTGTAGATTATAGTGCTGTAGAATTTTTCATTATAAATAATTTCTTATCAAATATCATAAATGTAGCATTAAAAAAACAATAAAAGAGATATAGGAAAGAAATATTAAAAAAGGAATATAGAGAATGTGATTAAGGAATGAGAAGAGAGAGAATTCTCAGAGCCCTTAAATTTGTGCTCTGAAAAATCTTCTTTGCAGAACCAAAATATTTCCATATTTAAAATTATTGCTCTAAACTTAAAAAATGAAATCAAAGTATGATTGGTTTAACACTAGTGCTCTAGAAATAATTATTGTTCTGTGGAGTACTCAGAGCACTTACCAATCACGCCCTAGATATATTTTTGTTAGACTTTAATTTTTTTTTATAAAGTTGTTAAGCACTTGGCTTATATAAGTACTTCAAATTTTAATATTTTACTATTTGTTTGCAATTTTTTTAACAAGTTCGTATAAATTTTGCTCCACAAAATTGTAATTATCCAAACCTTTTTAGATCAAATCAAAGCATGTAACATTTCAAAGTGAATATATTAGAGATTTATTTGTTAGATACTGTAACTTGAAAATATACATTTAAATATATGGAGGAGAATGGATAAAAAATATTCGTTGTTATAAATCATAACGTTTTTTTTAACATCATAAATCAGAATTATTACGAACTTAACGACTTCGGATGTGCAGAGTGCATTTGTTAGGAGAAAACCGGTGGCCTCAAGGAACTCTGGCTGGCGGGAACATGTGGTACGTGCAGTTTTACGAAATATTGCAATGCATCGTAGGAGAAAGATGTAACATTAATTGGTCCCAAAAAAAAATTGTAACATGAGCTTTTTCCACCTGAATTGGGAAGGAACGATCATGATAACTTTGGAACGACAAATGAGCTATCATCGTAAAGATTCTCTGATACTTAAATCAGAATAAAATAATATGACTGAGTGACCGAGGAATCTAATAACACAATTTTAGAGAGAAAAGTGAAAGTTATCTCTCTAGATTATCTACTCTGAGAAAATATGTGGGGATTCCTTGAAAGTAATTTAGGAAATAATGAAGTTAAAAACTGTTATATTGTATAACTTATTTTGGAGTCCATCCTCTTATAGATAGTGTTTGGTGCACTGCCGCATTGGACATAAAGAGTCTCGTAAAAATGATATGATGCTCCTTATAACAAAAATTCTAGCATTTGGTTTAAGTTATTTATTTCACCTATTTGTTAGATTGTCACGTCTTAATTTACACTTTTGAGCTTGTACATGAGGCGAAAGATTAGTATTTAGCAAATGTGATTTCCAAAGTAATGGAGGATCGTAAACCATATGAAGTTACAAAAGGTATTTGCTTGTGGAGGTAAAGGATCATCCAGGCCATGATGAATTGGCATTAGTCAGCTTTTTCTTCAAAGTTAGTTGAATTTCAGTTTATTTTTCTTTTTAACTATTTCATTGATTTTTCTACTTGTTTGATTCCAGGATGGAATAATATATGAACCAATTGTCGGATATTTCATCATACATGCACAAAGTTTTCCATTTTTCATGTACCAAAATGTTTAATCAATGGAGTTTTTCACGTTGGCTACAAGACCAGCCAAATCTCTAGTTTAACATGTATATATGTATATACAATAAGTTTGTATCTTTGATCATTTTACTCTAAAACATGTTTTGCAATTTCATATCTAACTATTACTAATTCTTCATATATCAAAATCTATATTTTATAACAGTTGACCATTTTTTTTGGATAAAAATAACAGTTGACAATTGTGAATTTGTATTAATAACTAACATGGATTAAACTGTAAAGCAGATGACTGACAAACAAGCGAGGAATAGATTGACTACAATCAGAGAAATGGGAGACAACAAAAATGGAGATGTGGTTTGGAAATCACTAAAACATTTTGCTGTAAGTAGTCTAAAAGTTTCTAAAACTCCAAAATCCAAATCTAGAATCATTCACTGTAAAACCACTTTTTTATTTGAACTATTTTTACACTAAAAGAAACAAAAACTCATCATCATTTTGTACTACACATCGGCTGTAACTGGTAACCAAAGAATGCGGGGGAATAATACAATTTCCTTTCATTCCCTAAAAATTACACCATTTACAAGAAATACATATCCCATATTATTCCTTCTCATTCCATATTAATTAAGGAGTTTTAGTGTTAAATTATTCCTTATAAAATATGGAGAGGAATGGATTCCATTTATTTTATTCCTCTTCATTCCATTCCTTCTCATTCTTTTTATTCCTTTTTATCTACTTCAAAAATAATTTTTCCTTTTATCAAAAACTTTCTTTTTTTCACAAAGCAAATGGCAAATAAATATGGACTTGGGCTTGTAATTACAAGTGGACTTGATAGTGTTTTCATCTCCATCTGTGGACGAAGACACCTATTCGCTTTTGTGGGGAAAACGTATAGAGAGATATATAAAGATTGAAGCTTTACCCAAATCCTTTCTTCGTTGCCATAAAAAACCCAAAAGGAACAATCTTTTTTTTTATAGAAATTCACGGAGATGAACAACAGAAACCAAATAGATTGGAAAGTCCCTTCCTTTTCTTCTCTCTGAAATTCCACCGCAAATACCAAAACTCACAATCTCTCTGTTTTTCTCTCTCTTTTGGTCCAACTTGTGAGTCCCAAAGTCTGGTAATTTTTCCCTTTGAAAACCATCATCCATGTAGATTTTTGGTGATAAATTATGGGTCTCTTCTGATCCATGTTGATGATCCACGATCAACGATCGACGATCACGATCCCCAGGAACAGAGAAATTGATTTTATGTTTTGGATTTTTTTTAACTGATCGCTTAATATTTATTAGCAAATGATTCTGATCTGGGTTTGTCTTAACTATAAACTGCGTATGTGTTTAATGATCTCGTTTTTTGTGGACTACAATTTTCGATCTTTGATGATCTCCTTTTTGTGATCTTATTGGCTATACATAAAAAACAGCATCGCTCTGTCACCGTTCTGTGTTCATCATCACTACTTAGCATCAAAGGTAGTTCCTTTATTACTATATTGTATCTATATAAAACATAAAACAAATAAAAACTGAAGCTTTTGGTTCTTAGAGAGTCTAGATTCATAGGACTGAAACAATGTAGTAAATTTTAATAATGGTTTTGCTGATATTCAGTGAGTTGTTGTGTAAACAATTTTGGGCTCTGCAAAAACCTGAGCAGTGTCCAACAATGGATGCTACAACATCAAATGGTACGTTACAACTCCATAGCATCCCCGAGAATCCTTCATATCTCTGTCTAAAACGACAATGCTTGGGAAACTCTGCTCCTGGGGACTTCTTCTTGGCCTCTTGCCCTTCCATTGCCCTTCACATCCTCACTACATGTGACTTAAGTCCTCGAGACCTTGCCAAACTCGAGGCAAGTGATGATGATGATGCTCTTCTTGTTCTTGATTCTGATTGATGCTAAATTCTGATTGGTTTTATCTCCTCAGGCAACATGCTCGTTCTTCAGAAAGCCGGCGAATTTCTCTCCGGACTTCGAACTTTCCATCTCGGAAGTTGCGGCTCTCGACATTTGCCAAAAGAGAGCGATATTCAAGTGTGCGGGAGAAGAAGAGCGGCAAGAGATGAAAAGGAAATGCGGAGGCTCTTGGAAGCTTGTTCTGAAGTTCTTGAAAGCCGGTGAATTAGGTTGCAGGAGGGAGAGATCTCAAGCACTTGCTGGTCCTGGTCATAGCATCGCCGTGACATCAAACGGCGTAGTTTACTCTTTCGGATCTAACGGCTCAGGACAACTTGGACAAGGAACCACTGAAGACACTTGGCAGCCTAAACCAGTCAGGTTGTTACTTCAATCTCTCTCATGATTCAGTTTAGCATAACAAATCAAGAAATGTTGAGTTAGTTAAACGAAGGTACATTGTGTTTTGCAGATCACTTAACGGTATTAGAATCATTCAAGCAGCTATCGGTGGCGAGAGAACAATGTTAATCAGTGATGCTGGTGAAGTTTACGCCTTTGGGAAAGATTGTTTCAGCGAGGCCGGTTTAGAGGCTCAAGAAACTAAGGTTATCACGAGTCCTCAGAGGGTTAAGTCCTTGACGGAGATCTTTGTGGTTCAAGCCGCGATTGGAAACTACTTCACCGCGGTGTTGTCGAGAGAAGGAAGAGTCTATACGTTATCATGGGGGAAAGATGAGAGACTCGGTCACCAGACGGACGTTAACTGTGTCTTGCCTCAACCTTTGTTAGGCGCTTTAGAGAACATTCCTGTTGTGCAAATCTCTGCTGGCTTTTGCTATCTTCTTGCTCTTGCATATCAACCTACTGGAATGTGAGTCTCTGTAACGTTTTCCGTTGTTTCTTTAACACGATTTATATGTGTGTTGATGTGTTCTTGCTTCTGTGTAGGTCTGTGTACTCTGTTGGATGTGGTTTAGGTGGGAAGCTTGGGCATGGCTCTGCAACGAGTGAGAAACAGCCTCGGTTGATTGAGCAGTTTAGTGTTTTGAACTTGGAACCGGTTATGGTCTCGGCAGGGACATGGCATGCTGCTGTAGTTGGGAGAGATGGGAGAGTCTGCACGTGGGGATGGGGACGGTTTGGCTGCTTGGGACACGGAACTGAAGAGTTAGAGATGGCTCCTAAGGTCGTAGAAGGGTTAAAAGATGTTAAAGCCGTCCATGTAGCTGCTGGTGACTATGCAACGTTTGTTGTGTCTGATGATGGTCAGGTTTACTCGTTTGGATGTAGCGAATCAGCTAATCTTGGACAGGACGATGTAAGTCTTTTTGTTTTCTTGTTTTCTTGGTTTTGAGAACTGAGAGTAATGGTTTCTTGATGTTGGGAATGGAGCAGGGAGATGTGGATGAGATTACTTTGACACCGAAGCTGGTTTCGTCGTTGAAGGAGACGAAAGAGCGTGTGGTTCATGTGAGTTTGACGAACTCGGTGAAGTGGAGAGGTCATACGTTTGCGATGACCGAGTCCGGGACGCTGTACGCGTTTGGGACCGGGGACAGAGGGCAGCTCGGGGTGGAGCTTGGTGATAACTTGACGGAGAGAGAGGAACCGGCGAAAGTTGTCGGTGTTGATCTTTCTTAAGAGATTTGGAAGAAGAAGAAGAAGAAGGAAACATGTTCTTGGATTAGGTTTTTTTTATCACCATTGATCTTGAATTAAGGTTTAAAGACGTGGTTGTACATAGTAGTTAATAGGAAGGTTTAATGGCATTTTAAGTTGGTTTTCTTTTGTTAGATTATTGACTGAAGAAGTAAGAAACAATAAATAGTTTCGTTGCATATTCTCTGTTTTGCAATTTAGCGTTTTAAATATTTGGCGCGTTTAGCGTTTTTGTATATTTTGCAGGTGATGATGACAAGTTACGGGTGTATCATAGGCCCATAAGCCCATTATCATTTGATTCGTTATGCCCAAACAACACGAACTATTATACATCTCTACCTATGTAGTTCAAATAAAATCTCTTCCCATAGGCATAAAAAAGTTCCAACATGTTTCAAAAGTATTGTTTCTAAAAAATGGTATATACAAGATTGGTATTTTCATTATTAAAGTGTTGATTAGTTGCAGCTTTAGGAATAGTGTTATTGTTGGGGTTTATGTTAAATTACTTTTGTTGCACTTGTGTATTTCACTATTTTGTCTCATGTTTCCTTTCGGCTTTTTATTTTGGGAATTTAGTTTGCTAGCTTTATTTTTGAGATATTCAGTCCTTTATCCCGCTATGCATTTTTTTTAGGCTTTTGTATGATTATCCGTTTGAAATTTAATTAAGTTCTTGATAACCAAAAAAAATTGGTTTCAATATGCATAATCATCATAGTTGCTATACAATAATGTCAACTCATTTTAAAAGTGAAATGATATTTACCTGAAGAATTTAGTTTGTAATCATCATTATATCAATAAGTAATTAGTGTCATTACGTAAAAGTATACCATTACTAAGATTAATCATTGGAGTGGGTGACTATAATTTTGTATTGATTGCATACCTTATCACACATGATCCAATCATTTGGAGGTTTGACATTTCCCATTCTAATTTTTGAGTAATCAAAATTTCAAAATTTCCCTTGTTACTTTAAAATTGTCGCACCTAGAAATAATTTGACCAACTGAAAATTTTGGCATTAGAACTGAAAAACCGTACTGAAATTTGGAGAACATGAAGTTTTCTTCCTTTGATTTCATGATTTCTGTTATAAACTCTCACTGAAACCCACGTGTCATTCAATTTGGCCAATCTCGTGATGTGTAAAATTAGCAAGGGGTTATGAAATAATCGTCAAAGAAAATTGTGCAGGGGGTTTAAGTTAATTAATGGGTCGTCGGAGGTTGGGACACCCTAATTACACCCGTAATGATTATCAAGGAGTAGTATATAATCAAACGCTGATAAGAGAACTCATTAAAATGCTTGACTTTTTGATAATCGAACAAAGTGGGCAACAACAATTTAACAAGTCATTAAACACTCACAAGAACATAAATAGATACTTTTATAAATGCTGTTACTTATGACTATCTTTTGTCAACACTAATATTATAGTTTTATCAAATTAATACTACAATATTTAGAGAGTGGTATAAAAAAATGAATTCATGGTAAGAAATGTCAATAGCGATATGAGATCAATGATTATATAAAGCTACCATCAGCACATGGCTTCAGATCAGCCCCATGTGACTCCTTCTTTCATGTCACCATTTCTTCAGAGCTCTTATCTATTCCTAAATAATGTCCATACTATATATTTAATGTTTGGTTTCTTTTATATCTAGTTCGTTACTACGACTAATGTATGAACAGAGTTTAACACTCTATATATTATTCAGTAAAAGAATATTGGTCTAATCATTTGGATTTCTCAATAATTAGAAGGGAATGCATTTTCCTATATTTAAATATATTTGTTTCGTCCAGCTTGTCCAAGCCATCGCGTTCCGCGTATGTATATGGACGTTGTTTGTAATCGTCCATAGTTGAGGACAAAACAAGGAAATAGATAGTTAAACTTTATGTTCTTAATTAGTAATGATTAAACGATTAACCAAATTCAATTCCTAGACTCCTTAAAATGGCTAATCTATTGCAATATCTTAAGCTAGCCTACCAAGACGGCAAGACCTCGTTAGATCCATTAATATAGGCAAATTATTTCATTCTTCGCGTATCTTAGTGATTAATTAAGAAAAATAATAATCGTACGGATGTAAAAATTTAGTTTTATGTAATATGTATAGAAAATAGTAGGGTTTTGTGCAAAAAAACTATTAAACTAAATTATTTTTGCAAATCTAACCCTCACTTTAATTATGTGCAACTTTAACCTATGAACTCCATAAAACCCCGCAATACAGGACTTCCTATATTGATCATGAATTCTACACGTTGACCAGTAAAAATCGTGCTGTTTTGAATTTATTTTATAAAATACATGTTGTTTTATGGATTTATAATTTTTTGAATAAATTAACAATTAAAAATGAAAAAGAAAAAAGACGAAAAAAAAAAAGTGAGTTTCATCGTCTCTTTCTCTGCAACTCCTTCCAAACAAAAATCAAAATCAAAATGCTCTATTTTCTCTTTGTGTCTCTCCAGTAACTATTACAGAGCCACATACGAAGAGACGACACCGCCATAGTGACTCCTTTGCACCCTAAAGCGAAATGATATGTGGAGGAGATTAGATTTTGAAGGCAAATCCTTTTCTGCCACCACGGAGGAAAGCTTAGGGAGAAGAAGAGCATAAAACAGAGCTAGAAATTGAACCAATCGATCTATCACTATAGAGAAAGTCGAATTAGTTATTTGTTAATTTGAGTATTGGGATTCTTTCAATGGTGTTGTGTCAGTTCTCCATTCAATTAGGTTTTCTAGTATTTTTTTTTTTTTTTTGGAGTAATAACTAATAAGAACGTGAAGAGGATTTGAATAACTGGAAATAAGATGTTAATTACTTTGAAACACACGATTAACTTATAGGAAGGTGAGGAAAAGAAGATTAGAAAAAAGAAAAAGAAATTATGTGTCGTCAAATAAGGTGAGAAGAAGAAGATCAGAAAAAAGAAAGAAAGAACTGCGCGTTGTTTTTTCGTATATAAACTACACAACGTTGAAAAAGTCAAACTTGCCACATAGGCAATATAGGGAAGGCCTGTATTGCGGGGTTTTATGAAGTTCATAGGTTAAACTTGCACATAATTAAAGTGAGGGTTAGATTTGCAAAAATAATTTAGTTTAATGGTTTTTTTGCACAAAACCCAAAATAGTAATACATAATCCTTTTGATAAATTCGGAAACAACATTTTCGTTTTGAGTTGTGTTATCTTAAATCTCTAATACTGTGATCGTTCTTTGTAACTTTATAACCCTTCTAGTACATTTATTTAATATCTTGAACAGCCAAAAAAATAAAAAGAAACAAAAAATAAACGATGATTAAAGATTATGTGATTACGCAGTAATGATACTAATCACATAAAAGAAGCTGGTGGCGCGAGAATGACCGGTGTGGATGAGGCTACCATCGGAGATCGGAGGGCTGATGATGAAGCACATGTTAGTAATGAACGGTCGAGATGAGACCCATGAATGCAGGGTTGTGACCAGACAAGGCTAACATGGACGAACGTGATCTTTAAGTGGTTTGCCACGTCAGCAACTGTCTCTAACTCAAAGCCGTAATAGGTTTCCGACTATTGGATCTGAAACCGGTTCCGATGTGTCCTACGATGTCGTACTTTTTTGTCAGAAATTAATTAATTTCGTGAGTCAAGAATAATTGGTGGGGTCCATTCATCCATTGTTGATCATCCTAATTAACTCTCCTAATCATATAGAAAAACGTGATTAAAGGGAAATCTCAGAAAACATAATTGGAAGATTGTTAGAATGATCGACAAATGTAAACGATTGTCATTTTTTTGTTCCTAATAATTTTTTTTTAACATCATAAAGCTATATAGTGTTTTCATTTCTCCAAGTTTCTTTAAATACAACTAGCGATGGTTCGAAAGTAGAGAATCGAAAGATGGAAGACACGTGAACAAAAGAGTAAAATTGTATTACCGACAATATACACGTAGCAAGGTAGTCATCTAGAAAAGAAAGACAAAAACAAAGAAGTTAAATAAATATAATTAAAATGTGACAAAAGGTATGTACATAGGTTCGTGGAGTTTGTTTAATGGGTTTTGTGCAAAAAAAACCTCAAACTAAATTATTTTTGCAAGAAAAACCTTCATCTCAAAAAAATGCAAATCAAACCATCACCTTCCAAAGTCACCCGCAATATAGCCCCTGCCTATATTGATGATGTGCATTTTCAGAATTTTTTTAAATTAGGTTTTTGTCAAAAAAAACCTTAAATTATTTTTTTTGCAAAAAGAACTCTCATATCAAAAGCTGCGTTTTGATTAGCCCAGTGCATTTTGGTTTTTAGGACGGGAATTAACGAAAATGGGACGGAATGAGAAATTTAGGAAACCAAAGATGATACACAAAGTATTTCCTTATTATAACGGGACGGGAAGTAACAGGAATGGGAAGAGAAATTTGAGAATGAAAAATTAGTTCCCATGAAGCCTTACTAAATCGGAAAATTGAAGATATTTTGAGAAATTACGGGAAAATACGAAAAATATGAAAATACGGGAAATTATGAAAAATATAGGAAAAATTGGGATATTTAAAAATGTATATATATCATTTTATTTTTTAACGAAAAAATCGGAAAATCCTGTACCCTTTCCGAACCCTTTCCTTAACTGTTTGAACAGAATTTCCTGTTTGGGAACAATTCTTTTATTTAAACGGGTAAAGGAAGGGTTCGAGAAGGGTACAAGACTTCCCAATTTTCCCGTTTAAAAAAATAAAAATTGAAAAATATTTTTTTTCTTAAATATCCCATTTTCCCATATTTTTCCGTAATTTCCCAAAATAACTTCAATTTTCCTGATTTAGTAAGATTTCGGGAATTATTTTTTTCTTCTCAAATTTTCCATTCCCGTCATTTCCGGTCCCGTTATAATAAGGATACTTCGGGTATCATCTTTTGTTTCCCAAATTTCTCATTCCCGTCCCAAAAACCGAAATGCACTGGGTAATCAAAACGCAGCTTTTGATACGGGGGCTCTTTTTGCAAAAAAAATAGTTTGAGGTTTTTTTTGCACAAAAACCTAATTTTTTAAAAATGCCACGTCATCAATATAGGCAGGGGGCTATATTGCGGGTGACTTTGGAAATGAGTGGTTTGACTTGCATTTTTTTTAGGTGAGGATTTTTTTTTCAAAAATAATTTAGTTTGTGGTTTTTTGGCACAAAACCCTTGTTTAACTATAACAGAGACTGTGTAAAGGCTTTATAGTTGTTGCCAAAAAGAAAGGGATTATACTTATATAGTCTCTTACTTTATACAGTTAACATCTGATAGACTTGTATATATTAAGCTTTAATGTGACATTTAACCTCATACTCCCTTTCTTCTTTTTTATTATTTGATGTTTTATCTTTTTTTGTATGTTCTTTATTACTTGATATTTTAGACTATTAAATACTTTTTTGGTTAATTAATACAACAAAAATGCAAGTTTTAAGACAATTCTATGATTTTTATTAGTTAATAGTCATTTAAAATAAAAAATAATATACTAATAATGAAATATTAATTGTTTCCTAATCCATGTGAAAACTACAAATATCAAATATTCCCTCCGTTTTAAATTAGTTGTTGTTTTGGCAAAATGTATCTGCAAATATTTGGACGTATTTGGATGTGTTTTGCATTGCAGATATATCCAAATAATTGTAGATACATTTTGTCAAAACGACAACTAATTTGAAACGGAATGAATATTAAGGAACGGAGGAAGTATATAACTACATTGTTGATGTAATGTGTTTTCATCATATAGTGGTAGTTGCTCATTTGTATGCTTATCAATGAACAATGGAGATATTTCAAAACTACATTTTTCTAGGTGTCAATTTTCAAAAATATACGTCTATGGTGTTTATATTCAAAACTGCATTTTTTTCATTAAGTAAAACAAATTTAAACCCTAAAATATAAACCCTAAACCCTAAAATTTAACCTTGAACCCTTAAATCTAAACTCTAAACCCTAAAATTTAAACCCTAGTATAGGATTAGTGAATCCAAACATATATATTAAAATTTGGAAAAGAGTATTTTTGAAAATTTGCAATAGATGTATTTCTTAAAATTTCTCATGAACATATCATGAAGTTAACTTATTGTCTTCGAATTGATGAATCATACAAAACAAAAAGAGTTAAGATCATCAACACCCTAAACCATATATAATGTACCGTATCTGACATTTTATTTTTATTTTACATGTTAGTCGTGACAAACCATATAGCGAAGACATACTTTTCAACTGAAGAATGGCAGCAAGACAAGTTGCTTTCATTCTTATCAGTATTTTTTTTTTGTCGACAGTATTATTTTTTGTTAGAAAAGTCACTTTATTTGTCAGCAAAATAGGTAAAGGATCACAAAAGAGTAATCTTTTAAAGAAAAGCATCCGGTAGATTTTTTAGTATTGATAAAGAAAAGCATCATTAGTTAAACATTAATCTTTACAGTCATGTCACTGTAACAAGTGTATGCATTCTCTTCAAGTAATGACTCCAACACAAAACGAACTATTGTTTGTAGCACCCATTACAACGATTTTCTTTTTCTTTTGAACATATACTATCTCTCACGCCCCTTCATTTTAGCCAAAAACTTGCAATAAAATCAGCATTCTTATGCTATTACAAAAGTCTCCTCAAATTAAGAATTGTATCACCTCTATTTTTCAAAACATTATTCTTCAAATATGCATATTATATTATCCACTTGACATGTGTAGATATGTGCTTGAAATATCAGAGAAATTGACAAAAACAAAACTGAAGTTTAATCTTGAAAGTCTTTTTTTTTCCTAGTCAATTTTCTTGTTTAAATGTTGCTTGATGAATTAAAAAAAAAAGGGTTACATGTTACATTGTGGCGAGCTATTAAACAATGCAATTAGAAGTTCACAAGAGTTCCAACAAATAATTATAAAATGAACCAAGTTAATTATGATTTTTCTCTCTATCATATTCCTATTCAAATAAGTAGGTATTTAAAAAAAAAACATTTTCTCCTTTCTAGTGTATATAAATTAAAGAATCTGAAAAGAGTGGGTCCTTCTATAATTAAAAACCAAAAATAAAAAGGGGATGAGATTTTCCTATAAAAAGCCAAAGCCATTCACACCATTTTATCTCATCAGCAAACAAAAAACATTTCAAAATCTCATAAACACATTAATAAGTAAAACCCTCTAGAGAGACAATAAAGAGAATGACTCTTCTTCACTTGTCTCTCTCCCTCTTCTCATGTCTCTTCCTTGTCCTATCTCCGACCTTCACTTCCTCCACTCCGGTCTCCGACCCTGAACTCGTAGTTCAAGAAGTAAACGAGTACGTATAAATTTTTCTACATCTTCTTGAATTAAAAGTAATATCTTGTACTACTAATGAACAACCGCATTTTGAACATTGTGTTTATGTATTTTGTAGGAAGATTAATGCGTCTAGGAGGAATCTTGGCGTGCTCTCATGTGGGACAGGAAATCCAATAGACGACTGTTGGAGATGCGACCCGAAATGGGAGAAAAACAGACAACGACTAGCTGATTGCGGGATTGGCTTTGGCAAACACGCAATCGGTGGTCGTGACGGCAAGATCTACGTTGTGACCGACTCGAGCGACAAAGACGCTGTAAACCCTAAACCTGGAACCCTAAGACACGCGGTGATCCAAGACGAGCCGCTATGGATCATCTTCGCACGTGACATGGTCATAAATCTGAAAGAAGAGCTGATCATGAACTCGTTCAAGACCATAGACGGCCGTGGAGCGAGCGTACACATCGCCGGCGGCGCGTGCATCACCGTCCAGTACGTGACCAACATCATCATCCACGGGGTCAACATTCACGACTGCAAGAGGAGAGGTAATGCTTACGTGAGAGACTCTCCGTCGCATTACGGGTGGAGGACGGCGTCTGACGGTGACGCCGTCTCGATATTTGGCGGCTCTCACGTGTGGGTTGACCACTGCTCGTTGTCTAACTGCGCGGACGGTTTGATCGACGCGATTCATGGATCAACGGCCATTACCATCTCTAATAACTACTTGACGCACCATAATAAAGTGATGCTTTTGGGACATAGTGACTCGTATACGAGAGACAAGAACATGCAAGTCACCATTGCCTTTAATCATTTTGGTGAAGGTCTTGTTCAGAGAATGCCAAGGTAAAAAAAAAAAAGTTTTTACTAAAAAAGTTCTTGAATTTTGTTATATTTTTTAACTAAGGGTCTGTAATTTTTGGGAAATTTGGCAGATGTAGACATGGATATTTTCATGTGGTGAATAATGATTATACACATTGGCACATGTATGCAATTGGTGGAAGTGCTGCTCCAACTATTAATAGTCAAGGCAATAGGTTTCTTGCTCCTAACGACAAAGTCTTCAAAGAGGTAATTTTATATTATTGTATTTTTACTTTTAGTCCTATGAGAGTATTTAGTTGAGTCTTATACTAAAACAACTATGTGATTGTAAAAATATAAAAGGTGACTAAATACGAAGATGCACCACAAAGCAAATGGAAGAACTGGAATTGGAGATCAGAAGGTGATTTGTTCCTAAACGGTGCGTTTTTCACGCCTTCGGGTGGACGATCCTCTTCGAGCTATGCCAAGGCTTCGAGTCTATCGGCTAGACCGTCCTCACTGGTGGCGTCAGTCACAGGCAATGCTGGTACACTTTCTTGTATAAAAGGATCTCGATGCTAATTCAATCCATCTACTTAAGTTTTTTAATGCAGCTAATTTGAAAAAAAAAAAAGAGGATGTATTGTTTGGTCCTCCTATGTCAATTTTTCGATACCCTTTAGTTTTATTACGGGGAGGGTTTAAAGTTGTAAGTTGGATTTGATGTGTATGATATAAAGTATTTGTGTGGATTCCCTTTGGACCAATGAGTTTCTTTAAAACTTTTTGGAGTAGGGACCAATGTATGTTGTGGTGGGGATAATGTGAACAAGTGCTGCAGCAAAATTGTTGATCCTTTTTGTTTTATTGTAATAAGCTAAATTAACATCTTAAATACTCAAGAAATCATCGTAAATTGCAAACTGTAGTTGAAATGTGAAATATATTGTAGTTGTGGCTTTAGCCTAGTAGAGAATATATTCTGATAGTTCTCTTCCCTTGGTTAGAGTGTAACATGGGCATATCTAATTTTTGGGATGGCATTTAATTTGTCTGCAAGATCTGTAATAAGTGAGGTTTTTTGTGATTCTGACAAAACGAAAAAAACAGAATCTCCACTAATTGGACCAGATCTGGGGTTTGCTCTCTTGCTCTTGCTCTTGTGTTCCCGAGACGAGGAGAAATTAAATTCGACATTGGATAACAATTTATTGCAAATTAAAGAAGATGGAACCAAAAACACCAAATGAGGAACTTCGATACTTCAGATTCTGTTTTTGTTAACCAAAAACACCAACTTAATTTTGAGTGGAATCCTATAATTATACTTTTAGGACTACTTAATTTTGTCGGTGGAAACTTATTAGTTCTCTCTTTCTGTTTTTGTTATTTGAGATTTGGTGCTGATTTGGAATAAATACACTAAAAGTGATACCATGTGAATAGTTTTGTTTTTTAGAAATTCGGAATGGGACACAAGTCACACAACCTTCACGTTCATCGTAACTTGTTCCTATGCAAAAGAAGAAAGAAAAAAACAGAAGGGTCATGTGTTTCACTCCAAACATATCTCAATCCAAGTTTTAAATCAATAATACACTTTTACAAGTTTTTCCATTTTTTGGCAACAGTGTGAAGATCAAAAATTGGTTTTAACCAAACAAACAAAGAAAGCTTAATGAGCATTCATGAACATTGTCGGCAGAAGACATAAGGTACAGAACGTTTTTTGACTTTCATGCCTGTAAAAAATTGACCCGACCCAACCAAAATATTTACTAACAAAATGTTACAAAACCAATGATTCTTGTTTCCTCACTTCCATTAATGTAAGACCTGCTACATTTACAACCTCCAATAGATCTATTTTTCTTATCTTCTTACTCATAAATGTTCATCGCTTTGAGTGGTTTTTAGTGTTTTACTAGTACATGAGGGGCCAAAACTCAAGTCATCATATCAATGTCACAATATAAAGCAAAAATGATAAATTCAAAATCAGCACACTTAACCACATTGGAAAATTATTTGTGATTATGTTCTTACATAAATACGCTTGCACAAAAAGAGAACAAACCAACATGATGGAGTTATCACAAACTGAGAGAGAGACACACACACGTCACCAATCAGTATTCAGATGGAGAGATTACATCATCAATCTTCAGTACCATCTTCACTACTTGCGTCGCAAGCAAGATCTGCTGCTTCTTTTCAAACACGTTTTGTTCCCTCATATCGTTTGTTTGTTCCTACGTCGTTGCAATCTATCCCATAGAACGGAATGCTCTCCTGAAATATTCAACAACAAAACAATCCATTGTTTTTAACACTAACCAATATTTAACACTAACAAGAACAATATTAATGGTTAATACTTAATATCAATCACTAACCTTAATTTGCTGAGATTTTACAGCGGAGAGTGTCTCGATGGGCTGCAACCCACTGTTCAAGGCTTCTGCATATAGAAACCATCATGTCGTCTTAAACACTTAAGCTTGTGAGCTAAATTCGGCTGATTGGGCCTGGAATTATGGCCCAATATATCTACTCTCCTTTGTCTTATAGAACATATCAGCCCAGGTCTCATTCTCACAGTTTGAAAAACCAGAATGTGAAATCACAAAAACAAATTATAATATTGGCTCTAGTGAGAATATATGTAAATGATTTACTACTCATAACTATTATAATTTTGATTAGTAAGTTTCTTTTTGTTGTTGTTAGCACAGATTATTCATGTGATGATGAATCAACAAAAACAATGTGTTTGTTCACAGTTATTTTAAAACTTTCATTTCTCGATTTTTTTTTAAATAGTATATAGAAGATATTATAGTTTCACTTTCACTACACTGCATGTAATAAATTGAGGATATGGCATGAACATGAGAGAGAAAAACAAATGACAGCCCAAAAACAAGGAAGTAGGTAACAAAAAACATTCCTTAAAACAAGGATTTGCTCAGGGTCCCTCTTTGGTCCGACCCTCTAACTCGATCCCCTATATATAGAGGATGCTTTATTTTGGTTTTAATGTTCAGAAAGAGGTTGTTTCTGTACATGTACATGCATGTAGAAATATTTATGTTATACACACTTTCTAAACAATCAAAACCTATGGAAACAAAAGGCCAGCGTAAGCAAATATAGCTAACTTAAAAGCAAATGTAATGTTTATTTATTTATTTATTTACACAAGCAAAGTAATGTTTATAAACCAACATCCCTCCTGTTTTCTTCGATTTATTGTTGTTACGTTAAGAGGTATGTTGTTTTGGTTGACAAAAAAGAAGGTATATGTTGTTTTACAACACTCATTCATGAAACATAAAACATACATAACCATACAAACAAAATTTGTACTTAGAGAATATCTATTGGCAGAATAGTAGATGGTTTGCGTTAAGATGGAGAGACACGACAAATCAGCCCATGAACTTTTGCGGTCAAAATGGGGAACACGACAATACGAACTATTGCATCTGAATACAAATTCTATAGGAAGTCGTGTTCAAGGTTTTTTTGTGCTTTTAATCATTTAAAATGTGTCCCAGTCATTTTACTAGATAATTATGTTACACATAGTGTTGAGATTTGTTCTTAGTCATGTCTGAATAACTGGTTATTTAACTCGGTTAAGAATTCGTTAATTGTTGCTGGTTATCACACTCAGTTAATTGCTCGTTGGAAGAACAAATGGAAAAAACTAAGATATGTTTCTGACTTTAAATATCGTAGATAAACATAGCCATAACTTTATGAAAATTGTGAATTCAAATAAACAAAAATAAAAAATATTTATTGTTGCATGATCATGTTTCTGATGTTACATCATCAACATATTTTGACAAACAGCCAAAATGTTACTTACAATAAACATTTTAAAACCATTACAGTATAATTCACCGCATCACCATCTTCTACAACAATTTTTAGCCACCTTTCTCTTGTACCGCTTTCATGTAAGACATTAGAAAACAACCTTTAATCACTTTTTGGTCTAAATATCGTTGCCATTGCCAATCCAGACCTTACATCTTCCACTGCAATGAGAATATCTCAAAGGGCACATTGGTAAATTCCTGGAAAAGTAAGCACACCATGAGATTAAAGAACCTTGACTTTTGTTGATAAAAAAAATTAGAAATGGAAAACATAATGAAAATCTCTGCATAATAAAACAAACCCAAAAAATTCCACTTTTGCTACTCCCTCCCCTCTGCAACCTGCAGCAAAAAGAAAGAGCCACAGAAGAGAGAGACAAAGAGACAAGATAGTACGATCACTGAGGAAGATCAAACGTCCGTCACTACAAGTTTCCTTTTACCGGTCACCGGAAAAACCATTTCTCTTTAAAACCGCCATGTCACTAGCCGGTTACACTGGAAACCTAAACCCAACAGCTCCGGTCTTTTTACCGGCGAATCTACAACCGATTCCCTTCTTTATTCCGACTACAATCTACCTCTCTCTTCCTCTTCCTCCTCCTCATTGTCCTTCTTTTCACTCTATCTTCGCCGGAGCTCTACCTCCTCCTCCTCTTCCCGATTTTCACCCGACTTCTTTTACGCCGACGAGAGCCTTGGTGCTGTTACCGGTACCCACTGACGTCACCGAGACATCTCTTCGTCGCGATCTAGAAGTGTTCGGCGAGGTTCGTGGAGTCCAGATGGAGAGAGCTGACGAAGGAATCGTGACCGTCCATTTCTACGATCTAAGAGACTCGCAAAGAGCGTTGAGGGAGATACGCGACTGTCACATGCATCATCACCACCACCAACGATTCGGTTATACGGCGGCGCGTGGCGGACTCGTCTCCGGAACAACCGTCTGGGCCCATTTCGTGTTTCCTCAGCTCACTGCCGTTCCCGGAGGGAACAATCAAGGGTCCCTAGTGGTTATGAATTTAAAACCCACCGTCTCTTCCACTACTCTCCGCCGCATTTTCAAGCTTTACGGTAACAAAACTCCAAATTAATAATAAAGCTCCCGACTTTTGTAATGATTTTGCAATTTTAAGACAAACCCAAACATAATAATCTGTTTTGTTCTTTTCTACGGATTTTAATTTTGATTTTTTTTCATTATTCGTAGGTGAAGTGAAGGAGCTGAGAGAGACGCCGTTCAAGAAAGAACAGAGATTCGTCGAGTTTTTCGACGTCAGAGACGCCGCATTAGCTCTCCGTGAGATGGACGGAAAATCCATCGACGGCAAACCAATCCTCATCCAATTCAGCCGTCCCGGTGGTTTAAGTAGAAAATTCTTCCTCGCCTCTCGCTTCAACAAAAGCTTCCTCTTCAACAACCACTATCAGCCACCGCCGCCGCCGCATTACCATCGCCGGCTACCATCTCCGGCGATAAAGGTGAAGCCATCCACTCAACGGTACGATCAACCAAAGACGAACAAAAACAAACGGTCTATGAAGAAGAAGAAGATGAATGTTAAGGACAACGGTTGCTTCACCATAAACGAAGACGCTAATTTCGGCGCCGGTCGTACCACCGTGATGATCAGAAACATCCCAAACAAGTACACGTAAGCAATAACATCACCTTTTTCATTAATACATGTGGTTGTGACGTGGCATGTGCTCGATTGTTACTTTGAGCTTAATACGAACGAAATATGTCCAAAAACGAGGAAATGCATTGTTTCTATTTTTCATTTTTGGTCATTAAGTCAACAAGACCCTCCGGATATAGTGATGACTGATGACTAATGAGTTTGATGTAACAATCAAATTACTACTTTTGTGTATACTCACACAAAAAAAAATCGTCGACTGGTCAATTTCATAGAAAGACTGTCAATTTTTTTTATAGTATGGTTTTTATTTTGTTCTCATTTGCAGTCACTGGATGTTTCTGGAGATGATGGACACACATTGCAACGAGTGTAACCAAAAGATAATCATGGAAGGGAACAATACGCCTATGTCATCTTATGACTTCGTTTACCTTCCGATTGATTTCAAGTAATTAAAAATATCACTATCTTTTATTTGATTAAGAAGGAAATTAGTGATGAATTTTGCTTAATTAGATCTTTATTTTTCGTGTGTATGGTATTGTAAGATCCAAATGCAATTTGGGATATGCGTTTGTGAACATGACAACTCCTGAAGCAGTTTTGAGACTCTACAAGGCTTTTCACAACCAACATTGGAGCGCCTTCAAGTCTAGAAAGATCTGTGAGGTCGCTTATGCTCGAATCCAGGTAAAAAATAAATAAAAATTATCTTTAATCTTTTGTTAATTAATTACATCAGATTTTAAAAGCTGCTTTTGTTTTGGTAATGGGAAAGGGGATTGAGTTGGTGAAGGAACATTTTAGGAACTTGAGGCTTCCGGGAGTAGAAATGGTGAAGTTAATGCCGGTTGTCTTCTCGCCGCCGCGTGACGGGCGGTTGCTGACGGTGCCAGTCTCCATTGGTGTTGACCTCGGGACCAAACCAGTGGAAGATAGCTGTCACTCTAGTGATGAGACTGAAACCGTCATGTCTTGTTCGTCTTCCGACAAGAGTTCGGATGGAAGTGACGGTTGTTTTCTTGGCGAGAGAATCAAGAACGGCGGCGTTTGTTCGGATGACGAAAGCATAAACAGTGATGTGTGAATTAATGTTGGTTTCGGCTTTTAGGCGGCGATCTATATAAATATAGCTGTATCGATGTCTTATCAAGTTATCATATCTCTCTCTAGTCTCTCCTCTCTCTCTCTCTACACTTTTTATTTTCTTTTGGGTTTGTTTTGATGTTTTACATGTGTTTGTAAAACAGTAAAACCTCCTCTTTTGTTTGAAATTGTTTGGAAACTTTTATTAAAAAACAAAATTAAGGTTGTACAAATGTGATCTTGGAACATCATTATTATTAGTAATCAAAATTTAGGTTGTACAAATTTATTGTCAGTGGGTTTTCTTTTTGTTTTCTCTTGTTCTCTCACATTCTCAATCTATGAAACATAAAGTTACATCTTTTAAAGACCATAATCTTGTTAATCACTTAATCAGTATAGTTTTAAGGCTAGTTTATAACTACATCTTTATCTATAAATGGACTCGACGTAATTATATGCACATTAATAGATACATCAAAGAAACGTACAGTCGTCTTAATTAGACTTTTTATGTATCTTTTCGTATATCTTGTCAGTTGTCACTTGCGTTTAGTGCAATTTTCAAAAACAAATCAGGTGGTACAAATAATTATATTCTGCAATTTTATTTCTTTTTATATGATCTCTAATCAGGTCAAAAATTAAATAATTCTCTGCATTTTTTTGTTTAATTCTTGCAAAAACCAAAACAAACATGAGAATAATAAACTTATCCTATTTTAATGTGACAAAAACAACTCCAAATTCACCTAATTTATGATCTTGAAATATCTATCTACTCTGGAGATGCCATGGGTTATAAGAAGTTTTGCTGAAGACACTTTTGTTTCGTTAAAGCAGTTGTAGAGAAAAACATTAATCAACCAAAGTTCGAAACAAAGGAAGGAGAGCTTGCAAGTGCCACTGTAACAAAACAGGCAATGGTAAATGGTAAACCATGTCACTAATTTCCAAGGAACATCTTTATTCAACTAAGTCAGCCAACAATAAACACAAATCAGAAACTGGATCTGACATCTGAAACCTCCTTTGAGTTGTGCATGATCACAGAATCCATAACACAGAATCACAGCACCAGGTTGAATAAGATTAAAAAAAAAAAAACAGAGCAACATAAATGATGATTCTTGTCCACTAGTATTTCATTAGTTGAGAAGAACAACAAAGAAGCCATTCGTTATTCATGATCATCCCCACATTCAAATGGTACTGTCGTTTTGATCCATAAACAGTAAAGAAAATGAATTGATATGATTTAGAGAGCCCAAAACAACATTACTGAAGAAAGATCATCAAGCAAGAGGATCCTCCTCTCTAGCCTTCTGCAGCAGCTCTGCTCTTACCCGCCTTACCTCCGCTTCCTTCTCCAATCTTTCTTGCTGCATATAACAAATACAAGTTTTGTCATCAGATCACTACTCAACTCCAAGAAGAACATAGCAGCGAGCTATTTAACCATCCCTTATCACTACTTCATCAAGTACAATCACAATCTCTGTTCGTACTTCCAATAGCCAAAAAAGATCACACATTTATAGTAAACAGATCAAACATAAGCATTATCAAATCAACATTTATCAAAACCAAGACTTTCATAGTTTGAAATGTGTGATTTTGCCCTTTAAGCATATCATCAAAACCACATATATCAAAAAGCTCTTGAGGCAGATGGTTTATTCAAAATGGAAACCGAAACAAAAGACCAATTTCTTGTAAACGCAGAAATACGATCAATCCGAGGGTAATCATACAATTTCGATAACCTAGGGTTTGACCTCAATCCTAAATTCGGTTTCCCATTACTCAATTGATAAAATTGAAATCGGAAATGTGACAGATTTCAGTATGCGGACGAATTGAGAGAGAGAGAGAGAGAGAGAGAGAGAGAGAGAGAGAGAGAGAGAGAGAAAGGGAGAGGAAGAGAAATGAAACCTTCTCGTCTTGATGAAGAGCGATCCAGACGTGAACTTTGTCCATGGATTGCCAGAAGGCGAAAGCGGCCAATGTCATCCCAAAGTAGGTCAAAACCTTCACCATTTCAGCCGGCTGATCTCCGTTCGCCGTAAGCTCCTTCCGCTGATTTTCTCGGCGTCGTTTGAGAAGAGAGTCGCACAGATCGGGAAGAGGAAGAAGCACTGATGAATGTTGGTGTTTACAGGTTAAGATCCAGTGCGGAAACATACACCTGGTTAATGTGTAACAACCGTAGATTGGATAGTACACTGTTGCGTGAACGCCACATGTCGCGAAAATAAGATTGATTTACCATTTTCTCTCATTTGTTTTTTTCTTTTGGCCCGTTAATACTCTCATTTTTTAACTACATTATTTCGATTTTATTAATCTAAACTATCTTGGATGGTACAATTTTAATATGGAGATAGGCGAAGAGTTATTGGGCACATGTAATTTGTGGAGGGGAATTTCTTCCCTTCAAACCGAGGTGGAAGTCTTGTTATGGGCAATACAGTGTATGCTGCGACATAACAAGTTAGAAATAGTGTTTGAAACGGGTTGCTCCGACGTGATACAGATGGTGTCTAAACCTGAAGAGTGGCCAGTTTTTCGGATACTTTTGGACGAGATTGACAAATGTAGAAGATGTTTTACCTCGTGCTTCATTATGTACATATCGCGAACCAACAACACGAAGACGAACAAGTTAGCACGGAGTGCTTGAGCTCTACCTACTAGTGTGTACTATCTAAACTCTGTTCTTCCAGCTTGGATCCCTGAGTTGTAAAAACAGAGTTGTAAAAACAGAGGCCGTCGACAAAAAAAAAAAAAATCTAAACTATTTAAAGTATTATATGTATATATATATATTATACAATTTTTGAAATAAATCATAAAAAATATTAAATAAATTTGACACTTTAAAAGTAAGTAGATTAATATTAAAACCCCGATAAAAGACCTCTAAATAATATTAGATTGGTAATATTTTTACATTTTTATTATAATTGACATATTTTCTGAATTCATGATATGAAAAATGAATTAATTTGTTATCTTTTTACTTTTATCTAAAATTGAAAGACTTACACATGTGTAAGTTTGATTGATTGATTAATTCGTGAACATTTTATTATTCCATTGAAGATATTTCGGTTGATGAAATCTTTTTTAAAAATATTTTTTTACCTAAAAAAAATTAAACTAATAAAATTACAGTTCATTATAAATTTTTCCTTTTAATATTAGTTAATTGCTCGATAATTATTTTATTAGTTTTTTATTTATATTGTTTTTCAGTTTTGGTTTTGATTCACGCCATTATAAAATTTCATTTCCATTAATAGTTTTGTTTTCTAATTATTTTGTTATTTTTTAATTTATTTTATACATTTTTCCAATTTTCTTGTGTTAACACTTGTTTTCAAAATATTAGACACAAGTAGCAACAATAATTTTGATTTGGATCCAACTGATTTAGAGTTAAATATTCTGCATTGATATAACTTTCAAATACATTATATTTTTTTCTTAATGAGAGATAAATTTAATCAAAAATAGAATCACACACTTAAATCATGAAGGCTATAACTTACTATATGTTATTATTTTTTTTCCTTTTCGTATTAGAAATATCTTTTACTTTTCCTTTTGTAATGGATGTAACAATTTTTTTTTTTTTAATTTCTTTTTTTTTTTCATCAAGTAAGCTCAACTCCTACAAGAATATTATTTTCTTTAGGATTTATAGCTTCCCACTTTTGAATAACACGTACTATAGTACGGCAATAATTTTCATTTCGATCCAATTGACCTAGAGTCAAATAATCTCCACTGTTCTCTTGAACTTTCAAAGACATGATTTTAAAATTAGACAAAGAGAATCAAAAAGATTTGTTGAATTTGCTTTGATGCGTTTGTGAATGAGAAAAAGAGAATATAGTAGCTCTCTTTTTATAGGGGTTCATGTAACCAAATTCATACAGTTTTATGATATTTAGTTTACAAACCTATTTCATGTACTAATAGGATTTTTTAAAATAGGGGTTTATATAACTTATTCCATAGTTTTATGATATTTAGCTTACATATCTATTCCATGTACTACTAGATATTTTTTATTACATTATTTTCAATTTATTATATAAATTTTTGTTTTATTAAAAACAATTTCCTTTTTCCCAAGACATACATTATTTTCAATTCATTATATAAATTTTCATTTTCATTATAAAAGATTAAAATTTTTCCTTTAATTTGTTTTTTCATTTTTCTCAAGACATATGTCACAAATTTTAGCGGACTTAACAATAAAAGTAACACATGTTGCAGTCCTATATTTTATGAAAATTCTACCTATTTCATATACTAATAAGTATTTTTATTACATTATTTTCAATTCATTATATAAATTTTCGTTTTTATTATAAAAAAAACAAAATTTCCCTTAAATTTTTTTTTTCCTTTTTTTCCCAAAACGTACATTATTTTCAATTTATTATATAAATTTTCGTTTTTATTATAAAAGATTGAAATTTTCCCTTTCATTTTTTTTCCTTTTTCCCAAGTGTCATGATCTTAAGAGAACTAACATTAAAAATGACACATGTCCCAATCCTATATTTTATAAAAATTATACGTGTCGCAACCACGTTATGCGAATCCAGCTTTATATAATAAGATATATACATATTATATACTAGATTAAGCCCGCGTATACGCGGATATATTTTAAGATTTTATAATAAAAGCATGGAAAATATTAAACAAAATTTGATCATTTTTAAACGTAAACAAAATAATATTGAAAACCCGATAAAAATATTTAAATAAAATAAGATTGGTAATACTTTTACATTTTTATTGTAATTGATTTTTCTTTTGAATTTATGATATGACAAAATGAATTAATTTGTTTTACTATTATTTTTATCCAATACAGAAAGACTTACACATGTCTAAATCTGATCAACTGATTAATTAATCAAACTTTTATTATTCCATTCAAGAGATTTTAATTGATGAAATCTTTATTTCAATTTTTTTTACCTAACAAAAATTGAAAATCAAACTATTTAAAATTAGAATATCAATTATAATTTTTTAATATTAGTTAATTGCTTGATAATTATTTTGTTAGTTTTCTATTTATATTTTTTCTTTCTCAATTTTTTTTTGCCTCAGACCATTATAAATACTATATATTGGTATTTTTCCTTTTCGAAATGGATTTTTTTTCCTTTTCTTAATAGATGTAACAAAAGAATTTAAATTATTTGTTTCCTTTTTTTTATTACTTTTAATGGATGTATTATTTTTTCATTTTAATTATTTGTTATCTGTTTTTCTAATTTTTAGTTAGTCTTATACATATTAATTTTTTTTATTTTTATTCCATGACACATGTTACGATCTTCATACTTCCAGAATTTTTTTTTTCTAAAACACATGTCGCAATTTTGTCAGTTATAAAAATCCTATGTATCGCAAAACTTTCAAAAACATGATTTTTAAATTGGAGAAATAGAATCAAAGGGATTTGATGAATTTGCTTTGATGAATTTATGATTGAGAAACCTTGACTCTCTTTTATAGGGGTTCAAGTAACCTATTACATGCAGTTATAGGAAATTTAGTTTACATAACATATATTCCATGTACAAATAGGATTTTATTTATTACATTATTTTGATTTTATTATTTGTTTGGATAATATTAATTTGATGAATGAGAAACCTTTCTCTATTAGGATATGACAAATATATTTTTATTTCTTTTAACTGTAATGGATTATTTTTTAAATTTCCTTTATCAAAATTTATTATTATTTTTTTTCTCTAAGACATGTGTCACGATCTTAACGGACGTAACATTAAAAGTGACACATGTCGCGATCTTATAAATTATAAAAATCTATGTGTCGCAACCACGTCGTGCGCATCCAACTTTATATAATAAAAAATTGATGAATGAGAAACCTTTTTCTGTTTGGATATGGCAAATATTATTTTTTCCTTTTTGATATAATAGATTAAATTAAATTTCGTTTTTTTTAATTAACATTTTTCTGGAATTTTTTTTAAGTTCTTCTTTTTCCTAAGACACGTGTCACGATCTTAACGGACATAAACTTAAAAGTGACACATGTCGCGATCCTGAATTTTATAAAAATCCTACGTGTCGCAACCACGTCGTGCGCATCCAGCTTTATATAATAAGATTTTCGATTTGTCTTCATAGTTTTTTAATTTGTTTTCATGAAAATATATCATAGTGTCATTTAAGTTTCCATCTAAATATAATTTGTTTTTTCCGATTTTTCTGTTCTAAGTTTGTGTGAATAGTTGAACATCAATCATGCACATCTTTTGTGAAACAAGTAACCACATGTTTTTTTTTTTGTGTGGTGATATTAGTGTGTTGATAAATTACTCAAACATGTTGCCAAAATTTAAATATTTTTTAGCAAAATGTATCGTCAAATATTCTATGATTCTACAAAATCTAACATATCGTGTTGTGCTTCTTTAGTTATAATGGTCCAACTTCTTATGCTCAATAATCTTATATATGATTAGGGAGTTCCTCTCTCCATCTAGAGGGTCCACATCAGCACAAAAACATTAAATTGTATTTAAAATATTTATTTAAATACATGACTATTCATATTTCTTTACATTTTAAAATAATTAAAGTAAGAAAAAAACACAAACAAATTAATTAATTAATATAAAGTATGTGATAATCTGAGGATAAAAATTATCAAAAAGTTGGAATAAATAAATATTTAACTTGAAATAGTATATATTTACCTTTTTATTCAAATGATTTATCATATTTAAAAATATTATAATGTGTTTACAAGTTTAAAAGTTGAAATATAATTGAATTAAGATAATAGAAAGCTAATGAGAAATTAGAGTTAGAGTTCGTTTTTTAAAACAAATAAAAGTTGAGTTTTTATATGTTGATTTAATTGCAGTGAAAAATATAATTTTTTTAAGGATTATGATATGTTTGTTTCAAAAATATAATTTATATTTACAAAACTAAAATAAGCAATGGTCATGAGGGTCACATGCTACCACAACAAAGTAGATATGTAAAAAAAAATATATATATTATTTTGTTCATCTTATTCCGGGTGAAAATGCGATTTTACATTATATTTACAAATTTTAACGTTGATTGAAATGCATATTCATGTTTATTGTCTAATAGAAGTAAAGAAACATAATACTTAATAAAATGTTAAAATTTTAGAAATAGAAAACTCGAGATAAAGTGAGGTGTTAATATCCTAATAAAATAAAATAAAACACAAATTATTCATATGTTTTAGTGTGAGTGGTTGGATTTACTCAAAAGATAACAAAAACATAAATTAAAGTAACACAAACCATCATAATTCTAATCAATCAGTGTAACTAAAACTAAATAGAAAAATTATCGCAAACAACGCGGGGCTTCAAACCTAGTCTAAACAATAATCTAAAGTTTTAGTTTGTCAATTAAACCAGATTGATTAGTAGATCTTCCGGTTTAGCTAATTTCTAAAACATTGAGAAAAAAAAAGGCGATTTGTGGAAAGTGGAAACTCAGAAGGAGGAGGCTCATTTTTTCGATCTGAGAAAGATGGGAGGAGAATCGGAGTCATTCGTCGGAGGATATTGGAGTGGATTTAAGGGTTTCTGGGGAGAGAAGCTCTCGTTCTTCGAAAACTACACGAGGTTCACCAAACGCGACGCGCCTCTTCCGTCTTGGTCTTCCTCCGACGTCGACGAGTTCATAGCCTCCGATCCCGTTCATGGACCCACCGTATTTCCCCCCTTCTCTCTGCCTCTCTCTGATTTTGATGCTTAACCTCTGGATTCACTCCTTATGCCTTTTACTGCTCTGTGATTGCATTTCACTTCTTCTTCATTTGATTTCCGTTAGGAGGTTCTGCTTGTTTGTGATATATCGATTTTCCTGGTGATTGTGAAATCAGTGATGATTAGGGTTGGATTTTTGGCTTTAGATCTAGGAAGAACGGAGCAGTGAATCATGTAAAGTAGCAAATGAGAACAACAACAACAAAACTGGAATTTTGATTCTCAGCTTGTGAGGTTCTTAAGCATGAATAGATTATCAATCCAGTCAATGAAATTCAAGCTATGTTTTCCGTAATCTTTAGCCATAATTTTTACTCTCATTGGCTGTATGAAACTGATCAGAGCAGGAGAAAGAAGAAAAGCTTGAGTTTCACGAGTTATATAGATTAGGGAAGAAGATTGTGAATCTGATAAGCATTGGAGGGAATCAAGTTTCATGGTTTTTTGGTTCTCAAGAAGTTAAAACTTTTGGCTTAACATTGTGTTCAATCTCTGTTTTCCAGCTGAAAACTGCAAGAGAAGCTGCAACTTTTGGTGTCACCGGAGCTGCGCTTGGAGCTGTATCTACTGCTGCTTTTGCCTGGAAATACTCTAAGAGTCCACATGGTAATACACGTTTTCTCTCTTCATAAGCCTCACTCGTTTCTTCAAAGCGCAACGCTATTCAGGGGAAATGAAAATATATGAACTGCTGTGTTCAATCTTCTTTTGTTTGTTATGAGTCAGGTGCTGCATTGTCCTTGTTAGGAGGAGGTGTTTTTGGTTGGACCTTTGGGCAAGAAGTCGCCAACCACACGCTGCAGCTCTATAAGCTGGACACTATGGCTGCTCAAGTTAAGTTCATGGAATGGTGGGAACGTAAGTCTCAGTGAAGATCCTGAATCCAAAAACAAAGGAACTCGCTCGCGTGCCTTGTCCATAGTTATCTTGCAAACAAGCATGAAATGGTGATAGTTATCAATTTCCTCAAGACTTTTTCTCTTTTGATACCTTTTTATGTTCTCACCTCTTGGAATATGTTTTCCTTGTCTCAATAATCCAATACATGGACCCATGGAATGTTTTTGAAACTTTGAGGAAATCATTTCAAAGAAAACAGAATGGTTTCATTTCGATTTGGATAAGGAATCTTCCAATGCTGTCCTCTTGCAACTCCAAGAAGAACATATTCATAAGATACACAATACCTATTCCAAGAATCCAGGTTCTTGGTAGTGCGGCCACATTGTCAGTCGCTTATTTCCCAAAACTAGGTTGTCTTTTGTGCCGAATCCCTTACGCCCGTAAGACTCATGGCCCGGTGCTAAATCTGGTGGCTTGGATCATTAGCTCAACAACTTTGATCCAAGGGGTCATTACCTCCAAAAAAAAGTTAGCACCTAATTCGTCTGCATTAGAATATCTATGATTATCCGAAACAGTAATGAAACATCATTTCTTCGTCATAATCCATTTTCCTTTCTTTTGGATTTTGGAAGTTGGTTAGAAAAAAGCTTACGTTATATTCCTAAATCAAGTCTGATATACAACAAATTCTCTATACAATGACCACCCTTTTTTTAGATGTTAAGAATCCCTTTATCTATACTAAATTCTGTTTCTATCTTGTTACTTGACCAAATATTTTGCAGTTTTTTCAGTTGCCATGATCTCAGCTAATCAACATATAAAATATTACTCAATATATGACCTCAAGTGTATACATGTGACGTCGCTTTTGGTTTCTCTCACGCAAAAGACCACGTGGTAATGAGTCTATTTAGGTAACGTGTACGTAAGTAATTTACAACATCATGCAAGGCTTTGACAAAATCCCTCTCGTAATCTCGATCCAGGTTGTCATTAAGGGAGAAATATAAATGTTTAGAAGCTTCAGCAGCACGTTTAACACGTGGAGTAGAAAGAACAAAAATCGAAAACATTGGGTGTTGTATAGTATTGAACACAGTATCTGATTCTTATTCCTACATCTCTATAAATACCGTAACAAGTGTTAGTTAGCCCTTAAAGGAACTCAACACCACAACATAAAAGCAAGAAATCAAAAGAAAAGAAGAAAAGATGAAAACAAGCGCAGTAATCACATTCCTGCTCGTTGCACTAACCGCATCAAGTGTTGTAGCAATAGGGCACTAATAGTTGTAAAATATAAATATAAACAAATTAATACAACATAATATTAAAATGATATAAATAAACAAAAATTAAGGAAAAAAACCGGATTTACAAAGTCGAGATATGATCTCTTTCTTTAATTTTGTAAACGCCCCATAGTGTGATGGTTGTTTGGCGTTCCGAATCCCTAGATAAAACTGCACACTTCTTATATTTGCATCACCCAAATCATAAGTTTGCGAACAATGTTTGTACTCTCATAAAGAAAAAAACAAATAAAAGAAGAGAAGTGAGAAATTGTTGCTTTTGTTCTTGTATAAGTCTGTATGGATGAGAAGACCAAAGCTTCAATACATAGCCAAGTGCTCAACAAGAGTCATAAAGTAGAGATTCACCTTGATTCTCCCATAATGACGTGAATTCAATTTTGTAACATTCAACTTTGAATTTATCATTATGAGGTCAAAACTTGAGAATCAATTTTCTTTCACAAAGTCATATTTGACTATTTGACTTTATTCACAAGAGATTATAAATTGTTGAGTATTTGAATTAATCAAACAATTATCAAATAAATTTTGACCAAAAAGATTAATCTTATTTGCCAAATTCTGAAACCCAAACTTGATTTCATTAGATTTTTTCTTTAATACACTCAAGTATACTCAAGGTCTTAAACCTTATTATAATTTATCCACTTTATAAATAAGAAGATCTCACCTCATATTTCTAATATGAGACATTTTATAAATGTTACATTTTATACTTTACAAGTAACCCACTTGGATCACTATTTCTCATTCAAACAAATTTCATTTTTGACATATAAATATACTATCAAAAATGAGTTCCAACAATCCTTCACAAGAATAGAAATGATTCTAGACATTGGACGACTCAACTCTAAACTTGACTCAACTCTAGACTTACTCTCTAAACAAGATTCAAAGTATATACAAAAAATCCACTATATATAAGTTGGTAGCATTTTTCAGCCTTGAATCAAATCACGGTTAATAACTATCAGATTTACTCGATCAAGAGATAAACATGATGTCTTAAACCTCTCAGAATTTGATGTATATTTCCCAAAACTAGGTTGCCTCTGTACTGAATCTCTTAGGCCCGGTGCTAAAGCTCAAAAACTTTGATCGAAGTCAGACCTCCAGAAAAAGGTCACAGACGACACGTGGTAGCACCTAATTCGTCTGCATTAGAATATCCATGATTCTCGGAAACAGTATGAAACATCATCTCTTCGTCATAATTCATTTTCCTTTCTTTTGGATTTTGAAAGTTGGTTAGAAAAGCTTACATTGTCAAGTCATGATAGTGTGATATACAACAAAGTCTCTATAAAATGACCAGCCTCTTTTTAGATGTTAATAATCCCTTTATCTATACTAAATTATGTTCAATTTCCATGATCTCAGCTAACCAACATATAAAATAGTCCCTCCGTTCCATATTATTTGATATTGTAAGTTTTTCACATAGATTAAAAAACAATTAATGCTTAATTATTAGTATATTATTTTTTTATTTTAAATAACTATTAGCCAATAAAAATCATAGAATTGTCTTAAAGTATACAAATTTGTTGCATTAATTAACCAAAAGTATATTTAATACTCTAAAACATCAAGTAATAAGAAACAAGTAAAAAACTAAAACATCAAATAATAAGAAACGGAGAGAGTATAAAATAGAGAAAGTTTAAGAAATGTATCTTATGGGGTAGTAATTTTCAAAATTACACTTTTTCTAAATTTAACATCTATGTTTGGATTCACTAATCTCTTATTAGGGTTTAGAGTTTAGATTTAAGGATTTAATGTTAGATTTTAGGGTTTAGAGTTTAGAATTGTTCTACTTAATTAAAAAAATTGTAGTTTTGAAAATATACATCTAAGTGTGTTTTAAAATTTCCCCTATAATATACTGTATTGAAAATGTACATCTAAATTGCTTTTGGTTTCTCCTCACGCAACAGACCACGTGATGCTACATGGTACGTAATTTACAACATCATGCAAGCTGTCTTTATTACTATATTCTGGTGGATTTAATTGAGTTTGGTCATACCATAAAATTAGGTTATTATTGTATGTTGCATCAAAGGGTGCTTGTAAGTGTTGTGACGGTTCGTTAGGTTGTGTTTTTGAGACACAATTAGAAAGACAAAACTCTGGTGTTCTTGTCATAAACCTATTCAACACATTGCAACAATATTGTAACTCAACAAGTTTCAGAAAATAAAACCAGTTCCTCGTAAAATTATTCTTCACAAGAGAAGAGATAATCTCTCTCTCTCTCTCTCTCTCTCTCTCTCTCTCTCTTAATCACAAAATCTAACATATTCAGGTACACTGGTAATGTCTATAAGCTCGGCGTGAGGCGTGGCGTTGACAAAATCCCTCTCGTAATCTCGATCCAGGTTGTCATTAAGGGAGAAATATTAATGCCTAGAAGCTTCAGCAGCACGTTTAGCACGTGGAGTAGGAAGAGAACGAAAAAGATTGGGTGTTGTATATTGAACACAGTTTCTTATTCCTAAATCTTTCTATAAATACCGTAACAAAGTGTTAGCCCTTAAAGGAACTCACTACCACAACATAAAAGCAAGAATTCACAAGTAAAAAGAAAAGATGAAAATAACAAAATATGTAATCACATTCCCATTGATGATCTTTCTCCTGCTCGTTGCACTAACAGAATCAAGTGTTGCTGGTGATGAGAATGAAGCAGTGATATTGGATACCAACTGGGATCCAGTTAAGGCCAACACTCCATATCGAGTCAGAATGCGTGTGGCTGGACAGCCAGGATATCTCTCCCGTCAGATATTGGCTCTTAACGCCACGTCATGCAGAGAAGGCGCCGTAGCAGCCGGTTTGTTTCCAGGCCGTGCAGAGCCAGTGATCATGCTCGTATTACCATCATCGTCGTCGGCCGACGACGTCGTACCGCTATCAACAGAACTTAGCGTTAAGTTCACAAATCCCAGTCACTGCAATGAGTCCGGGTTTTTGAGGGTTTCAGGACTCGATAAGGAGACGGTTGAGACGGTACTTACGGACGGATCAAAGTCAAGAAGTGACAGCACGTTCACCATCAGGAAAGCATCTTATATTACTTACAAGTTTTCCTTCGGCAGCAGTGTTGATCTTGCCGATAATTCAACGGAGATCGTTGGAGTTGTTTTTTCTATCTCGACAGAGATGCTGATAACACGGAGAGCAGCAGGTAGACGTCATTTTTTCGAAAAGGAACTCGTTTTCGAGAAATATAAGCCAAGTGGATAATAGAGCTTGTTTCTTGTTGGAATCTAATTTATGTTAATGTTTCATTACAATTTAAAAATAAAATTTGTTGTTGTTTTCAACTCTTTTTTTCCTTGTTCCAATGTAATGTGTGTTAATATGATGTTAAAAATTTAATAAGTAAATTACTTCTCCTTCAATTAACGTGGGACGTCGTACGAGAGAGATTAAAAAAAAAAATTACAAATAATGTCTCGTCTTTATTTAGACATGAGTAGGGTTTAATTACTTTACAACATCATAGACCTGTTTACTTGTTTAGCATCATAGACCCGTGTGTTGGTGAAAACTTGGAGAATCAGAAAAAAAAAAACAAAAACCGGAATAAGACGAAAAAGAAATCGGAAAACACGGAAGATGAAGAAGAATAAAAGACAAGACAATAAAAACTTGAAGTGGTGATAGTTATCAATTTCCTCAAGACTCTCTCTCTCTCTCTTTTGATACCTTTTTGCGTTCCTACTCTTGGAATATGTTTTTCTTGCCTCAGTAATCCAATAAGCCAATAACCCATGGAATGATTTGAAACTTTGAGGAAATGAATTGAGAGACAACGAATGGTTTCATTTGGATTTGGATAAGGAATCTTCCAATGTTGTCCTCTTGCAACTCCAAGAATAACATTATATATATATAAAATGCAATCACAAGATCTCTATTCGTAATTTCAATAGCAAAAAAGATGCACACTTGGAGTGAACAGATCAGACATAAGTTAAGCTTAGCCTTCTGATGATCACATCTTATATGAGAATTGTCAAAGTGTCATCGGATCTCAGATGGAACAAATTAGGTCGGATATCTTCTTTATTTCCCACAAACCAACATTCCATAATCATGGTAAGATTTCAATAGAACTAGTAATGATGGACTGAACAAGACCAAGACTCAATGGAATGGATCTGTGATGAGCTTTGCTTGGTAGGTTTTTTTCTGAAATAAAGAGAATGACAACATATCTGTTCAAGTTGATTCCCCAACTCAAGTTGATCCTGTCTCAGCTTCTGTCACCATAAGTACTTCTACGGAAGTTCATCTCAAGTTGAACTACATTAGCTCAAGTTGCTTCTGCCTCATCTCCTGCCACCATAAGTACTTCTACGGAAGCTCCATCTGCTCAATTGACCCTACGTTAGCTCAAGTTGCTTCTGTCTCAACTCCTGTCACTGAGGTACCTCCTTGTGACCCAATTACTACTTTTGTGTCTACAACACAACCTATTAATCAAGCTACTATCATCGCTGAGGAATTTATTGAGTCTCCTACTTTAGGGGCTGCTAGTTCTTTATCAACAGATATCATTGCTCAAGGAAACTCCACTTTCCATTTGGAGAGCGAGAGATTGATTGAGCGAGATCTTGGTTCTAATAAGTTTGCCTCATTGGCTTTACCGGAAGAAGAAGCAGAGATTCAGACAAGGAGTCAGATGAGACGGATTTTATGACACCTTCCGGGAAGAGAATCCTTCGAGACAGACCGGTTAAACCATCGACAAAGGCTAAAGAAATGAATTGGCAAATAACGGCTCGTGGACGTGGGAAGGGCGTGGCTGAGTCTCATTTTCTTTAGCTTAAAGTATATCGGAGCGGAAGATTCGATATAATCTAGTTCATCTTTTGAACTCTAATCTTTATCTTTGCTTGTAACCGTTTTTCGGAAACTGGATGACTCAAATCATGGCTTAAAAAAAAGAATGACAACATGCTCGCGGACTTGTTGAAGAAAGTCGGGAAAGTTCCTGAAAACATGCTCGCTGCCTTTGCAAGCGAGTAACTCTACGCAGTATCTTAAAAACATCTCTCTCTATGTATCTTCCTCTTAGAGAAACACATGATCAAAGCTCTTTCTTCTACCAAAACGCAGGTGCTTACAGGCTTGTGCTACATTCACCATGAGAGGCGAATCATTCACCGGCACTTGAATTAAGCTTTCCAACTTGTTAATCAATCGATCATAGAGGTGAAGTCAAGATTACAGACTTTGGAGTAAGCAAGATCTTGTCAAGCAGTAGCAGTCTAGCTTATTCTTTCGTGGGAACAACATACTATATGTCTGTGAGTCTCCTCCATTCAACACTCACTATATTTTCCCCAAAAATATCATTTTTATTTCAACTAACTACAGAAATTGTATTCATACAAGAAGACTCTTTGTGTCTTTCTTCTTGAAATGTCTCTGACCACTTTTAACAACTTTTTCTGGTTAACAAGAACACAAGTTTGTGAACATGTTTGAAGATCTGGATGTGAATCTCTCGTCTTACTTGACAGATGCAGGATCTTTGATTCCCGTACTTAATAATTTTTTTTCTAATGTAATTTTTTTAAGTAACCTCTATAGAGGGTATCACTAATGGAAGAACAAAACACATATAAATCAAATACACGTCTCTTAAACAAAAAAAGAAAAACATTTACTAATAATTTTTTTAGTGATACCCATATGTGGGTAGCACTAATGGAGATGCTCTTAGAAATTAGAACACAAACTGTCATTAGTACTATAGTAGTATTCATTTACATTGGTAATCTATAAGCTCAGCGTGAAGCGTGGCTTTGACAAAATCACTCTCGTAATCTCGATCCAGGTCGTCATTAAGTTAGAAATATAAATGCCTAGAAGCTTCAGCAGCAACATGTTTGAAGATCTGGATGTGAATCTCTCGTCTTACTTACAGACGCAGGATCTTTGATTCCCCCACTTAATAATTTTTTTCTAATGTAATATTTTTCTAGTAACCTCTATAGGGAGGGTATCACTAATGGAAGAACAAAACATATAAACCAAACACAAGTTTCTTAAACAAAAAAAGAAAAAAAAATTACTAATAAAAAAAAATAGTGATATCCATATATGTGGGTAGCACTAATGGAGATGCTTTTACAACACCATGCAAGCTGTCATTATAACTATATTATTCATTTACATTGGTAATCTTGACAAAATCCCTCTCGTAATCTCGATCCAGGTCGTCATCAAGTTAGAAATATAAATGCGTAGAAGCTTGAGCAGCACGTTTAGTACGTGGAGTAGGAAGAAAAAACGGAAAGATTGGTAATATCGTATATTGAACACAGTATCTGATTCTTATTCCTACATCTCTATAATACCGTAACAAGTGTTAGCCCTTAAAGGAACTCAACACCACAACATAAAAGCAAGAAATCAAAAGAAAAGATGAAAACAAGCGCAGTAATCACACTCCTGCTCGTTGCACTAACCGCATCAAGTGTTGGTGGTGAGAATGAAGCAGTGATTGATACCAATGCGAATCCAGTTATGGCCAACACTCCATACCGAGTCAGTACGTTTATCGCTGCATTTCCAGAATATCTCTCCCGTCAGACATTCCATGCTAATGTCTCGTCATGCAGAGAACGCGCGGTATCCACCTTTAAGAATATCTTTCCAGGCCGTGGAGAACCAGTTGTGTTTGTATTACCACCCTCATCGTCTGGTGACAACGTCGTACGAATATCAACGGAGCTCAACATTAAGTTCACGTATCCCAGCCGCTGCAATGAGTCCGGGATTTGGAGGGTTTCAAGACTCGAAGATAAGACGTCATTTGAGACGGTGCTTCAGGACGGAGCAGAGTCAAGAAACGACAGCACGTTCACCGTCAGGAAAACAGTCCGCGGTACGTACAAGTTTTTCTTTGGCAGTAGCGTTGATCTTGACGATAACTCAACGGAGATCATTGGAGATCATATTTATGCCATGAGGCCGGGCAGTGGCGAACCTAGTAAGGACGATACGGTGTCAAGTGACACCGTATAATCGGTATAAAATTATTAAATATACATGAAAACACAATAAATACTCTAGCAAATATGGTAAAAGTAGCCTATTAACACCTCATAACTTGGGTTCGATTCCCATTGAACCCACTTGATTTTTTTTCTACATTTGCCACTGAGGCCGGGTGCTGAAAATAAGGAGATCGGCAGCAAATATATACGTCGTACCGAAATGGAAGTCTTTTTCGAGAAATATAAGCCAAAAGCTTCTTTGTTGTTGTAATCTAATTTAAAATATATTTTTTGATGTTTTTTTTCAACTCTTTTTTTTTTCTGATGTAATGGTGTTTTTTTTGGGGAACAAATCTGATGTTAACTTCTCCTTTAATTAACGTTGTAAAGAAGAAAACAAATAAACACCAGAGTAAAAAAATTAATAAGAAGATGAATAAAGTTTTTCGTTTTCATTAAATTCTCAGTTTTAGCTTGAAATTATGTATGATTTAATGATTTTGTTTTGAGAGAAGAAGATTGTGATAAGCATTGATGAACCTAGTTTCGGAGAGTGTGTGATTCTCTATGATTAACCCCAAGTTTCATGGTTTTTTTGTCCTCATGAAGTTAAAACTTTGGCTAACATTGTGTTCAATCTGTGCTAACTTTTGGTGTTACCGGAGCTACACTTGGAGCTGTATCTACTGCTGCTTTTTCCTGGAAATACTCAAAAAAGCCCACATGGTAAAATACGTTTTCTCTCTTCATAATCTTTATAAAACCTCACTCGTTTCTTCAAAACGCAACTTGGTTCAGGGAAAATGAAAATATATAAACTGCTAGGTGCTGCGTTGTCCTTCTTAGGAGTAGGTGTTTTTGGATGGACCTTTGGGAAAGAAGTCGCGAACCACAGGCTGCAGGCCTGCAGCTCTATAAGCTGGACACAATGGCGGCTCAGGTTAAGTTCATGGAATGGTAGGAACGCAAGTCTCAATGAAGGTCCTGAATCCCAAATCAAAGGATAGTCACGTGCGTGCCTGCTGCTTTCTTGTCCATAGTTATCTTGCAGACATCATGCAAATGGTGATAGTTATCAATTTCCTCAAGACTTTTTCTCTTTTGATACCTTTTTATGTTCTTACCTCGTGGAATATGTTTTCTTTGTCTCAATAATCCAATACATGGACCCATGGAATGTTTTTGAAACTTTGAGAAAATAATTTGAAAGAAAACAGAATGGTTTCATTTCGATTTGGATAAAGAATCTTCTAATTTTGTCCTCTTGCAACTCCAAGAAGAACATACTGTATCTTTATTTTATATTATTAACTGAGAAGTTCATTGTTTGGATACAAGAATAAAAATACGAGAGAAAACTATTTGGATAAAAGAATAAATAGAAAAAAATATTTTTAAAAATACCCAAACCTTTTTAATATGTCTAAACCTGAAAACCTGAAATCCAAAAAATTCGGAAAACCCTAAACGGGACAAAAAAAAACTTGAACCAAACCGAACATAAATTTGTAAAAAAATCCGAACAATTTATATATCTCTATACCTCTATAAAATTAAGTATGAAATTTTCACCCGAACCCGAATTTGTCTAGAAAAACCCAAACCAAATCTGAATCAGAAATTTAAAAAACATGAACGGTTTATATATCATTCGACGTATTTCTATTTTACTATTGAAATTTTTCAAATATCATTCGATCATACTCTATTGATTTGGTATTATCAATAGATTATGTTAAGTTTTCTTTTTTGCAGATTTTTAAGAGCTGGAAAACGGAAGTTTTCTGCTTTTTTTTTTTGCATATTTTTGAGAGATGAAAAACAGAAGTTTTTTAAACCATCAGTTTGTTTTAATTTATTATTCTTGTATCCAAAATTTTTATTAGGGTTTTTAGGTCGGGCTCGGGTTTTGGGTCAAAAAAATAGGAGTTGTTTTTATTCGGTTCAGGGTTTTCAGGATTTTGGATTTTCGGGTTTAGACATATTAAAAAGTTTGAGTTTTTAAAAATTTTGATTAGGATTTTTGGGTCGGGCTCGGGTTTATAATTTAGATTTTATTCACAAAGCTGCAACGTCACACCGCATATTTGCGCGGATTCTCTACTAGTTATATTATTAATTGAGAAGTACATTGCAGTGTTTGGATACAAGAAATAGATAGAAAAACTGTTTGAATACAAGAATGAAAGAGGAAAAAGAGAGAAAAGTTGTTTGGATATAAGAATAGAAGAGAAAACCCGTTTGGATACAAAAATAATAACTTAAAACAAACTGATGGTTTAAAAAACAATAAACTCAACCTGAATTGATTAAGTAATAGATACGGATCCTCTACAATAATTTAAAACAAACCGGAGAATGGTGTATAGATATCAATCGGGTTTGGGTCTATCGGATGGTTGGACTTTCTACTCATATAATACTGAATGAATTTTGGTATCGGCTCGGGTCCATTCAGGTTTGGGTATGTTTTAATCCAAATCAAAAACTGAATGTTACAGTCACATATTCCGATTAATTATCATCCGAAAACAAAAAAAAATATACTTAAAAACCAAAGATTCCGAAAACCCTAAATATACTGAAAATATATCTAAAACCCAGAAAAAAAAACTAAAAAACCTAAAATATATATATAGAGAGAGAGAAAATAATCTACGATACCCATTAATTGATCGGGTTAATACCAAAAAAAACTAAATTGAAAAGATTAAAAAAAAACATAATTCTGCGCTGCTACTGCTCGGGCAGGCTACTAGTATATGTTAAATGCAATCACAATCTCTAATCTCTATTCGTAGTTTCAATAGCAAAAAAAGATGCAGACTTGAAGTAAACACATCAGACATAAGTTAAGCTTAGCCTTCTAATCATCACACAGTGGCGGACCTAGAATTTTTTTTTCCCTGGGTCAAAAATACCATGTAACTAAATATATATTTTCTCGATATTTTTTTATTTTGTATAACCAAAATAAACAAGAAGCAATCGATTATAATAAATCATGCAACAAGTTTAATGGGTTATAGCTCAATAAAAAACATAAACAAAGAAATTTTGGGGTCAAAGATAAACACTCAACATTTTTTGGGGTGTCAATAGTAACATTTTCTACCAAATCAGCCATTAAAATGTGGATAATAGTGGAAGTAATTTCGATTATTTAAATTTTAACCTGTGTCACTTGAATCCCCTTCGTCCTACGTAGGTCCGCCATTGTCATCACATCTTTACATAACGATTGTCCGAGTGTCATTGGGTCTCAGACGAAACAAATAGGCCATATATCTTATTTTTCTTCCATAAACCAACATTCCATAATCATGGCAAGCTTTTCAAAAGAACTAGTAATGGTTGACTGAACAAAACCAATACTCAATGGAATGGATATGCGATGAGCTTTGCTTGGTAGCTTTTTTTAAGTCAAGAGAAGGAAATAAAAGTTTTGGGGTGAGCACGTAATTCGTCTGCATTAAAATATCCAGGATTATCCGAAACAGTATGTAACATCATTTCTTCGTCATAGTTCATTTTTCCTTTCTATTGATTTTGAAAGTTGGTTAGAAAAGCTTACGTTATATTCCTAAATCAAGTCTGATATACAACAAATTCTCTATAAACTGACCAGCACTAGTTCATTTCTATCTTATCACTTGACCCATTGTTTTTTGCAATTTGTTCAGTTGCCTTTATTGCAATTTTTTTTTCTTTCTGATCATGTGAATTTGTTCGGTTTCCATGATCAATATATTAAAATTATGTAATATACCCTCAAGTGTTACTACACTTATCTAAACACTGTACTATGTATATAGGTTAAAGAACGTTAATTCTCCGTGGTACCGAGTAAGACGACCACGTGGTACTGAGTCATTTACGAGATCATTATTATTACTATATTCATTTACACTAGTAATCCATCAGCTCACCGTAATCTCGATCCAGGTGATAGATTACCATGGTCAGGTGATGGATTACCAGTGTAAATGAATATAGTAATAAATGCTTAAAAGCTTCAGCAGCACGTTTAGCACGTGAACACAGTATCTTTTTATTCATAAATCTCTATAAATACCGGAACAAGAAGTGTTGGCCCTTAAAGGAACTCAACAGTCAACACCACAACATAAAAGCAAGAAATCAAAAGAAAAGAAGAAAAAAAAGAAAAGAAAAGATGAAAACAAGTGCAGTAATCACATTCCCATTGTTGATATTTTTCCTGCTCGTTGCCCTAACAGCATCAAGTGTTGGTGGTAAGAATGAAGCAGTGATTGATAGCGAATGGAAGCCAGTCAAGGCCAACACTCCATATCTAGTCCTAGGGTTTATGTCTAGAGATTCAGAATATCTCTCCCGTGAGACATTCGCTAGGAATGCCACGTCATGCAGAGAACGCCCGGTATTAAACTATCTGCATATCTTACCAGACCGTGCAGAACCAATCATGTTTGTGTTACCATCATCCTCCTCGCCCGACGACGTCGTACGTGTATCAACGGAACTTAACATTAAGTTCACAAATCCCAGCCGCTGCAACGAGTCCGGGTTTTGGAGAGTTTCAGGATTTGATGATAAGACGTTATTTGAGACGGTGCTTCAGGACGGATCAGAGTCAAGAAGTGATAGCACGTTCACCATCAGGAGAACCAATCCTTATACTAGGTACAAGTTTTACTTCGGCAGTAGTAGTAGTGCTGATCTTGGCGATAATTCAACGGAGATCGTTGGAGATGAGATTCATGGCAAGAACCTGGTGCTGAAAACACGGAGAGCGGCACGTAGACGTCGTATCGAAATTGAAGTCCACTTCGTGAAGCCACGTGGACAATAAAGCATTGTTTGTTGTTGCAATCTTATTTATGCTTATAATATTTTCATTACAGTTTAAAAATAAAATTTGATGCTGTTTTCAACTCTTTTTTATTTGCTCTGATGTAATGGTGTGTTTTCTTGTTTGGAACAAATCTGATGTTAAAAATTTAATAAGTAACTACTTCTCCTTCAATTAACGTGGTCGGTCGCACGAGAGATTAAAAAAAAAAATTGTTTACTAAAATGTCTCGTTTTTATTTAGACAATAGGGTACTTTACAGCGTCATATATAGACCTGTTTAGCATCATAAACTACGAAAAAAGAAAAAGAATGAATCATTGATCGAAGGGAAGAGTCCACTTGTAGCATTTTACTAAAATGTCTCGTGTTTATTTAGACAATAGGGTACTTTACAGCGTCATATATAGACCTGTTTAGCATCATAAACTACGAAAAAAGAAAAAGAATGAATCATTGATTGAAGGGAAGAGTCCACTTGTAGCATTTCCTTGCTTTTTTATTGGGATTGGCCGGAAGTTGATAGGGTCTATCAAGAATACAAAGACACTGAAGACAAATGCGACAAAGAAAATGAATATCAAAAAAAAAACAGAAAGAAAATGAAGAATAGAGGGAGTTAGATATTATTAAAGCGATAGGAAATTTTCAAAATTACACTTTTTGAGGTGTCAATTTTCAAAAATATATCTCTATGGTGTTCATTTTCAAAACTACATTTTTTTCATGGAGTAAAAGAACTCTAAACCTTAAATATAAATCCAAACTCCTAAAATCTAACATTGACTAATGTAATAGTAATTAAAAAATTTATGTACTAAATTACGGGAGTTGCATTCTGAGTTACGAAACAAAAAACCAGTGATTGTTTTTTCATCTACTCTTTTTGTTTCTTCAAGAGAGTTAAGCCATACTTTTTACGAGCTAAACGGTCAATGGTCGAGATTGAGCAATGCCAAACAAGCCCTCCGCATCTCAAATATTCTGGTTCCTCTACGACTCTACCTCCAATATCCTGTAAAAATTATGTTAACGTGAAGTGAATTTTGTTCATGTTGTTTATGAGAAGAACTTATGATATTGTTCTTTTTTTTTTAAACCCTTTAACAAAAAAAAGATATTGTTCTTTTTTTTTTATCATGTCTGTGGTTGCAAATTTGGGTTCTAATCGTGGAAAAGAGGAGAGATATTGAGACTGATATTGAGACTAAAGTAAGTAAAAGAAAAATTGAGGTAATTCTTGTGTAATAATTATTTAATATTTTCTTAATTGTTTTTGTTTTGTTTTGGTGTAAATTTTAAAATTTTGTTTGTGTTATAGGTTAGGTAGCTCTGTTTTAGGTTGTATGAATGTTATAACTTATAAATTATGATAAAATCTATGTTACAATTGCTGCAGTCTTTGTTCATCTTCTTTACTGTAGCGGTAAGCTTTCTTGCCTAAATCAAGGGTAATGCTTTACTTGAGCGACTTAATGACACCTATAGTTTATTGTAGGGTTAGGGTTTAGAAGGTAGGGTTTATAATAAATAGTGGGTGCAGTGTAGGGTTTAGTTGTTTTTTGTGAGTTTTTTAATCCTTAGTTCATTGCGTATTCTTAAAACATTATATACAAATTTTTGGAGTTTCAATTGTTCTTTTAAAAAAGTATATTTGAAATAACTGAACTGATTTTGTCCACTATATCCAGAGAATAAACAACATTAAAACTTTGAAAAGAACAAAAATACATAAAACTAATCATCATATAATATAAAGAAGTTTTCTAAAACATTTGGTTTGATTTTAATATATAGATTATTTTTTATGACCATATTTTGATAGTATTTTTTTTTCAGTTTAATAGAAAAAATTATTGTAATATGTGAATTAATAGAAAAACATTTAGCTTATAATTCTTTTTTTTTAAACAGCCCACTTCCGCACAGGGCGCAGGGCCAACAACCTAGTTTGAAAGAAAACCATTGGTTTCATTTGAATTTAGGATCAAAAACCTACATAAGAATAAATCCAAACAGAGTTTAGATTTGTTTATTTGTGTGAATGAAGCAACATATGCCAAAAAGAAAAAAACATATTATTATGGGCTCGTAATGTTTGGGCTTTTTGAGTTTTACTGATAGGCGATAAACTTCTTCATGGGCCTTTTGCATTTCTCGCACGTGACAACTCTCACCGTCGACGAACCTTCCTCAAACGGAACAACCACCGTGTGACTCAATTCACACGGCTTCTCCTCCGCGATTTGAATCGCCTCCGTGAAACTCATCCCCGACGCGTACTCTCCCCACCGTAAAACTCGCCTCATCGCCTCCGTCAGCTTCTCTCCGACGATTTTCTCCGCCGTTGATCCCTTTCCGATTACGGCCCATCCTTTCTGTTTACTGTAGTCGAAGTCAAGTAGCTCGGTGACTTGTTCAAGCATCCGATCGGGTTTCGACGATTCAATTCGCTTGAGCTTAGATCGTTCGATGCTTTCCAATCGGAGCCAGAAGAGCTGTTGTATAGCTGGACTGAACAAGATCGAGCTCTCTTCCATGGCGGCTGATGATGCAGAGGTTATCGTTCGTTTACTGAGGTAAATCAGCTCGAACTCGAAGAACCCTTGATTTTGAAGCTTCCGTGCTAGAGACTTGATCTCTTCCACCCAATCCGAATCTTCGCTTGCGATTATGCAGATCTCTCTCCCTTCTTTCACCCATGTATCAAATGCAGGATGAATTCCGTCAAGCAAGAGCTTCAAGGACCATCCATCTTCTTCCTCCCAAAGCTCATCTTCTCTGGAAACTGAAAACGGATATGCTCTCACACCCCAGATCAACACCATGTCCATGGCGTTCATGTTCACAACCTTCCCGTTAGGATCCATCACCACCACCATTGTCTCGCCATCTCTATACGGCCATTCTTCTCTTAAAAAGTCCAGCACTGTTGAGCTCATCAACCATGGCCGCCTTACTGAGATCCATGGTAAGGAATTGGAGAAGAAAGTGAACGTTTCCTGCTCGTAGTGTGTCCATTTTCGGGACGTTGGTATTGGAATCCATAAGATTTCGTAGTCTTGCTCTGTGTTGCTGGATGGATGATCGTATAGCTGTTGAAGCAGGAAGTGAAATGGCTCTATGGGTAAGAGTTCTGGCTTTGATAGTAGCAGTAGTATTACTTTATCTTTCAGCTCAGTTATATCCATCTGCCATTTGATGATTAAAGAATGTTGAATCAAATGAGTATTGTGTTGAAGTAACATGAGAAAAAGAAAAAAGGAAGGTTCTTTTTGTTACCTGTCTTGAGTATTGTTGAAGTAGCAAATCATCATGTAGAGAAAAAAGTAGTTGGAGTGCTTCTTGGTTGTCTTGATGAGCCTCTGTGTTCATGTTTCTAAGCCTTTGATAGATTTCTTCCTCTGTAGACAATTACAACGGAGAAGCAACTTTCAGAGATGAGTATTTGCATTTAATAGAAGCTGTGATTTGAAACTCTACCTATTTGTGTACTGCATTCTTCTACTTGCTTGCTGAGGCGGTTATGCATGTTCCGCAACTGATATCCCAAGCTCGAAAGTTCTCCTGCTGCTCTTCTTGTTTCCGTTGCCTGAGTATTTCAGAGAATTCCTAGCCATGAGGAAACTCAATGTTGATATAATGGAAACGTTCTGTTGTTCATTTTGTAGGGAAGATAGAAGAAAGGTAGAAAATTTCACCTGCTGGATTTGCTTGAAGTAAGGAATCTGCTGCATGCACGCAAGTGAACTTTTGATAACTCGGTAAGTAGCTAGATAGATGTTAGACATGGTTTCTCCCACAGTGTTGTTGTCTTGTAGCTTCGCTTGTTTAAATGGGAGCCTTTCGAATTCGATGATGCATTTAGTTACGTCCACCATAGCTTTTACGAGCAAGCTTAGAGAGTTTAGCCACGGTCTGAACTTGGTTCTCTCGGTAGGTAACTGGTTAAGTGTTGCAATTGATGATGCGACTGGATCGCTTAAGGCTAGATGAATCGGTAGCAATAGTCCTCCGTATGTTGCAGCAAGAGCTCCTAGTATTATCACAGCTTTTGCATCCCATCTGTATTCTTTCAGATGATCGAACAAAACCATTGTTCTTGTTTGGATCTCAGTTTCCCCCTTGCATGGACAAAGCATCTGCAACCTCCAGATATTCAAGATTTTTGAAGAATTTATTTGGGAAGAAAGGATGATCGATTCACCTGAACGGAGATTCTGGAGATAGCGTAAGGTAGTGTTTCCTTGGATTCAAAAACTTCAATGTTGCTCATGAAATTCTCTGCCAGAAGCGGCTTAGGAACCTGAAAATGTAGTGGCGAGCTCACATTGTTTTGCAGAACAAAGCTCAAGATGGTTTCGACTTCTTGAAGCAGCGTTTCGGAATCAAGCCAGCGACCGTCTGGATCATGGCTGCGAAGTAGGTGCTCGACTATGATGTCTTCTTTGAGAGCAGAGATTTTGCTTCGGAAATTCATGGTAATGGGTTGTGTTGAAAAAGGCTATGCTCTCTGAATTTGGATTCTAATACTAACCAACTATTACTTTGTGTGATAAGACAAGACATTAGTAGGGTCTCTGAAACTGAAGATTGTTGAACAATCTGTCTGGAATCTTATTCAAAGGCTTCAAAAACATGTCTTTATCTTTTTCCGGTTTAAATTCTTCGTTTCTTTTTTTTTCACTGTGGACAACACTTTTCGTGATGAAGAGCAATCACAAGTCGCATTCATTGAAAACTAAGAATAAAGGCAAAGTATATCTTCTTACACTGTGAACAGTTTAATGTGTAAGTTTGAAAAGCATCAAATAACGAAAAAGCAGTATAGTAAGAGTCACTGAAGTGGAACTTTTACTCTCTTTAATCAAAGACCTATGAAACACCTAGCCCTTATGCCATCTCTCGTTGAAAGTTGTATCATTTGTGAATCTTTTAGCTACGATCCATATATAAGATGTCAATTATGATAGTGAAACCAGGACCATTTGTGTTGAAGAGTATAGGTTTCAAACAAGAAAGGTATATACAGTAATGTTGTTTGATACATCATGGGGAACATTCAAGAAGACTCTTCAAGGAAGAGAGATACAATTCTTAATGTGAAAAAAATCTGTAACACGAGTCTGTTGTCTGCAGAGCAAAGATTCTTTATTTACATGTCGCATCTGACGAGAGAGTCTGGTGTGTGTGTTTTCATGTGAAATGAGAATGCAAAAGCAGATTATATCTACAAAACCTTTGAAAAAATCATTCAACGGTTAATTCCTCTCAAAGTAGAACCACTGGTCATATCTTCACCACCATTGATGAGATCTAATTGGGATGATGTCAGAAAACTGAAGCTGTACTGTGAAAGATCTCAGATCACCTCTGGTTTCTTGAGAGAATCATCTTAGTAAAGCTTGATACGAACTGAGATTGAGCTTCGGCAGATAGGGCAAACGTTGAGGTCCTCCCCACATTCTGAGCAAGTCTGTGCAAAAGAAAGAAAAGCAAAAAGAAAGTGAATGGTTTTGTTTAAAAGTGGCATCTTAAGGATAATCAAGGATAGTTCTAGACCGGGAATGCACCTGATGACCACAATTGAAAGCCATGTTCTTTGAGCTCACTAGACATATCGAACAAAACTGAAAACAAAAACATGTTGATTAGAGTGAAAAGATGATCAAAAGCATCTGTGGTGTTTCTTTCTTTTTGCTAACTCATTTAGATGCAAATACCTGTCCCTCGTTACGAGCATTTGAAGGTGGTGCTGGTGCAGTGGCAACACCATTATCATATGGTTGTGGTGCTCTGTTCTGAAAGCTGGTTGCTCGAGAAGCTCTTGGACTGTTGCGCATAGATTGAGTAGCATAAGTTGGTGGTGGAAGCGCAAACTTGTTTGGAGAATTCCCAGTTCTTCGTCTGCAGAGGAAAGATAATTGATCAGTTCACAGAGATTACAATGATGCAATCATAAACATCTGAAAAAAACTTACCCGAGTAAGCCTAGCTCGAGTGTGGCTTTATACTGAGATGGGATCTCCATTAGAGCGGAAAGCGCAAACTCTGCTTCTTTTCTTGCTGGATCAATGTTCTTTGACATTATATCCGTGAAATTCACGAACTGCAAAAGATTCAAAAACTGATTCATTTGCCAGGAACAAGAACAAGGATCTACACTGTTGCACAAAGCTTATTGGTATTGTTGTTACCTGGAAATTGTCAAAGGCACGAGCAGGGATGTTGTCATCAAACTGTCTCATAGTGTCCCAAGGACCATCTCCAACACCAACAAGAACTATAGACAAAGGATATTCACTGCAAAATGGAATCAATCACAAGTTACAAAACACTGCGGTTGATGAACAGATTGAAATAGTTCTTTGTTGTTACCTTGCTCTAACAATGGCGTCAATGGTTTGCTGCTCTTGTGGACTGACTCCACCTCTCTCTGTATCAACACTTCTTGTCACCTGTCAATAGTAAAAAACCTCCAAATGGTAACTACACAAATGTCTTAGAATGATCAAACACTGAACTCAAATGCAGTTCTTATTCTTTACCTGTCCATCAGCGATTATGAGAAGAACATGGTACTGGCCTCCACTTTCTTCCACAATCGTCATGGCCCTTTCAATGATTGGTGCGAAAGATGTCGGACCTGCAAGGCGAAGCTGAGGAACGATATCTCTGTAACACATGAGGACTTCTTCAAACCCGTTACAGAATGCATCATTGGGATCGAAACTAAAAACATCCTGATCATGTGTTGTAGCTGCATAGTTCAAAAACCAGAGATAAACCAACCTTAGAATCTCTCTAAACCACAGTTATTCAAGAAAAAGATTGAGTCTTTACAGGTTTAATACCATCTCCAAATCCATAGCAAGGGATCAAATTGTCCTCATCGAAAACCGATAAAGTCTTTCCAATAATGGCAATAGCTTGCTGGTAAGGGTTTGGAGCTGCTCCAATGTAATGTAGACTCTTCCTACCAAATGATCTCGCCCCTTAAACCAAACCAACTCAAGTCAGCTTTCAGATCAAAACATTGGCAATACATAAAGATGAGAACTTTCCCTAACCTGTCCACTCATTGCTCTTTGTGACATCAATACCAACAATCAAATTAGAAGACTCCAAACCAGCGTGTGAAAGAGCAGCAGTAACCTAAAAAAGAGAGAAATTTTCACACACCAAAGACTCAAAATTTATGCTAAAGGTGATGACTTTTCAAAAACCTCATCAATGGAGCGGTAGTTATCAGCAATCCGTGAATACTTCCTCTCAAGAATCTTTTGAGTTTGCAATCCAGAGTTGTAGGAAGGCGCAGGGCTCGCAGATGGATGGTTTGGCGTGTGGTAAGAGCTGTTCTGGTCTCCGTACTGCCCCCAAGAAGAAGCAGAGGAGCTCGCGGAGGGGCTGCGAGTATACCTCCGGCCGCTTCCTCCGCCTCTGGTAGAGTCTTTTGAGCTGCTTCCTCCCATCACAGATAACCAAATCCAGAACAAGATGAACAACACAATCGCCTGCAACAACAACACTTCAAGCATATGGCAAAGATTCAGATAATAACTCAACAAAAGTATCCTCCTTTATGAATCATCCACACACACATATATATAGAGAGAAACAGAGCTTCTTGACTTTGATCAATCAGGAAGACTTTTAGAGAGAAATAAAATCTCAAATTTTGTTTTTTTGCATCAAAGTCTTGACCTTTTACATTGTTTAAGCATGTATGAATCGGTAAGTTTCAGATTGGTTTACAAAATTAAACTAATATTTATCAGATATTGCAGTCGTTTTCAAGAGGAGTAAGACTATAGCATCGCCGTGAACTTCAAGGAAACTGTTGAGAGATTTTCCGGCGAGAAATGATAAATTAAACAGGAAACCCAGTTCGGAAAATTACAGGAAACAACAAGGGGGTTTATTACTAGTTGACTGATTCAAACATTGTCTTCACTTCGAAATTTCGATCTGGGTTTTAAGTAATCGAGATTCTAGAGAGAAAAGGAGTAATGTGTAGACGTTACCTTGTGAATCTGACAATGGCATCTGCTGAAGGATTTCTTGTGAAGTTTGATTTTTTCCAGTGGGTTTAGGTTTATTAACGAAATAATACAATTGTGACATTTATATACGTATCTATGTCAGAAGGAAAAAAAAAATTATATTCATTTTCCTTAAGTCCATATTCACTTGACCGATCTTTTATCTTGGGATTTGGATTTTATTTTAGTAGATTTGACATGTGATTGCCGCGATCTGATTGGTAGTTTATGATTATGATTTTGGTTTGAATTACTATAAGAGGATTTTTATAATTGATGGAGTTAAAGTAATTTGTATTTCTCATCTTATTATATAAAGCTGGATGCGCGCGACGTGGTTGCGACACGTAGGATTTTTATAAAATATAGGATCGCGACATGTGTCACTTTTAAGATTATGTCCGTTAAGATCGTGACACGTGTATTAGGGGAAAAAAATTTTTTTAAAAAAAACTAGAAATAGGATAATTAAAAAAAACGAAATTTAATCTATTTTATTAATTTTGTCATATCCTAACAGAAAAAGGTTTTCCCATTCATCAAATTTATATTATCCAAACACATATTATTTATAAAATAAGATTGAAAATAATGTAATAAATAAAATCCTATTACTACATGGAATAGGTACGTAAACTAAAATTCCTATATCTGCAAGGAATATGTTATATGAACACCTATAAATACAAAGTTACAGTAGTCTCTTTTTTCTCATTTACAAACTCATCAAAGCAAATTCATCAAATTTCTCTGATTCTCTTTCTCTAATTTAAAAATCATGTCTTTGAATGTTCAAGAAAACAGTGAAGATTATTTGACTCTAGGTCAATTGGATCGAAATCGAAATTATCGCCGTACTATAGTACGTGTTATTCGAAAGTGGGAAGTTAGAAATCCAAAAGAAAATAATATTCTTATGGGAGTTGAGCTTCTACTACTTGATGAAAAAGGTTAGTAAGAAAATATATAATTTACAATAAATTGTTACATCCATTAAGAAACGGAAAAAAACATATTCCCAATACAAGAAGGAAAAAAAAAATATATAATAAGTTACACCCTTCATGATTTAATTGTGTTTCTATATTTTGTTTAAATTTTCTTTCTTATTAAGAAATGAAAAATCATGTCTTTAAAAGTTCTAGATATCAATGAAGAATATTTAATTTTAGATCAGTTGGATCAAAATCAAAACTACTGCCGCACCATGTATAATATTTGATCAGATTATAACATGTGTTAACACAAGAAAATTAGAAAAATTTAATAACAAAACGAAAAATTGTAAAACAACTAACTAATAATGAAAAGAAAAATTTATAATGGTCCGAGGCAAAATAAATATTATAAAAGAAAGAATATAAATAGAAAGCTAACAAAATAATTATCAACAGCTAACTAATATTAAAAAGAAAATTTTATTTTGGTCCGATATTCTAATTTTAAATAGTTTATTTTCAAATTTTTGTTAGGTCAAAAAATATTAAAAAATTGATTTCATCAACTGAAATCTCTTCGATGGAATAATCAAAGTTTCACGTATTAATTAGTCCATCAGATTTAAACACATGTAAGTATTTCTATATTATAAAAATAAGATAACACAAATTAATTCATTTTTCATATCATGAATTCAAAACAAATGTCAATTATAATAAAAATGTAAAAAGATTACTAATCTTATTTTATTTAGTGATTTGTTATCGGGTTTTTATTATTATTCTACTTACTTTTAAAAATGATTATATTATGTTTAATAATTTTCCAGATTTATTTCAAAAAAATTTAAAATAAACCCGCGTATACGCGGGGCCTAATCTAGTTTAATATACACAAGCAAGATGATATGATTAATAACTAATTATAGGATACAAGATGAAGCAATTATTTATGGGATTAGTTAAACTCAAACCAACAAATAAACCATTTTAATTAATAGCCTAAACTTGTAACCAAACTTTGACAAGAGACTAACATGTCGAGCTATAATTGTAACTTGGCCTTCTTTTGTTAGATGGGCATATTTGATTGTAAGCCAAATGTTCAGCCATAGCGTTAGATCAAAGGTTTTGAATTTCTCTGTTTGTAGGCTCTCTTCTACTGATTTGGCTAAGCCAACTTGAGTGTTTAAGGGGTTAATTAGTTAAGACCAGTATTCAATATTTCGTTCAGCGCTAGCAGGATTATCGGAGGAGGTTTAGCGGTGAACTAATTATAATTGAACATAAATTGAATCGGAGATTAGTCTTACCTACATGTGGATTTCTATATTACTATATGTGAAGAATTATGAGGATGAAATATCATGGTTTGTTGGTTGAAGTTCGTTTAAATAGAAAACAAGTTGTGAGTTTTGTAGTCTTCGACGTTTTCTCTGGTCCAAATAACTGTAAATAATCTCTTTGATTTCTTACTTTCTTGTTTTCATCAATTTTTCTTGTTTTTATAGATCAGATATTACTATTGATTTTGACTTTTTTTTTTGTTTTTTGTAAAAATGTTACAATTTTATATCATTTTCGAATTGTAACATAGATAACTTAGAAAGCAGAAAGACGAAAAATTAAAACAATAGTGTACAATAAAATGAGAAGAACAAAAATGATAAGTTAGACTCACAAACAAAACCCGAATAGTAGTTTACTAAAGAGGAAACACGGTTCCAAAAACCTACACTCGGAAATTTGCAATTCTGAATTGAAGAAAAAAAAAATCTTTATTTTCTGGAAAAAAAAAATCTGATTTTAGGCCTAAGTATAATCTTTGATTCCTTGTGGAAGCACCAGATAATCTGATAGATTCATCAAACTACTTCTGATTTGTTATTTAAATCGTTCTTTTTTATAAAGAAAACACTGATTTTATACTTAAGATGCTAGTCCTTGTGGTTTTCAGCCGTTCAGTGCCTTACCTTGCGGAAGCACTACACGTTTGAAACTGAGACAGTTGATTTTATTCTAAAATTCTGACACTGTACAAAAGTGTGATACAACAACTAATCCACATACCAAATGGAATCTTCTTAGTCTCTCTACAAGACGAAATAAAGAACGAAAAAACAAATAAAGAAAAAAAAAACTGTTTTTTGGTCGGGTCGACACTCGAGTGTAACCGTCGTAAGCTATGACGAAAGGAAACCTACTTTATATTTTTAAAATATGATTTCTCAAGTCACTTTCCGATTATCATAGACCCTCTAAAGAAATCAGTGGTCGAATCGAATATGCTCTTGATGTTTTTCCTCGAAAATGATATTTAATTTTAATTTTTAATTTTAAGAGAAATTTGGAAAATGGAGGGAATAGGTTGGTAGAGAAAGAGAGCGATGCACGTGCCTCTATCTTCCCTATCCCATCTAGATTGGTCTCTTGCCTCGAATGTCGTTCATCGTATCTTCACCATCTAAACATTTCGTATTTTGTTTTGTAATCTATTTTGTAAAAACTCATAGCAGCCGCTCTCTTTGAAATTGGCTCTTTAGTTGACTTGGTCGTGGTTGTATCATTGACTGAAGTCACACCTGCCCACTCTTTTAAACCAATGCATTATTTAATCAATCATCACTAAACATATATAATATTAGTCCTGAAATTATGTATAAAACATCTATGTAGCCAATATATCCTTGTCTTTGTTTATAATCAAGTTGAAAGAAGTAGGTGATGCTATCTTCTTTACTCAAGAGTATTAAAATCTCCGGTCTATTGTCTTTCCAAATCGTATGGAATACAAACTGCTAATAGACTTTATAATATCTCTTGCAACAAAACCAAATTATCCTTCAACAATAATCACGTAACTATGTCACCGCATGCTATGATTAACTAGTTAAATCCTATATTAACCAAATGTTCAAAATTCCTACTCGAATGGAGTTTTTACGTTAGCATCCAAGTAAGTTGGATTTGCTTTAGACTAAGTTTAATAAATAAAGTAATGCAAGTTGGTTATTGAATATACCAAAAAGATATGATTGGTATACAATCCAAAGTGATGTTTTCTTGCCGTCAAAAAAAAAAATTTCAATAAAAAATCATGTATATGTTTACCACTTATCTTGACTAGTTTAACTTACATATTGCACTAAATCTCTTCTTTTCGCTGATGATCTAAATAGAGGTTTGTTTGACCCCAACTCTTTAGGTGAAAAAAACACTAATCATGGAGGTAAGCAAAGTAATGCGCTTAAAGCCATAATTTTTTAATTAACTTGGACCACTAATTAAGCACGACTCGTGAGCATAATTTGTTTGTTAATTGTAAACACAAATGCTAAACGCAAACAAAAGAGTTTTCTTCCCTTTTCGTTTGTAAATACGTTAGCCTTACAAATTTTCATGTTATTTACAAAACTGAAAAACTCAAATCTATTTGTAAGAGTAATTTTTCTTTAAAATTACAAATACTTAAATTAAGTTTTAACTTTTAAAAGAATCGAAGATTGATATAGTGAATCATCTTAATTATCAACACAATAGTTTTGGCGCGTAGTTCAAGGAGCTTTCCTCTGTTTATCCTTAAATATCTCTTCTTCTCTCTCTCTCGTTTTCTTCTACTTTTTTTTTTCTTGCAATTCTTTTTCTTCCATTTCCCTTTGTTACGGAACATGAACACTTCGTCGTCGTTGAAACCCTTTGCTTCTCCTCCATTGATCTCTACTCTAAAATCTTTCCCCAACTCTAAATTCTCTCCAAAACTCCCTAAATGTTCACCTAAACCCATTAGATGCATGCGTGATTCCAACAACAATCATAACTTCGGTTCGAAGCCAAAACCAAATCCAAACCCTACAAGCCACGAGTTCTCTGTTTCTTTCGCGACCCTATCCATCGAAGCTCCCTTAGGAACAACAACCTCCGACAAGCTTCGTCTCCTCGTATCCGAGTTCCGGTCTTTAACCGAACCGATCGACAGAGTCAAACGTCTCTTGAACTACGCATCAACTCTAGCTCCACTCGACGAGTCGGCTCGTGTTCCGGCGAACCGAGTCAATGGATGCACGACTCAGGTTTGGTTAGAGATCAAGAAGGACGAGCTAGGGAGGATGAGGTTTAGAGCAGACAGCGACTCGGAGATCTCGAAAGGGTTCTGTTCTTGTCTTATCTGGATCCTCGACGGAGCTAAACCGGAGGAAGTGATGGGCGTGAGGAGCGAGGACTTGACGGAGATGAACGTTGGTGTTCATGGGAAGGCACAATCAAGGGTTAACACGTGGCACAACGTGTTGATGAGCATGCAAAAACGAACCATGGCGTTTCTTGATGATGCTGACGTGGCGCACCGAGAAGGAGACATATCTCCTCCACCGCATCAGCGTCAGCAGAATCTTTTGTTTGAATACGTTAATGGAAGTTATATGGAATCTTCTGCTTCTAAAGTTTCTGATTACTCCATTTCACTGCTTCCTTTGTATTATGATTTCACTATTTGATGAATGTTGGTGTGTGTTGTGTGGTGTTCTTTAGAAATGATTTGTAAAGCCTTTTTAGGAACATAAATTGAAAGTTTGTGTTCTGTAATCTTGCAAAAAAAAAAAAATCAAAGTTTGAGGATACAATCACATTTAGGAGGTTTAGCAAGAATGACTAAGATCATGAAGATCCGGTGAAACCCGAATATTCGATGCTAAATTAGTAAATTTGATGTACTTGGAAGAATTATTAGAGGTCTAAAAATATCTAAAAAAATGTTAAAGGTCTAAAGATTTACAATTGGAAGAATTAGTAAATGGTAACGGGTTAATTCTAAATCTTTTCTTTTGTCTAGGAATGCTTATAGTCGTTTAGGGTAATCTGAAGTTCTGAACCGTTGATGTTGCTGAAGACCAACACATCATCGGATTTCTCACTCTTCAATGATATTTTAGGTACTCTATTTTTCTTCCATTTAGGTGTCACTTTGACACTTTCTGATGCCATCTTGAGCTAAGGTCAGAATATAAGAACAATGAGGGACCTGCAAAGAGATGGGCTTGACAAGTGACAATTATAGTTAGAGACACAAATCAAGACTCAAGTCTTCTCTTCATCACTTTGATTTTTTCCAAAGTATAATAACATTTAATCTTAAAAGCTCATGTGTGATGACCTGTGTAATGACGTAAGAGTATCTCCTTTCCATTTAAAAATACTTTTTGGAGTTCCCAAATAAAAAATATATTAATATCTTATATATATATTTTTTTATAACACTTGTAATAATCAAAGGGGTTGACAAAGAAGATAGTTCTAGATCGCTGATACCAATAACTACCTTAAAAAGCAGACCAAAACAAGCAAAAACATAAGCTCAAAAGAGAGGAGCATAGATGAAAACAAAACTCAGCATCCACATGCGAGTGGCATAGGCAGTGAGGGAGGATGCAAAGGACAGGAAAAACAGTAGCGCTTCAGTGAGTAATCTGAGCTGCTTCTACAGCGAGAAGATTATGGAACCATGTAGGCCCTTGGTGCCCAACGTAGAACTGGTATTGATAATCCGGTGTGACGCTTAACGCAATAGCATTGGCCGCATAGTTAGTGTCAGACCTGACATAGTCTAGACTCCAAGATCTGATTGCCGGAAGGAGCTGCAAAATCTCATCTATCAGATCACGACAAAATAGGTAACTGTGGGCATTCAGCAGAGCATCTTTAGCCAAGAGAAACGAAGTCTCAAAGATAATGTCCGTCATATGCATGTTTTTCAGAGACTCAACTGCCCAAAGAGTCGCCAATAACTCAACGATGGCCAAGGAGGGCACAAATGAGTAGAATCTGCAATTGTGGACTATACAATACCATCAGAGTCTCTAAGAATCCATGATACACCACAATTTCTGTTAGGGCCAACCCAAGACACACCTATGTTGCATTTCTTCCAGGTGTGTGTGGAGGCTTCTTCCAAGATAGTATGGTACCTCCATTTGGGATCCACTGATTTCAACAGACAACAGAAGAGAATCAATGGATGAAACTCAAAGTGGCTGTCAAAAGGGGGGAAAGAGATTCTTATAAAATCGGTAGTCTCGGCGATGCCTATGCATGTGATGTCCTGCTTCCGTTTGCCTAAAGGGGTTACAAATAAACTGTTCAGTGCGGTATCAAATTTCTGGTGGAGTATTAATGGACAAACACGAGGGATGCATTGGTTGGCTTGGAAGAAACTTTGCCGACACAAGAGGGATGGTGGTTTGGGTTTCCGGGTTCTTGAGGATTTCAATACGGCGTTATTGAGAAAACAACTATGGCGATTGTTGGATAATCCAGAATCGTTATTCTCACGGGTCTTCAAAGGACGTTATTATCGTAATGCTACTCCTTTGGATCCCATCAAATCCTACTCTCCCTCCTACGGATGGCAGAGTATAGTGTCGGCTCGACCTCTGGTTAACAAAGGGCTTATTAAAAGAGTTGGTTCGGGGATATCTATCTCAGTCTGGGATGATCCTTGGATTCCAGCTTCTCGCCTGAGGCCAACCAAGGGAAACGGAATAAATTTCTACCCATATCTCCGGGTGCGGGATTTAATGACTCCCGAAAAATCAACGTGGAACCTTCCACTATTAAATAAACTTTTTGATACTTTGGATGTCTCGCTTATTATGGGGATCCCGACCTCACATTTCGATAAACCAGACTCTATGGGATGGTTTTTCATAAAGACGGGGCGGTACACCGTTAAGTCGGGGTATATGGTCGCCCAAGAAAATCCTGATGATGACGGTATGGTACCTTTTGGTCCCGACATACGGTGCCTTCAGGCACAAGCATGGAAAATATCTTGCACCCAAAAACTTCAACACTTTATGTGGCAAATTTTAACGGGATGTATTTCAGTGAGGGCACGATTACGTGCTCGGGGTATGCAGATAGACCCACAATGTATGAGATGTGGAATGGCTGCGGAAACGATAAATCATATGGTGTTTGAATGTCCGCCAGCACTACAGGTTTGGGCACTATCCCCGATTCCCACGGCTATCAACCGGTTTCCGATAGAAGGTCTATTTACGAATATGGCATATTTATTCTGGAACTTACCGAATGATGATAGAATGAGGATGTATCCTTGGTTGATTTGGTTTATTTGGAAAGCTCGCAATGACAAGGTTTTCTCTAATGGGGATTGGGACCCGAATGAGATTATAAGTCACGCAGCAGCGGAGGCTTCAGCCTGGACAATGGCTCAGACACGACAGACCTCAGTGAGGACGATTTCAACAGCCATGGTGGACACGATTCGTTCGGGTGACAGATGTCAAGTGGATGGATCTTGGAAAGAAACAGACCCAAGAGGTGGGTTAGGATGATATAATTTTAATATGGAGACAGGTGAAACCCTTTTGGGAATATGTAATATGTGGCGGGAATATCCCCTCTTCAAACAGAGGTGGAAGCTCTGTTATGGGCAATGCAATGTATGCTACGGCATAACAAGTTAGTGATGGTGTTTGAGACGGACTGTTCCGACGTAGGGAAGATGGTGTCTAAACCAGAGGAGTGGCCAGCTTTTACAATCCTATTAGAAGAAATTGATAGATGTAAAAGGCGTTTTACCTCCTTCTCAATTGAGCATATATCAAGGACCAACAACACTAAGGCAGACAAGTTAGCACGGAGTGCTCGAGCTATACCTACTAGTGTGTATTATGTAAACTCTATTTCTCCAACTTGGATTTCTGAGTTGTAGAGACAGAGGCTGTTGACACACAAAAAAAAAAAAAAAAAAAAAAAAAAATTACATTTTCAATATGATTTTATTTGTTTTAAGAGTGATATTTGTTTTTGGGTCTAATAACCCAATTCAGATGGTGTATAATGGCCATAGTCCGTTGTGAACATAGTCTTTAACGGACAAAGACAATATTTGTCTACCAAACAAAATAGATATTACTAGACGGTACATGGACGCCATATTAACAGCTCTAAATTGGATTAAATCAAATCAATCATATTGGGATAGATTTCATGACACATAAATCTTATTGCATCCTTTAAAAGTTCATAATCATGAGGAGTCTCTGTTATTTGAAAAAACTTATTTCCTTCTAAAAAATTAGAGAAACATACTCATAAAAAAAGAAGAAAAACTTATTTCTTGTTCTTGTTCTTGTCAATGCCTGTGACAAGCCATGCTTAATCCGGTGGCGATCTTATCGAAGATGAATTTATTAGCAGCCTGCGTGAAGTGGACACCGTCCCACACGACGGCCTTGTTAGGCTCATCGCAAGGCTTTCCAACGTAAATCTCTTTGCCTTTCACAACCACTTTCTTCCCACAACCAATGTGCTTGTTGTAGTTGTATTTCCCTCCATGACCACAACATGAAACTAACGACCTCTTGAATCCGTGACCCTGGGCGTGAACAAACAACTCATGTTTGGCAGAGTAGACATCCACGTAAGTGAAGGCTGCTTCGGACAAGGAAGCTTTTAGCTCGATCACGGCTTGTTTCAAGGCGTTGTTAAAGCGTTGCGCTAATTGGTTCAAGGAAGAGGCACATCCATGTGAATCAAACTCTGATGCTTGAAGCGGAAACCATTCGATCACATACGGTAAACAACCGATTGGTCCTGTGTTGTGAATCCAGAAGTATCTCCCTCCTTGTGCGTAAATATTCTGTCACCAAAAACCAAAAAATATACCACATTTTTATTATGACGATTCCCTTTAGAACCAAAAACAGAGTTTGGAAACAGAGGCAGACCGTGACAGCTGTCTTGAACTGGCTGATGATCTCAGGAACATCATAGGTTTCAAGTTGTTCGACGGTTTTTTTGGCGAAGTAACCAGCGGTGAGATCGTTTTGACCTATGTCGAAAGTGTACAATGCCTTTGAGAAACTGTCGGCTTCAGGCAGAATCGTCGTATAAATTCCCCCTGTGACATATATCAAACGGCATAAGAAATGATATATGTGTCTCTATCAAAAAAAGGAATGATGTGTTGATGAATGATATAACGTTTTTTCATGCTTTGAAAATGTGAAACTCTATTTTTACACATTTATCAAAAAACAAAATTCCGTTTTAAAAAAAAATAATTTCATTGAAAAGAAAGAAAAAGGCATTATTAATCTACTAAAACTAGCTTGTGAATATTTTGTAAAAAATTATTCATCTAAAGTGTTACCGCTACACAATCATTTGATGATATTCCACTATAGTAATCTAACATATTTTCTACTACACAATCCCTTTAACTACGTCATCACTTCTCAATCCCTACGCCATCATTAGATATTCTGTTATTCTAACTACTCATCTCTAACATATTTTATTTCGATCTTTATCTCTCGTAGATGGAATCAGTGAGTGAGAAAGTCGTTACCGCGACTACGAACTGTTTGAGATCTGTCGTGGAAATTGGAGAATTGGACAAACTGAACATCGAGTGAAAACGGACTGAATCCACTTTGACGAAGAGTGGAGTTGAGAGCTCTGATCGGGGATCCCGCCGTCGCGAAGTTAGCGCCATGGCTGAAGTTCGAACCAACCGAGTCAAGAAACGCACTTAGATATGGCAGTTCAAGACTCTCCGCTGTTTCAACAAGAACACAAATCAACAAAACGCAAACGCAAGACTCTGAAAAGAGTATTATTGTGTATTAATATTACCTATGAAATCAATGACGAGGCGACCATCGCAGTACCTCCCGGCGGGTGAGCCGAAGAAAGAAGAACCGTGAGGAGGACCAGCTTGGCCAAAAGCGGCGGAGAGGCCTCCGGTATCGGAGTTAGAGTCACCGAAGTTGAAGATTGCTGGGAAATGGCATTGATGAGCTGTGATTGTGAATGAAGAAAGCAAAGAGAGAGCAAACAAAGAGGATATGATTGACTTCATTTGGTAAAGGAGAAAAAAGGATCTAGCCAAGAAAGTAACATCTAACTCAGTCACGGGACTTTATCCTACAAATATAATATAATGGAGCGTTAGAGATGCAAACAAAACTGGAAAGAATATTTTCAAGGAGGAAAAAAATTCATCTAGAAAGGAAAGAGACGTTGCCCCCACCAAAAAGAGAGAGGAAAGTTGGTGGCAATTGATAAAAAAGGAAGGAGTGAAAATATTTATTTTAAATCAATAAAATTTGATAGAAAATATGTACAAACAACTAATTAGTAGAACGTGTTATAGTATATAATCTACATTTAATTAATAAAAACATGTATAGTAGTAACAGAGATGGACAATCCGATGTGTAGTTTGTTTTTGTGTGTGTGGCTCAAACATAAACTTTTCATTCATCATCCAAGGCATGCTTACAAAGATGTTTATCCACTTCCACAAGGGAGATTTATCTTTCCATGTTCAACTAATGGTACCAATCTATATTTTATATATATACATGTTGCTTTCATCTGGGCATGTCACGTCAGCAAAGGAGCATTCTAAAAATGTGATTTATTATATTTTTTCTTCTTCAATTTAATTCTCACAATAATTATAATTTATTTATTTTTTTGGTCGAAAGAATTATCATTTATTATTATAATTGGTTTAACAAAAATAGGAATACGAAAAGTCATTTAAAAAAAAAAGAAAATTCATGTATAATTCTATAAAAATTATTATTTAGTAATTTTAGTTTTGTCATATTATATACTTTACCATCAAACAAATATAGATTTTTGAATAAATTGAGAGATCAAAATAAACGTGATGAGAAGAAACATAACAGGAAAAAGGTAAATTTTGCCTATCTCTTATTATATTTAAGGATGGGACGGTAAGAAACGGAAGGACCGAGATAGGACAAGACAAGACACAAAGAAACGGAATGAGATAGGATGAGACTGGATGGAACATACATGACGGGATGAAAATGAACATAATAGGACGGGACAAGATATGAATTTCGCCTATCCCTAATTATATTTAGGGACGGGACGGAAAGAAAACAGAAGGAACGGGATGGAACAAGACAAAACGGGAAAGAACGGAATGAGATAGGTTGGCTGGATGGGATTGCACGGGACCGGACAGACATGACGGACGGAACGGGAAAGAACAAACATGATAAAAAGGAACAAAACAGGAGGAATGAGAAATGACGATTCAGAAATTTTACGTAACCTAATTATATTTATTTTTAAAAAGAAAACTTATTTATAGATCTATAAAAACTATTATTTAGCAATTTTAGTTTTGTCAGATTATATACTTTACCTTCAAACAAATATAGATTCTGGATGAAATGAGATAAGACAAAAATGAACGGGATGAGAAGAAACATAACGGAATATGAGATAAACTTTGCTTACCTCTTATTATACTTAGGGATGGGACGGGAAGAAACAGAAAGACCGAGATGGGACATGACTAGACAGGAAGAAACAAAATGAGATAGGATGAGACTGGATGGGACAGATAGGACAGAAAGGACAGGATGAAAAGAAACATAATGGGACGGGACAAGACGTGAATTTCGCCTATTCTTAATTATATTGAGGGACGTGACAGAAAGAAACGAAAGGAACGGAATGGGACAAGACAAAACGGGATGGAAGAAAATGAGTTAGGATGGGATTGCACTGGTGGGGACAGACATGACGAACGGGACGGAAAATAACAGACATGATAAAAAGGAACAAAAGGGGAGGAATGAGAGAGGACGGTTCAGAAAATTTGCATAACCTTAATTATATTTAATTTTTGGAAATTTTGTGTAATACTAATTATATTTAATTAATATGTGTATGACATTTTTAAAATAATAATGAACCTTAGGATTAAAATAAATTTACGAAAAACAATAAAATCAACACAACAATGTAAATCCCTAAATCCCCGCGCGAAGCACGGATCACCCCTAGTTATATTAAAACGTTTATAAGAATAACCGTGCTTTACGGGAGACAGCTTATTTGCGACGATACAAACCCTAAAACGTACATCACTCTATATATATTTTTTTTGTAATTTTTCATTTTACGGCGGCAGTTCACATCTCTCCCATTTGCAATTCTGAAGTTCAATAAAAAAAAACACATTCAAACAACATGTTATCTTACGCGATGATAGCGGATTTGCATTCACTGGTTACCAAGATGGCGTTAAGAGTCATGGTCTTAAAGAAGTGGGTTAATGCTGGTGCCAAAGATGTCGAAGGGTTAAATGTTATTTTCGTCGATGAACCAATAAGTTATGTAAAACATAGTACTCTTGATTGATCATTTACTACAATCACCACCAATCGCTAAAATTTTTATTGTAATCAATACTTGATTCTCTGATTTATCATTTAGGGAACCAGGATCCAGGCGTCCGTAACCAGTAATGACTACATTAACATGTTTGATGACCAAATCGAGGAAATGGTACTGCTTATCCAAGTTCTCTGTCATTAATTCTCCAGTCCAAAACCGAACAACAATTAACGAATGGTGCATTACCATGGATTCTAACACTAAGATCCACAAAATACCAAGAAGATCATCGAGCTATGTAGTGGAACACAGTCGTTTTACATTAGTGATGAACTTGCGTGCTGATTATGCCTTTCCAATTAGTAAGCCCTCTGTTTTTAAATTTCATTTAGTTTATACAAGGATTTTTCATAAATTTAACATCGAACTAACAAGATCATTTTGAAATATAATTTTTATTATAGATTTGTTAGGTGTGGTCTCTCATGTTGGAGATCTTCACACCGTCAGAGATGAAATGTTTTATGGACGAAACAAAAGAAAATGCAAAATCTATTTCCGGATCCGTGATATACAGTAAGTACTCTAACAACAAAATATGTATTCTGATATATATGAATACCAGTGCTCTGATGGTCAGCTATTTTTCTTAGGAATCGTGAATATTATGTTTTGCAAGTGGAAAACTCGCTAATGATTTCTATGAGTTGTACCATAGAATTTCCAATGATGTTGTAGTATGTGAGTTAACAGATTGGAGAGCTCTCTCGAACAAAGGTATAGTCTATATAATGTGTTAAACTGTTTCCAAAGTTATGACGCACATCGATGTAAGCATACTTTGTATTGTACTAATGGTGTTCTATTTAATTATTAGTATGGAATCATATGTTATTGATGGAGGTGGCATGTCAAGATTCAAATTTGATCCACGCTTTCCCATGGCTCAAGAATTGAAGGAGAAGTAAGTATTGAATTAACAAAATGCTTAATACAGTAGAGATCATATAACTCCATACTAATATTTTTACATCTACATAACGTACCAGGTTTATGCTGACTTCTCAGCATAGGAAATCACCATTAAGTACCGTTAACACTGCGTAAGCACACTTCTTTGCTCATTATCACATTGGAGGAGGACAGAAGGGTTTATAACACCCAAAAACTAAGGAATGATGTTAAGGGTTTATAACACCCAAAAACTAAGGAATCATGTTGCCCCATGATTCATTTTCATTTTGTATCCGTTTTAATGTTTTAACTTTTTCAAACCTCTGCGATTCTTTCTTGTTAAAATTCCGTTGACGGCTATAGGGTGTCACATGACACCGTAAGTTTTATATAAACTGATTTTTAGTTAAATTTCTGTTGGTTTTGTTAGATTATATGGCAAAATCTTTTCTTTGATCCCATATAGTTAAGAGTTCACTCTCCATATGAAACCTATATAATTATTTGGTATTTTATTAACTGATGAAAAATTTATAGATTCGCCACTGAGATTTTGCCTGTCTCTCATCTCTTAGGACCTAAACACCATTGTTGTTATTTTCTTTGGACCAAGTTCCTCGACGTAGCACTTGAACCTACCCCAGGGAGGAGGAGGAGCCCATGGCATTCTTGATGATTGCCCATCTCAATGCTTCAATCTCACCTCAAAAATTGATATTAATCTTGGTAGCTTCTTTGCACATATCCAAAGAACTTTGCCTGTCTCATCTCTTAGGACCCATCTTACACCATTGTTGTTATTCTCTTTGGACCAAGTTCCATTCACGTTGCACTTGAGCCAACCTCAGGGTGGAGGAGCCCATGGCTACTACTAGGGATGTTAATCAAGGGTTTTTACCCGTAGGGTACCCTTTCTTAATACAAAACATGAAGGGTTAATGAAAGTGTTCTAATAGGGTTATCTAATGGGTTTAGGGTACCCTATGGATATCTTTTTTATGTGCCTAAAACAACAGAGTTAGTAATATTGTTATTTTTAATACTTTTTAATCATTTTTTCTTTAATCTTCACATGCTCTAAATCATATATAAACTCATAATTATCAAAATTCGATTTGAAAATCCCTAATTTTGATAAGAAAACTTGATTTTACAGCGAAAAATATGATATTGCGGTTTTTGAAGGAAATATAATTTTTCAATTTTTTACACGAAAATGTGATTTCAAGGTTTTAGAAGAAAATCGTGGTTTCGCAGATTTTGCGAGAAAACGTGACTTTGCGATTTTGACGAGAAATTTTAATTTGAAGTTTTGGTGGAAAATTTTACTTCGCGATTTTGACAAGAAATTTTGATTTTGAGGTTTTGACGGAAAAAACGTGATTATGAGGTTTGGACGGAAAAACGTGATTTTGAGGTTTTAACGGAAAAACGTCATTTTAGGGTTTTGGCAAAAAAACGTGATTTGAGGTTTTGGCAAAAAAGTGATTATGCGGTTTTGACAAAAAAATGTGGTTTTGAAGTTTTGACAGAAAAACCTGATTCCAAGGTTTTGACGGAAAAACATGATTACGCGCTTTTGACGGTAAAATGTGATTACACGGTTTTGACGGTAAAATGTGATTACACGGTTTTGACAAAAAAAAAACGTTATTTCACGAGAAAACATGGTTTTGGCTAGAAATTGTTATTCTAGGGTTTTGGCGAAAAAAATGTTATTTTATGGTTTTGGCGGAATCAATGATTTTGTAATTTTGGCGAAAAAGCGTGGTTTGCGTTTTTTGGCAGAAAAAATGTTTAGTGTTAATTAAAGATAAACAAATAAAAAGGACAAAAATGCAATTAGGGTATCCTAGGACAAATAAAACCCTTAATATGTATAAGACCAACAAAAAAGCAGAAAAATAGAAAACATACAACTAAACTATAAAATTGTTATATCCATTAAGGAAAAAAATAACACGAAACAAATAATTTAAATTCTTTGTCGCATTTATTAAGAAAAGAAAAAAAAAACATATTCCCATTAATCTAGCTAAATAATTATTAAAAAACTAACTAATAATGAAAATGAAAATTTACAATGGTTTGTGGCAAAAACGAAATTGAGAAAGAAACAAGTATACATAGAAAAATAATAAAATAATTATCAAGAAACTAACTAATATTAAAAAAAAATGAACCGATATTCTAATTTGAGATAGTTTAATTTTCAATTTTTTGTTAGGTCAAAATATATTAAATAACGATTTCATCAATTGAAATTTCGTGAATGAAATAATAAAAGTTTGACGAATTAATGAGTTGATCAGATTTAGACATGTGTAAATCTTTCTATCTTATTATATAAAGCTGGATGCGCACGACGTGGTTGCGACTCGTAGGATTTTTATAATATTCAGGATCGCGACATGTGTAACTTTTAAGTTTATATCCGTTAAGATCGTGACACGTGTCTTACGAAAAAAAGAAGAACTTTACAAAAAAAAGAATCCCAGAAAAATGTTAATTTAAAAAACGAAATTTAATTTTATATATTATATCAAAAAGGAAAAAATAATTGCCATATCGAAACTCAATAAGGTTTCCCATTCATCAAATTTTTTTTATTATATAAAGTTGTATCCGCACGACGTGGTTGCGACACATAGGATTTTTATAATTTATAAGATCGCGACATGTGTCATTTTTAATGTTACGTCCGTTAAGATCGTGACACAAGTCTTAGAGAAAAAAGAAAATAATAATAATAAAAATTTTGGATTAAGGAAATTGTTTTTAAAAAATTAATCCATTGCAGTTAAAAGAAATAAAAATATATTTGTCATATCCTAATAGGGAAAGGTTTCCCATTCATCAAATTAACATTATCCAAACAAATAATAAAATCAAAATAATAAAATAAATAAAATCCTATTTGTACATGGAATATGTTATGTAAACTAAATTTTCTATAACTGAATGTAATAATTTACTTGAACCCTATAAAAGAGAGTCAATGTTTCTCAATCATAAATTCCAGAAAAAGGTTTCCCATTCATCAATTTTTTTTATTATATAAAGTTGGATGCGGACGACGTGAGTGCGACACATAGGATTTTTATAATTTATAAGATCGCGACATGTGTCACTTTTAATGTTACGTGCGTTAAGATCGTGACACATGTCTTAGAGAAAAGAATAATAATAAAATTTTAGATAAAGGAAATTTTTTTTAGAAAAATAATCCAGTTAAAAGGATTAAAAATATATTTGTCATATCCTAATAGAGAAAGGTTTTCTATTCATCAAATTATTATTATCCAAACAAATAATAAAATCAAAATAATGTAATAAATAAAATCCTATTTGTACATGGAATATGTTATGTAAACTAAATTTCCTATAACTGCATGTAATAGGTTACTTGAACCCCTATAAAAGAGAGTCAAGGTTTCTCAATCATAAATTCATCAAAACAAATTCATCAAATCCCTTTGATTCTATTTCTCCAATTTAAAAATCTTGTTTTTGAAAGTTTTGCGATACATGAGATTTTTATAACTGACAAAATTTCGACATGTGTTTTAGAAAACAAAAAATCTGGAAGTATGAAGATCGTACCATGTGTCATGGAATAAAAATAACAAAAAATTAATATGTATAAGACTAAATAAAAATTAGAAAAACAGATAACAAATTAAAATGATAAAAACAATATCCATTAAAAATAATAAAAAAACAGGAAACAAATAATTTAAATTCTTTTGTTACATCTATTAAGAAAAGGAAAAAAAATCCATTTCGAAAAGGAAAAATACCAATTATATAGTATTTATAATGGTCTGAGGCAAAAAAAAATTGAGAAAGAAAAAATATAAATAAAAACTAACAAAATAATTATCAAGCAATTAACTAATATTAAAAAATTATAATTGATATTCTAATTTTAAATAGTTTGATTTTCAATTTTTGTTAGGTAAAAAATTGAAATAAATATTTCATCAATTAAAATCTCTTGAATGGAATAATAAAAGTTTGATTAATTAATCAGTTGATCAGATTTAGACATGTGTAAGTCTCTTATTGGATAAAAATAATACAAATTAACTCATTTTCTTATATCATAAATTCAAAAGAAAAATCATTACAATAAAAATGTAAAAGTATTACCAATCTTATTTTATTTAAATATTTTTATCGGGTTTTCAATATTATTTTGTTTACGTTTAAAAATGATCAAATTTTGTTTAATATTTTCCATGCTTTTATTATAAAATCTTAAAATATACCCGCGTATACGCGGCCATAATCTAGTATTGGATAAAAATAAAAGTAAAACAATTTAATTTATTTTTCATATCATGAATTCAAGAAAAAAAATTGTAAAAATATTACCAATCTTATTTTATTTAAATATTTGTTATCGGAATTTATTATTCTGTTTAATTTGAAAAGTGATTTTATTTTGTTTAATATTTTTCCGTGATTTTATTACAAAATCTTAAAATAAACCCGCTTTAATCTAGTTATTTATAATCTGGTTTAAAATTTTGGTTGACCAAAGTCAAGATACTTTGCATCACCATACGACACCGTTTAGAGATAGTCGTTTTGTGTGTAATTTGTAATATCATCGTATCGTCTTCCTCGCGGAGTTTCAGTCTCAGCCACAAAGTTAACTCGACTGTCGTCTTCCGGTAGTGATGCTTCTTCCCGCAATCGCTTCTCAGACTCTTCTCTCATCGAACTCTAATTTACTCTTCTGCAATTGTATTCCAAACCCTAGACCTTCCAATTCTTCTCTTAAGCTACCCAATGCGTCATCCTCCTCCTCGTCATCTCCTATATTCACCCTTCCCGCACGCGGTCTCCGTTACGTGAACCACACTGTATCCGATGGAGCATCAGATTCCGCAGCCGGTGCCGGCGGTGGAGAAACCATGGTGGCGTCAGCCTCCGCTATCGCTTCCGCGATCCGTGGAGCCTCGACGACTCCTGTGGAATTCACACAGGTGATTGAAAAAGACCATCTCAAGACGAAGATCATCTTGCCCAGTCCCGATTTCCAGCGTCTCTGCCTCGAGCAGTTAGATCTCTTCCGTAGAATCGTCGATCCAAACGCAGTCCTCTCGGTACGTCTCTATGTTTCTTCTCCCTCCGTTTTCGCCGGAAATGGGGTTTTGAAATGTTTGATTTCGTAATTTTCAGATTTATGTAAGACCAGCTGGTAGCTACGTGATGGATCGATTGGAGCTGCGTCGTGTCACTTGTTACCCGAGTGTTAATGCCGGAGACGTTGTGATCTTAGTTGTAAACTTTGGTATCCCCGCCGGTCTACGAGCCGCCGAAGCATCACTTTCCAGTCAACAAGTATGTGTCTTCTTCTTCCTCTGCAATTTTTGCCTAAATCGTTTTTTGTTTGACATATTATGATGATGATGATAGGTAGAAGTTGTGAACAAACATAGAGCTGCAGTGTTTCCAATGGTGAAACACCCGTTTGTCGTTGGTTTCTTGGTTGCTGAGTTACCATTAGAAGCCAGGGAGGAGGAGGAGGAGGAGGAGGAGGAGGTGGAGGAATTGAGTGGTTTAAAGCATTTTCCTTCGCCGGAGGAAGCTTATGCTTTGCCTGGCTCAGCTAATGTGAGACCACCAAAAGCTAAAGTTCCATCTGTTAAGGTGTTCACTGCAGAGCAGAGATCTTATGCTATTAACATTTCACGGACTCTCGCTATGGCATATGTCATGGATCAGGTAGATTGTTCCTATATCCTGTTGCTCGTCCGTCTTTGTTGGCATTATTTGTGTTTGGCTCTATCTTGAATCCTAATTGTTGCATTCTTTTGATGGCTGTGTTTAGAAAACAATGTTACTTCAACAGTCGTCTTGGCAAAACAATGTGAGGATGAGTAAGCTAGTGGAGCAGGTACAAGATACACACATAGATGTTGCGTTAAAGGCTCCTTTAGTTTTATATCATGCTTTTTTCTTCTTTGCTCTATGGCAGATCCGTGGTCCGCTCTCTACCATTAGGACGTTAAGTAAAATGCTATCAACTCACACGAAAAGAAATCAGGTCCTTGCTCTAACATTTTGGCTGGAAGTGCTGATCTCTCTGAGTTCTTGATCGTTGGGGATGACTTAGGTTTGTGTACCTTGTAGATTTCACATGATATTGTCGACGACTTAATCGTTCAAGGCGAACAACTAAGAGACACCCTTCAAGAACTTCAGGATGCAGTTCACTTGACAAAGGTACACTTGAGAATCATGACTCTTCAGGATATCTTAGATGCGTTGAGCATAAGAATTCTTACAAAACCGTACTCAAGTTGATTTTTCGAAGTGTATTTCCTAAGCGTTTTACTTGCAGGCTAATATTGTCCGCCACAATGAAGAAACCCTGAAGAAGATAAACAAAACGCATAACGAGACAAGGAGATCAAAGTATTCCGGTGACTATGAACATAAGGATCCCATTGATGGGTCGCAAATCCCAAGTACACGCCTTTCGCTTGGTTCTGGATCAGATGATTCAGAAATGCCTATGCCTCCTCTGGCCCTAGCAGCCCTACAAACACATAACATAAGGTATAAGCTACCTAGCCATTAACTTTTAAATTCTTGCTACAAAGTGTATGGTAGTGCTTATCTCTTTCATTTATGTCAGGAAGCAAATCCCAAGTACACGCCTTTCGCTTGGTTCTGGATCAGATGATTCAGAAATGCCTATGCCTCCTCTGGCCCTAGCAGCCCTACAAACACATAACATAAGGTATAAGCTACCTAGCCATTAACTTTTAAATTCTTGCTACAAAGTGTATGGTAGTGCTTATCTCTTTCATTTATGTCAGGAAGACCATGCGACATTTCTAATGTGCTTTTAGATATGGTGGAGACTGTGAGACCACTTGCCCTCACTCAGCAAAGAGTAGTGGAGCTAGGTGAAAACTCAGCTTCACTGCAAGTCGCTGTTGAAGAACCGGCTTTGAGACAGGCCATGAGCAACCTCATTGAAGGTGCTCTGTTGCGCACTCACGTCGGTGGAAAAGTTGAAATCTTGTCGACTAGAGCTCCTGCCGGAGGTAGTCTGGTGGTAATCGATGACGATGGTCCTGATATGCGCTACATGGTAAACGAAACCAAACTCATCTGTGCCTTTAGCCTTACTAGTTACTCTATTGCTTCTTAGCATTAAAAGTGTTACCATCAATGCAGACGCAGATGCATTCGCTAACACCGTTTGGATCAGAGCTCTTATCGGAGAACATGGTTGAAGACAACATGACGTGGAACTTCGTGGCGGGTTTAACCGTAGCTCGAGAGATCTTGGAGAGTTACGGATGCGTGATCAGGGTTATATCACCTCGCAGCTCGGATGCAGCCTTAGGAGCTGGTGGGACTCGTGTAGAGCTTTGGCTCCCTGCCTTCACCGCAGGAGAGTCTGAAACCGATGAAGCATAATAGTTATCGTTTTCACTCTCTTTGCCTTTGTTTAATCTTGTAGCCGCTCGAGTTAAATTGCTTTGCCTATTTATATGTGTGGTGAAGCACAATGTATAGTCTATTTTTTTGTGATTTGTTGATGAGTGTGTAGTAACAACTTCATATATGTACATAAACTACAAAAGGGTTAGACTTTGTATTGTAACGTGAATATATAAGCTTTATTCCATCACCAAGTAAGAATATTACATGTTCATTGTTAAAACTCAATTAACATAATTATTTAAACCATCGTTATAACTTATAATCAAACGTTTTTGATTTTTCTATTGACTGCATCTTCTAAACCTGTCACGAGTCGGATCAAGTAAAACAAGAAAAGAAGTGGGGACATTTCATATTAAAGAAAGTGGACTCCTCAGTTTGGTAAGAAATCTACATTTATTATAAGTTTGGCAAACTCTATTAGCAAGACCAATACTTTAGTCAAACTTCATTATTATTTTCAGTCTTATAAATCAGCAGTGTCTTACATTCTAATCTCTATTTATACATATCTTCTGCAAAAATCTAAAATTTTGGCTGAAACAATTTCATCTATACTATAACCGGTAAGAATCCTTGCGCGATATTCGAAAAAGATCTCTCAAATTCAACCTTTCTTGTAGTTCACATGTTCGTTTATAATTTTGCTTTTTGGCTTTTTTTCTATTCAAGTTTGAAAATTGAATCTCGATACAGATTTGTTTCTATTCACTTTAACATATCAAAACAGTATGTTGTAAGGTAGATACAACAAAATTCAATTGGCATTTGTACGACATATTTGCGTGTAGTGTCGGTCCTATATGCATTTTATTGTCGCCGCTGCTTACTTTTACGCGCATAAGCCAATTAAATCGGGACATTTTTTCCAAAAACTGTGTCGTTTTGTGGGTTTTCGAATTTCAATTAAACCATTTTTAATTACTTTTAAGGAAATGTGAACAAAATAGAATCAGCTTTTTGAGCTTTAAGCTATTTCGGTAATATACGCCAGAAAACTCACCAAACCAAAACCTACGCTTTGGCTTTGAATTTTCTCAGGGAAACGTCGACGAAGAAGACGAAAGCGAGATATAGGTTTCGAGTCGGCGTTTGATTTCCGAAAACGCGTTTCTCATTTCTCTTTTTTCTCGCGCTCTCACGTTTTTGGCGTTTTCTCTGGGTTTGTCTCTGTAAAACGAGGAAGGCGATCACGGGGTTTTACACCTCTTCGTTGGTTTCTGTGTGTGCGTGCGCGTGTTTGGGAATTTCGGAATTTGAGGTTTTGTGTGGTTGAGAAGCGATTTTCTCGTGCTTCTTCACTGATTCGTCGCAGGATCTCGTTTTCTGCTTTTTTGATTAATCCAGGTTCGTTGATGGCTTTATTTATAGGAAAAATGAGAATTCTGTGTTCTTCTCGTTTCTATGTTAATTAATCGCTGGGAAAATTTGGATTATCTGAGGAATTTCGCTTATTCGTCTGGAATTGGGTAACATTTTGCTTCTCTTTGATGTTGAAAACAAGGCTCTTTTGTATTAGTTTTATCATTAGCTGCTTCGATTGAATTTCAACATTTTTCCGGAAGTGTTGTTCAATCAAAGGTGATACATCGGAAATTGAGTTTAATTGTTTCTTTTTGTCTTGCAATCTAAGGAAAGTGTTCTGCTTTTTGTAAGACGACTTGTTCTGTGATTGTTGTTTATTGTTTGATTTTTTTTTGCGTTTTTCAATGTGGAAGCTTTTGATAACATTTGCTTGCAATTGCCATCATCGAGTGGAGAACGATCTATATGAAAAGTAAAGGCTTGTTTTGACTTATAGAATTGTATTTTCTTTTTTCAAAATAGGTTTGGTCAATAGTTTGGTATTGAAGCCTTTTAGCTGGTTGGTTTTAGAAGCACTATATTGTATTCATTCTTTAGGTTTTACGACAATGACTTACACTTTTATTGACGAAGAGTTTTAAATTGTGTGGTTGATGACTGGATCTGCCATTTAAAAAGAGCCATTGTGTGTCTTCTTCAAGAAAATTCATTTTGCGGCGCACTTACGGTGTTAACCATTGCAGGTTCTTGGCTTCTCCATTGTCAAGAGGCCTTGAGTTTTGGAGTAGAGAGAAACCAAGTCAAGTGAGTGACTTCTTTATTGCATGCTGCACGTTTTCGCTCTGAAGCTAGAATCAGAAGTTTAGAGAAGATATGGGAATCTTTTCACGGAGGTCAGGATCTCAATCTTGTTTCTTTGCCATAAATTTTGAAGGTTACTGGCTAATGTGGTCGGTCGTTGTAGAGGTGCAGAGAATATTAATCAAATTTTGTGTTTTGGTATTTCAGTTCTATTAGTAGGAAATCAAAAGATGGAATGAAGATCATTGCAACAGCGTTTTTTGGAGTAACTTTTGGATTTTTGATCGGAATATCTTTCCCATCATTATCAATCACTAAGGTTGTAGAATCAGCTTTATAGCTTTCTGTTCTGTCCTACTTTTGTCCACTGTTTATCGTAGGAACATTTTTGTTCTCATATTTCAGGTGAGTCTCCCAACAAACTTTCTTCCTTCAACTGATCTCTCGTACATAGAGGAAAAGGGTTCGACAATTGCAACTCCAGATAGTCATAAAGCTTGGTCATCATCAAAGAGTAACGATAGCAGCTCATCCGGTCCAGTCGACAAATCAAAGGCATGCTTCTTCTTCCACTCCTTTATTTTTGACTTGGAATGTTGTTAGAACTTTACAGTATTGTTTATACAAGTTTTACATATTTAGAGATTTAAGATTTCACCTCGCAAAACATGAAGGAAACTAGAGATGCAAAGAACATCTCTTTGTTGACCTTTTCTTGTTCTGTTTTCAAGATTAGTGGTATTGGATACACATTTCTACTTCCATGTTTTCATGTTTTAATTTCTGAGTTTTCTGCAGATCTGGGTTCCTTCAAATCCTCGTGGTGCTGAAATGTTGCCACCGGGTATGGTTGCTGCTGAATCAGACTTCTATTTGCGCAGATTATGGGGCTTACCGCATGAGGTGTGTGCTTTTTAATATCATCAAACCATTCTAGTCTTGATATACAAGAGAAATATCCTGATCAGATACGGTATGTACTTGCTTCTTCAGGATTTGCAAAGTCAACCAAATTACCTGGTGACGTTTACAGTGGGTATTAATCAGAAAGAAAATATCGATGCTTGTGTCAAGAAGGTTTGTTCATCATTACCTTCGTTTGATGTTTTTGTCTTATAATATCATGTCTTATACGATTTATCGTCTTCTCAACAGTTTTCAGGGAACTTCACTATTCTCCTGTTTCATTATGACGGCAAAGTAAGTGAGTGGGATGAGTTTGAATGGTCGAAGACTGCTATACACATTAGCGTGCGAAAGCAGACCAAATGGTATCAACAGCTTAACAACCTCTTTTATTCTTTCTTTATGGTAGAGAATATTCTGGTGATATTTATGATTTGACTCTCTTGGCATCTGGAAATATGTTAGGTGGTATGCAAAGAGGTTTTTGCACCCTGATATTGTAGCACGATATGATTACATATTCATCTGGGATGAGGACCTTGGTGTCGAGCATTTCAATGCAGAAGAGTAAGTTTTAATAAACCTTCAAAGATAACAGTTTCCTTGCATTTACTTTGATCTGTTGTGATCATATTGATTATGTTTCTTCCAGGTACATAAAGCTGGTGAAGAAGCATGGCCTGGAGATTTCTCAACCTGGCTTGGAACCAAACAAGGGGTTAACATGGCAGATGACAAAGCGAAGAGGAGATCTTGAAGTCCACAAGTATGATGAACATAAACCCCCTCAAATTCTGGCCATGTTTAGTAACTGCATTGATCTTTACAAAATTTTGGTTTGATCTTTTTCAGGATAACAGAAGAAAAACCTGGATGGTGCTCAGATCCTCATCTCCCTCCCTGTGCTGCGTATGTAAAAATCTTTCTTTCTTCCTGTTATGAGTTTGACTTTCTTTTTGCCGATAACAGGAACTAAACCATTTTGGATCTTTTGTGTCATTGACAAATCCAGATTCGTCGAGATCATGGCTCCTGTGTTTTCAAGAGACGCATGGCGATGCGTGTGGCACATGATCCAGGTTCCTTACTTCATCATATGTTTCTTCACTCGTCATTCACATTACTTTCTCTTCCCTAACATACTTAATTATACGCCTTACATTTACTATTGACAGAATGATTTGGTTCACGGTTGGGGACTTGACTTTGCTCTCAGAAGATGTGTTAAGGTATGAAAGAGACACTTGCAGTTTGTGCTAAATCCAAAACAGAGGGTTGCTTGGTTTTAGTTATATCTTATTTTATATGACGAAACTTTGTGTGCAGCCTGCACATGAGAAGATAGGAGTAGTAGATTCTCAATGGGTCGTTCATCAAACTGTCCCTTCCCTTGGCAGCCAAGTAAACCCCATAAACCTATTCCTCTTCTTGATCTAACATTAACCTTTTCTTGCTAAGAAATCTCATTCTCTTTCGGTTTCTGTAGGGTGAGGCCGTGGACGGGAAAGCGCCATGGCAAGGGGTAACAAAGCTCTCTCTTTTATCTCGGAAGAAGACGCATTAACTTGTGTAACAAGCGACTTCAATGCGTGTGTGTTTTTGTTGTTGTTGCAGGTGAGGGACAGGTGCAAAAAGGAATGGACAATGTTCCAGAGTAGAATGGCTAACGCAGAGAAGGAATATTTCAGATCTTTACAAGTTGAAGGCTCTTCAAATTCAACAACAGCAACAACCATTTAAACATAGGAGAGTACTTAAAAGTAGCCAGACCGAGACGCTGACTGACAGATTCAGTTTACAAAAGTGTCTTGCATTTACATATAGAGGGGCCTGTGACTGTATATGTTTATCTAGTAGTTACTCATCTCTTTCTTTAACTCCCCAACCAAATCTTCTCCATCGAATAAACAAAAAGATAGCAATGTCACAATCTTGATCCTTTAAAGCACTTGTGAATCTTGATAAAAGGTATATAGGGATTATGAACAACAAACATATCAACTTAATGAAAAACATAGTAATTGTATCTTACGTTCACACATCACATATTACAATTTACATATATACTAGAGATTCTCTAAGCTATCCGAAGAGAACAATGAGCGAGTTTCCAAGAGAAAACTAGATGGATGGTGGTCATATCCACTTGCTGAATATCATGTGCTTTAGATTGATGAAATTCTCTGCTTCTTTGTCAACATCCTCAGCTTTTGCTATCCTCTCGCTCTTCACCTTCCTAATATGATGTGATGACGCCTTCATCACGTCACTCAAGTCTTTGTACTCCATGACTTGATTCGGTTTCTCAGCCATCGAGTTCTTGTGATGGTGACGATGATGATTGTGATTGTGATGGTGGTGATGAGTTTTGTGCTCAAGGAAGGTCTCAAGTACCATTTTTCTATTATAATTCTTGTTTCGTTTCTTCTTGTTGCTCCAGATACATTTTGAAAACATCATCAGAAGTACTATTTATAAGACGTGTTTTAGGATTAAACTCTTAACGATCAGGTTGAATCCGATACCTTTTTTTCTTTCTTTTATGTCCCTTTTGGAGAAAATATAGATTATTCCAGGTTAGGCCAATGTTCTTGGATAATTCAAAATATATAGACGCACATGTCTATTGTTGCATAACTTTATGGTTTTATATTGAACAATAACAAATGATTGATACACGTTATTAACTTCATCAAGAAGGAAGAAAAACATCTTAAAGTTTAAAGAGGTGGGCCAGTGAGCTTAGAGGATAATTGCTACTTGCCAAGGAATATCCCCATGCATAAAAAAAAAAAAATGGTAAACGATAGTTACTGTTAGTTATTCGATGCCCTAGATTCCAAATGATAATTGATCAAAATGGCGTGTCTTGACCGCAACTTTAGTAAAGAACATAGGAAGATGTATGTGGCTATGCTTCAGTCTAATTAAGGCTCATATCCTTTGTGGAATGGTCTCTTCAATCATGTTGATGGAAATTGCATCTAATGCTTGCATAGTGTGAAGAGTCTTTCTTAGCACATACCGTAAGGACCAAGGAAGCTTTTGGATCAATCTCCGGTCAACTAATTAATGGAGACTTTTACGTCAATGCCTTAAAGAGTCCCTTTAGTTGAGAATGAAATATTGTTACAGTCTTTCAATGTGATAGAGGATAAGAAGGGAATAAATCAAAACTTTTATAAGGTCTAACGAGACACAAATCTTTAAGCTAGCTTTTGTGGTATTTTCTACCAAAAATATTGTGTGTTTAGTTTGGGGCAACTTCAATCAATTAGGGTTTTTTACTTTTGTTACAAACGTTACTTATATAAACTAATTTTTGTGTAACCCTTCTACGTGGGGAATTCAACTGATATTAATTACATGATCACTTTATTTAACATAAGCAGCAACAACAACAACACTCCTTAGTAATCATAAGGTCATCAAACAAAGCAAGAACACCTTTTTGTTGAAAGTTCCATCTTCCATGTTTGGTTTTGGTTTTGGTACGACAATGAAACATGTTCATCACACACATACATCTTATACATTATTTAGCATACATATCATTCTTCAGTTTCTTAGTTGAACCGGTTGAGTCTTTGGGCGCATGCACTCAAAGTCCCTTACTCCCCCACCCGGCCTTGTGGTGGCCGCCGCTGCTGTTGGTGACCCGCCAGTTCTCCGTAGCCTTCATCATTACGGCACGGCCAGCACCGCTGCCGTGTATGGGGTTCATGTACATATGATGTGGTGGTGCATGAGGAGCCATAAGCCTGTCTTGGTGCTTAATCCCGTGCTCAACATGCTGCTGCATCCCGTGCGCACCATGCTGCTGCATCCCATGAACACCGTGCTGCTGCATCCCGTGTCCACCCTGGTGCTGCTTCCCCTGACCACCGTGGTGCAGCATTCCTTGCGCACCATGGTATGCATCATCATGCCATCCATTACCCATTTTCCCCTGCAAAATGATCATAAACCAAATTACCAATCTTGCGAGAACCATATAATAATATATAATTACAATTTTTTATAGGATAAACAAGTGTTAAAATACATAATTTTACATAACTATATATAGCATCAAGTTTTAGCATCAACTTTTACATAAATTTTTAAAATACAGTATTTTATTTTAACAAAGTTTTAGGATCAAGTTTCAGGACTTCTAAATAGTTTTTTAAGACACCTTGAAAGAATATATATATAGCATATAACATGATTAGTCAGGTGTTGAGACCTAAAGAGAGAGCTTACGTTGTGGTGAGGCTGAGCCATCGGAGGTGGAGGCATGAAGTTCATATGAGGTGGCTGCTGGTGGTGATTTTTGCCGTGGTGCGGCAAAACAGTAGTGTGGTGGCTCTGGCTGCGCTCATAGAAATCCTCAACGTCTGAGTCTGAGTCTTCTTCATTACAGCGAGGCATGTGAGCCATGGGTGGACGGCCATGGTTGGCAGGAAACCTCATGCGGTGGTCGTAGCGGGCTTGACTGTCAAAGTAGCCTCCTTCTGACTCCTCATGAGACACAAACTCTTTGTGCTCCTCGAAGCCGTAGCTTCGTTGATCCTTGAGACCAAACCTGTGCCCGTACCCACCGATAAGTTTATCAAGCATTTTTCTATATATGTACTTGTGTTAGTTTTCTTTGATATCGATGAGTGATTAAAATCTTTCTGATGTTGCTTTATATATACAAGTTCTTGTTCGATTAAAATAGTGTTGATATAATTCCCTTTGGCAATTTGTGGTAATGTCATGACTCATGATATAATCTGAATCTTATTCTCTTTTGTTACCACTACCATGCCGAAAGTTGAGTAGACATATTTGTTCTGATTCCGTTGGTCTTTTTAAATATTGATCAGTCCCATTCACGTGGAAAATTCGAATTCTTAATAGACTCAATAGTGAATACAGATATTGATGAAAACATAATATCTTCGATTTCAAAACACCATTAAGAGATATCAACACAACATCTTCTGCTAGATTCTTCTCCCTGTTAATATTATCTAAATTCTAAAGAGCAATATGGAAGCTGAGACATCCATTGTCTACTAATATAGTATCAAATAGCTAGGAGTTTGATTCTTCTCCCTGTTAGTATGATCTAAATCATGCTTTTCGTTATTTTTAATAAATTTGTCGTTATATTTTTCATTTATTTACTTTTCCTTAATATAAACATGCGTTGCTGTTCCCGGTTTTGGGTCATTCTCTGCCTTATATGAAACATATATATATATATTTTTTTTTTGAAATATTTGTTTTTGATGACAATGATGATCACATTTTCAGAATATAATTCGTTTACCGAAGGAAAATTTAATAAACTTCAGTGGATTCGTTGAATAGTAGAGTAGCGGAATGATCAAATGATATGATTGAGTAGCGGAAACACTTAAGCTGAATAAATTTCTACAAAATTAATCATAAAACAGTAACAAGCTGGTTTTAGTAAATTAATTGGTGATATTTATAAAGGAAAGCAATAAGATTTATTGGTGAGATGAGTTCATCAATCAACAACAATCTACACAATCATTAAAGTCCCCAACGATTATGAAACATCAAATAAAACAACACAAGCATATTTCTATGAAGGATGGTAATGGTCTTCAGCATTTGTAACGGTTGAGATCAACAATCATTACTGTGATATCATCCCTACTACCTTTACTCACTGCCATGTCCACGAGCTTTTTGCAAGCCGCCTTGATCGTCCCTGACTTTGAAGCTGAAGTGCCTATCTCACGGTCTGGTGATTCCTTCTCTGGTTTGGGAGATTCAACTGGCAACACCTCTTTTTGTTCCTGGACAAGCGACAATCGGCTACGTTTCGGAAATGGGCTCAAATTGTCAAACCCCTGGATCAAGTTCTCATACTCGCTTTCTCTAAGAGTCTTTCCCTGAGGTAAAGCCTTCAACACTGTCTCCACAGCTTCTTGGTTATTGACCACATCCCAAAGACCATCAGAAGCTATGACAAGAAACTCCATATCTTCTTCAATCTCGAGTACTCTTGTCTCGGGCTCAGCAATCACCCATTTCTTTTTCTTCAAATCTGCATCTCCAATGCTTCTAGAAACAGCGAGTGCCCCAGCAACTCTCCAAGCCTGGCCATGAAAGCGAACACTAATCTCTCTCAACATACAATCAACAACACCAAAAATTAAATTAATCTTCAATAACTTTTACCTGATGTTTGATTCTTTGGCGTTCGTCTTCTCTTCCTGCTTTGTGGTCACTTGTAAGAGCCACAGCAACTCCTCCTCGGCACAGGACAGCTCTACAGTCTCCCAAATTCGACACAATAATCTCCTGATCTTGTATTAAAACTGTAACGCAGCATGCACCACTCTTAAAGTCCTGCATGTTGTTGTTACCAGTACGTAAGTTCAAGTAGACAGCTAACTTGCAATACAAGTAACTACTCACGGAAAATTAAACGATTGTTTTCTGTAAAGATCTGACCTTTTCTAAGAAGTCACGATCAGTTTTCAGATAAGCAGCTTTCAAGGCTTCTTCTTTCTCCTCCTTCCCCTCCTTGCAATTCTTCATCATCTCAAGAACATTCTTGTGCAGATTATCAGCCACATATTTCACAGCTTTCCCATCTCCATGGCCATCATAAACTCCGAAAAAACTCTAAAATCATTATCCACCAAAACCCATCAACCTAAGATTTTCAAACAAGGAATCGATCGAAAGGGGAAGAAAGAAACATACGTACCTTCTTTGAGCTGCCGTCGAAACAAGGATCAGTTACGTAACTATCATCCATAAACATCTTCTTACCCTTTCTAGTGACAACACCGAAACCGTTGCCTTCGAAGGATGATCTGTGTGGCAAGTCTCTGAATCTGAGATCATCGCTCTTCGGCGGAATAGGTGGGAGCAAGTCCATCTTTCTCTTCAAAGACCGCCGGTTTGTGAGAAACAAGGGTGTATCCATGGCTGAGAAATGAGATACTGATAGCTGTCAGAGAGCAAGCTGCTTTAATTAGGGGTTTTTGGTCAGTCATCAACGAAGACAGTTCACTCTCAAAACGTTTCAAGTGCAAGTTGCAAATGAAAATTTAGATAAAGACAAAACAAAAAATGGAAAGACTAATGTAAAATGGTAAGAACAAAAAGGGATAAGACAAAAAAGAATAAAAGGTTGTAACCGATATATTGTGAACTTCCAATATATCATTGCATTTTCCATCCTAAAATGCAATAATTCCAGTGTCCTTGGATTTCTTTCTAAAGTATTATTTTGTCTCCATTTCAAAAGGAATCTCTTCAGTATATTCCATTTTCACATTTATTATTGATTGCTAACTATGCACAACTTTTTTCAAAATTTACAAATTCATCTTTCTATTTCAATAATTTTTGAATCGTTTTAAATTTCTCATGGTTCATGTAATTATAATATTATTTACATTTTATTTTTAGAGCTAATATATTTTATTAATATTTATATTTAGAGCTAAGATATTTTATTAATATTTATAATCGTCAATACAAATAATATCATCAAAATAATTATTTATAACTGTTAAAGTAAAACTATTTAAAATTTAAAGGACTACATTATCAGTAAAAGGTTCAACTGAAAATTGGAATATGAAATGAGATGATTGCATATTTGGAATAAAAAAATTGACATTATCTTTTATATTATTAATTGAGAAGTACATGAAAAATTTATACAAAAAAATCAATCTAATTATGAAGAGAAATGTTTGGCAACAGATTTAATGAGGGTCAATTTAGTACATTGTAATGTTTGGATACAAGAATAAGAGAAAAATTTTTGGATAGAAGAATAAATGGAAAAAATTGTTTGGATACAAGAATAATAACTTAAAACAAACCGATGGTTTAGAAAACTTCCGTTTTCCAGCTCTTAAAAATCTGCAAAAAAAAACTTAACATAATCTAACGATAATACCAAATCAATAGAATATGCTTTTTGGATTTTCGGGTTTTTATAGACAAGTTCGGGTTTGGGTGAAAATCTGAGACATAATTTTATAGAGATATAGAGATATAGAAATTGTTCGGGTTTCTTTGAAAATTTCTGTTCGGGTTGGGTTCGAGTTTTTTTTTTTTCAGTTTAGGGTTTTCCGGATTTTTTGGATTTCGGGTTTTCGGGTTTAGATATATTAAAAAAGTTTGAGTATTTTAAAATTTTGATTAGGGTATTTGGGTCGGGTTCCGGGTGAAAAAGTTTCCAGATTTTTTTTGTTCAGTTCAGGGTTTTCGGGATTTTTTTGATTTCGGATTTTCGGATTTAGACATATTAAAAAAGTTTGGGTTTTTAAAATTTTTGATTAGGGTTTTTTGGTCGGGTTCGGATTTAGGGTTTAAATTTTCTACACAAAACCACAACGTCACACCGCACAAACGTGCGGGTACTCTACTAGTACAATTTTGCTAATTGAAAATGAGATAGCATCATCTTGAGGCAACTCAATAACACGAAATCGATCCCCTTCCTAACCCACAGAGAGGATTGCACCTGAATCATCTAATTAAGGAAGAGAACCAGTAGATCTGAATGGACCAAGACTAGAATCCATTGGAGCACAAGGCACGTGGCCAATGTTTTCGCAAGCACCAATGCTAGACGAATACACCTCACATTCATATGCGAGAATGTAATGCTTTTATTTTTTTTCTTGCAAAGATTAGACCTACGTGAACATAATATGCATATATTTCTTACGGGAATTTTATATCCAAGGAAGAATTGATGTGTGCATAGTTTACATCATCTAGGTGTCAGTTTTCATAGTGTTTTGCATTCATTCATGCATTTTTTTCACCACTTTTGGCATAGTTTACATCCATAGTCTAGAGTCTAGACTCATAGTATTTATGTCATGCATCGCATACAATATTGCGCATCTGGAGTTGTATACATGTACTTTTGTACGTTTTTGTGCATTTAGATGATGAAGGAGTCTGATGGAGCGAATCAAGATCAAAGGATGAAAGAAAGACGCAACCAGGATGTCAATCGGTTTGTTATACATAGGTTACAAAAAAGTTCACATTGTAGTCTTTTTTGTTTTGTTTTTTTTTGGTTGAAATATTTATTTCTGATGAATACAGTTAAGATCATTTTTTTCAGAATATAATTCTTTTATCGAAGGAAAATTTAATAATTTCGGTGAATCAGTTGAATAGTAGAGTCGGGGAATGATCAAACGATTGAGTAGGGAAACATTTTAGCTGAATAAATTACTACAAAAATACTCATAAAACAGTAACAAGCTGATTTTAGTAAAAATGATTTTAGTGTTAACATTACATAAAAATTTATCATCTGACACCTATTTTGGGATCAAATAAAAATTATTTTAGGGTAAAGTCCCCCCAATGATTATGAAACATTAAATGAGTGTTCTTTGGGTTCCCCTGAGGATATGGCTATGTTATGTTCATCGTTTCTGTTCTCGTTAGTGTTGCCTGAAAACGATTTGACTCAAGCATATTATATATATAGAGTAGCAGCGTTATCTTTAAATAGTGTTGAAAATAGTGTATAGGGTTTTGGTACATTGAGCTAGAATGTGAGAAGTCGTGTAGTTGGTGCTATAGATACGAAGAGGTGTGAGTAGATCTTTGTTGTATCCCATGCATGCTCTAACTTTTCACGCTGGCTTCTTTATTTTGGGGAAGAAAATAGAATCTTTTTGAAGGTTTGAAACTTTGAAGTTTTAGGATATGACTTTTAATATGGTATGTTTATTTGAATTCCAGTGGTGTGGAAATGATGAAGGTAGGTTTTATTGTCTATCTTTTGGCCATTTTATATAGGCTAACAAAAATTTGTCGCCTGTCTTTTTCATTCTCAGTTGATGTCACATTGTCATATATGAATATATAAGTCACCAAATTTTTAGGGAAATATAAGTAACCAAAATTTTTGGAAAAGTAAAAACAAGCATAGTTATATGAAGGATGATAGGTTCAACATTAACAACAACAATCCCCACAATCATTAAAGTCCCAAATGATTATGAAACATCAAATAAAACAACAAGCATATTTCTATGAAGGATGGTAATGGTCTTCAGCATTTGTACCGGTTGAGATCAACAATCACCACTGTGATATCATCCATACTACCTGTACTCAATGCCATGTCCACGAGCTTTTTGCAAGCCGCCTTGATCTTCGCGGACTTTGAAGTTGGGGTCCCTATCTCACGGTCTGGTGATTCATTCTCGGATTTGGAAGATTCAACTGGCAACATTTCTTTTTCTTCCTTGACAAGCGACAATCGGCTGCGTTTCGGAAATGGGCTCAAATTGTCAAACCCCTGGATCAAGCTCTCATACTCGCTTTCTAAAGGAGTCTTGCCCTGAGCTAAGACACTCAACACAGTGTCAACAGCTTCTTCATTACCAACCCAATCCCAAAGACCATCAGTAGCTAAGAGAAGAAACTCCATATCTTCTTCAATCTCGAGTACTCTTGTCTCGGGCTCAGCAATCACCAGTTTCTTATTCTTCAAATCTGCATCTCCAATGCTTCTCGAAACAGCGAGTATCCCAGCAACTCTCCAAGCCTTGCCAAGAAAGCTGACATGACCTCCCTATAGAAGCAAATGTCATGGGAAGTATCAAAAGCTACTCTCTCAACAAAATACAATCAAGAACAAAAAAGTTATATTTGCATTTCAAAAACCCTTACCTGATTTTTTATTCTTTTGCGCTCGTCATCTCTTTCTGGTTTGTGTTCACTTGTAAGAGCCTCAGAAACTCCTCCTCCTCGACACAGAACAACTCTACAGTTTCCCAAATTCGACACAATCATCTCCTGATCTTGTATCAAAACCGTAACACAGCATGCACCACTATTGAACTCCTGCATTTTGTTGTTACCAGTACGTAAGTTCAAGTAGACAGTAATCTTGCAATACAAGTAACTACTCATGCAAAATTCAATGATTAATTTCTAGAGATGTGACCTTTTCTATGAAACCACGATCAGTTTTCAGATAAGCAGCTTTCAAGGCTTCTTCTTCTCCTCCTTCCCCTCCTTGCAATTCTTCATCATCTCAAGAACATTTATGTGCAAATTCGCAGCCACATATTTCGAAGCTTTCCCATCTCCATGGCCATCATAAACTCCGAAAAAACTCTAAAATCATTACCCACCAAAACCCATCAACCTAAGATTTTCAAAACAAGGAATCGATCTAAAGGAGAAGAAAGAAACATACATACCTTCTTTGAGCTGCCGCCGAAACAAGGTTCAGTTACGTGACTATCATCCATAAAAATCTTCTTACCCTTTCTAGTGACGACACCGAAACCGTTGTTGCCTTCCAAGCACAATCTGTGTGGCAAGTCTCGGAATCTGAGATCATCATCGTTCTTATGCGGAACAGGTGGTGGGAAGTCCATCTTTCTCTTCAAAGATCGCCGGTTTGTGAGAAGCAAGGGTGTATCCATGGCTGAGAAAAGAGATACTGATAGCTGTCACAGAGCAAGCTGCTACAGAAATGTGAGTGGAAAAAGTTTAATTTGTAGTGTAGAGGCTTTAGGGGTTTTTTGGTCAGTCATCAATGAAGACAGTTCACTCTGAAAACGTTTCAAGTGTAAGTGGCAAATCAAAATTTGGATAAAGACAAAAATAAAACGGAAAGACTAACGTAAAATGGTAAGAAACAAAAAAGGGATAAGACAAAAAAGAATAAGAGGTTGTAACCGAACGTATATTGAGAACTTTCCAATGTATCATTGCATTTTCCATCCTAAAATGAGAACAATTCCAGAATGTAGTTGGATTTCTTTCCAAAGTATTATTTTGTTTCCATTTCAAAAAGATTATCTGAAGTATATTTCTTTTGAAATTTTATGATTAATTGCTAACTATTATGGTTCAAATCTATGAAAGGTTCCTGACTATCTATAGATGAGGTGCAGCCCAACAGATAGACCATACTGATTTCCAATTATTCAAATGGGCCGAAAGTAAAGGTATATATTCATGTGGTCAATTGAAAATGGAGCACAAAGCTTAGCTTTTAACTTTTTGTTGAAATCATCTATTTAGCCAATCATTTTATTGAAAACGCCACATTAACATTTACAAAATCAATTATAACAATGTACAGTTGGAGTAATTAATTGACATTCAACTGATTTTGTTATGCTAGCCTAAAAAATATGTTTATTTCTCTTGTTTTTCTTATCATTTAAAGGAAAACGCCACATTAAAGTTCACAAAATCAACTATAACAATGTACAGCTGGAGTAATTAATTGACATTCAACTGATTTTGTTATGCTAGCTTAGCAATTATGTTTATTTTTCTTGTTTTGCCAATTAGTTTATGGAAAACACCACGGTAACGTTCACAAAAACAATAATTACACTGAGTACAGTTGAATGTTATGGACAACGCACTACGCCGAACATTTGCTAGCAAAAGAAAATTGGGTGTATGTCAATTAATTACTCCAGCCAATTGACATTCAACCTGGAATAATTAATTGACAAAATTGGCTAAATGTCAATTAATTACTCCAACCAATTGACATTCAGCCTGGAATAATTTATTGACATTCAGCCAATTTTTTTTTGCTAGTAAATGTTTTTATTTCTCTTCTTCTTTTGTTGTATACATTGATTACACTGTCCATATCAGCATTTATATATATATATATATATATATATATATATATTTTTAAATATATAATATATTCAAGATAGGCAGTATTATTATAAGATTTCAAAAAACGAAACAATTTTGAAATCTTTGTAAAAACATTAAAAGCTTTTAAAAAAACCAGTGGTATATTTTTTGGAATTTTTAATAGTTTAAAAATACAAAACATAGAAAATGCAGGTACAATTAAGAAATATGATGCTCTGTATCAATAGTACATTTTGTACATAGTGGAACATTAATTCTGTTATTTGCATATATTAATAATATTTTTATTTTTACAGTTGGTAATCTTGATAATTGTATAATTAAGAAAGGGGTTCTTTGAAAAATACCATATTATGTTTTGATATTTGAAAAATACCCTACTTTTTTATACTTTGAAAATACACTTTTGTATGTCAAAAGACTGTTTTAACCTTATTTTAACAAAACAGTATTGAATAATTAATTAATCTTACTATATAAAGCTGGATGCGCGCGACGTGGTTGCGACACGTAGGATTTTTATAAAATATAGGATCGCGACATGTGTCACTTTTAAGATTATGTCCGTTAAGATCGTGACACGTGTATTAGGGGAAAAAAGAAAAAGTATTTTTAAAAAATACTAGAAATAGGATAATTAAAAAAAGAAATTTAATTAAAAAAAGAAATTTAATCTATTTTATATAAAAAAGAAAAATTAATATTTGTCATATCCTAACAGAAAAAGGTTTTCCCATTCATCAAATTTATATTATCCAAACACATATTATTTATAAAATAAGATTGAAAATAATGTAATAAATAAAATCCTATTACTACATGGAATAGGTACGTAAACTAAAATTCCTATATCTGCAAGGAATATGTTATATGAACACCTATAAATACAAAGTTACAGTAGTCTCTTTTTTCTCATTCACAAACTCATCAAAGCAAATTCATCAAATTTCTCTGATTCTCTTTCTCTAATTTAAAAATCATGTCTTTGAATGTTCAAGAAAACAGTGAAGATTATTTGACTCTAGGTCAATTGGATCGAAATCGAAATTATCGCCGTACTATAGTACGTGTTATTCGAAAGTGGGAAGTTAGAAATCCAAAAGAAAATAATATTCTTATGGGAGTTGAGCTTCTACTACTTGATGAAAAAGTTAGTAAGAAAATATATAATTTACAATAAATTGTTACATCCATTAAGAAACGGAAAAAACATATTCCCAATACAAGAAGGAAAAAAAACAATATATAATAAGTTACACCCTTCATGATTTAATTGTGTTTCTATATTTTGTTTAAATTTTCTTTCTTATTAAGAAATGAAAAATCATGTCTTTAAAAGTTCTAGATATCAATGAAGAATATTTAATTTTAGATCAGTTGGATCAAAATCAAAACTACTGCCGCACCATGTATAATATTTGATCAGATTATAACATGTGTTAACACAAGAAAATTAGAAAAATTTAATAACAAAACGAAAAATTGTAAAACAACTAACTAATAATGAAAAGAAAAATTTATAATGGTCTGAGGCAAAATAAATATTATAAAAGAAAGAATATAAATAGAAAGCTAACAAAATAATTATCAACAGCTAACTAATATTAAAAAGAAAATTTTATTTTGGTCCGATATTCTAATTTTAAATAGTTTATTTTCAAATTTTTGTTAGGTCAAAAAATATTTAAAAAATTGATTTCATCAACTGAAATCTCTTCGATGGAATAATCAAAGTTTCACGTATTAATTAGTCCATCAGATTTAAACACATGTAAGTATTTCTATATTAGATAAAAATAAGATAACACAAATTAATTCATTTTTCATATCATGAATTCAAAACAAATGTCAATTATAATAAAAATGTAAAAAGATTACTAATCTTATTTTATTTAGTGATTTGTTATCGGGTTTTTATTATTATTCTACTTACTTTTAAAAATGATTATATTATGTTTAATAATTTTCCAGATTTATTTCAAATTTAAAATAAACCCGCGTATACGCGGGGCCTAATCTAGTTAAGTATAAATTTCAAAAATATTATTATGAATGATATTATTTTATTTTGTTCAGATAAATGTTTGTCAATTATTTAAAATTAAAAATTTAGAAATTGATAAATCTAGAGAAAAGTTTAAAATTTGTCTTCAATAAATTTAATTATTTTTGGAACCTTATAAACAACTTTAATATAACACATAATCTTTTATTCATCAAACATTGACCAGAGCCACACAAAAAAAAGGAATACAAAACTTTTTAGCAGATAATTATGAATTAATATTTTTATCAGTTTAAAATGAAAAAAATCAATATCAAATCATAATTTTTTTATTGTTTAAATTTTATTTTTATTAATTAAATTTTGTTTTAAATTAGTTAGAAACTTCAAGGTAGGATAATTTAATCATTTTATATATAAAAAGTGTAGTTTTCAAAATTTTAAAAGTATGGTATTTTTCAAAATAAAAACTGATATGAAGGTATATTCCCAAAATTTCTCATTAAAAAATATGTTGCTCTATATCAGTATAGTACATGTTGTAAATAGTGGAACATTAATTCTGTTACTTGCATATATTAATAATATTTTTTTTTACATTTGAGAATCTTGATAAGGGTAACAACTGGTGATAATGCATTGGTCAAATACATTCTCATAATCTAGAAGGGGCAAATGGGGTAAATAACATGTATTTTACACGCTAGAAATAGAAAACTTGACTGTACTTGCTAGTCAGTACTCACCTTAATTTCATTACAACAACAAGAACTCTATGACTATGCCGAGCTTTCCTGTGCCGACGTCATTTCCAGTGTCCAACAGTGATAGCCAAGAGGGAGAGAAGAAAGCAAGTTACGTCAACTACGAAGTAGGGCCTGGCTTCACCATTCATCTGTGTCCGAATTTTGACCCTGCCATGGACCCTAAGAAGCTCAAACGGTTCGGTTATATCATTTTCATTTTTTTTTTACTTACCTTGCGATAGTATGTAAATATCATTATCCTTTGTTAATTTTTTCCGTATGTAATATTGCAGCATAGTTTCAAACCGTGTTGCGGGTCAGCAGTCAAGGTGGAAGAAACTTCAGTATGTTAATGATCTAGAGAAACGAGTGAGAGAACTCCATGTATGTTTATATAATATTTTATATTACTTTCCCTCTTCTTATTTATGTATCCTTACATAATTTTATAATATCAAATGTAATTATATAGTGGCAGGTGAGTATTTTGCGTGCCCGAAAAATGATATTGATTGAGCAGAACCGACGTGCAGAGAGGATGAACATGAAGCTTAAGGAGCGTTTGTTTGCTGAAGTTCAACACTCAATCTTCCTAAAAGGTATATAATCAGTTAATTAGATATTATTATATTTAGAATTTGATATATAATAGTCATTATAATGCTAATTAACAGGTCTGGTTGAGGCGCTTAGAGCACAGGCTGAGAGTTTGAAGAAGTAATCGACTTCTTCGAATTGACTATACTCGCCATGCATCTCCTTATCTTAAGATCCTACCCAAATTTCATGTGTTTTGCTTTTAAAGTTTTGTTGTTTGGTATTATTGTCAAAGTGGTTGTAGTTTCTGTTTGGATTGTAATATTTTGTTTTGAAGAATTAAAAAACAAAAGAAAATTGAGTTCGAACATTGGGGAAAGAAAAATCTCATTTGACCGAATTTATGTTTACATCAGTTTTCTATGGCTCGATTGGATTTACGCAGAAAGAACAACACATCAAATTATAAATCACTAAATGAAATTGCAACAGATTGACAGAGGAC